GGCCTCTAATCAAGAAAATCCAGACTCTACACCTCTTAACTACCGGTAGTTGCTAATCTCACGAAATCTTCACGCAATCCGAAGGGATTGTTTAGTTCCTTTAACACCCTCCCCGAGGGGCATGCACAGGCAAATTACACGATGGTAGAATGATTCGGATATCAATTCGGCTTTGTATAGTCAATTCTTTCCAAAACTTGCCCAAATCTGTTCCAGCTCCAAACCGAGTGATGATGCCGGCCACCTGCACCTGTCACGACAAGATTCAAGTATTTCGAGAAGGCAGACTCTTTGACGATCGTCTTGCATAAACATGCCAGCTACAATAGGGAAAGAGTCAATCAAAGTTCCATAAATATGACAGAATATCCCTACCAATGAACAGGCACTGTGAAGACATCATACTTGATGCGTCTTCTGTCAGGGTCAGACCTATACCGCAGACGAGCTCTATGCTGTCCTGGATTGTCTTTTGCCGGTGCATGAACTTCTCCATGCCACCCAAACTTGGCTCATGAGCACAGACAAGAATCCTCGAAACGTAATGAATCTGCATGGCCAAGCCTAGTATTGAAATTAGCATGGAGAAATACTCTGCCGGGGTGAAGAAGCTACCAAAACTTTGAGGATGTATGTGCCGAGGTTTGAAAACTTGACTTCCATAGCGACTCATGGTGGGCAACTCGGAGAATTCAATCGTCAGATGCGATTCCCACTCTTGGAGCATTTCTTTGAGAGCTTTCGCCCATTCAAGTCTTCCGACAAATGTTCCTTCGGTCTCTTCAGAGGAGCCAACAGCGCAAAAGTTTATTACCTGAGCCAGTATCCAGACCGCGCGTAAAGCCAACTCATAGCTGTTTAGGTCCGAACACGCCTTTTTAGGTGTCCATGTGCTGTATGTGCGACGCCTCCCCCGCAATGCCGCCCAGATATCCTGACGCAGCCAAGCCCACCATGTCGTGCTTTCAAGGCTCGAAACTTCCACTTCGATCTGCCGCGACCGGAGAATCCAAAAGACTCCTTGGAGATGGCGTTGCCAGTCCTGCCGCGATCCCCTAAGCATCTCGTACGTTGAGATGATGAGAGTAGTCGCCATTAGCTCTTGGCTGCGCTGATACGTGGGATAGCGCATAGCCTTCTGGACGTAATGTAGAGTCTGGTAATAGTACTGGAGTGCACTGTTTTGATCTATACGTTCTTCTTGGGGGATAGTTTCGTCGAGCGACTGATGATAGCCGGACAGAGCCAAGATGGCGTTCAGCAAACCCGCATTTCGGGCTGCAAGACGCGGCACTATTGTCGAGAACGTCCGGGCGTTGTCAAAAAGATCAAGCTATTTGCGAAACATGAGTAGCCAAACTGATAGAACCACCATTCACGCAATGAACAACATACCCATGAGCATATTTGATGCACAAAGTTCTCAAACAAGATTTGTTCTCTTTCAAGCAACGAGATGCTTTCTGATGCTTGCCACATATCTTGCTCACTGCTACCGTCACCCGCAAAATCTCCCTCCAGTTGTTGATCGTCGATAAGCTTGGTTGCACGTTGCAACTGTGTCATATCATTATCATCTTGGCCATCCAATGGACCTGGAAATCCCCATTCGACACTGGGCGAGACATCCCTCTCTTGAAGCTCGTCACGGAATAGCCCAAACCAGCGAGCTGCAGCCACACTCACAGACGCGGTGCGAGGCGTTAATGGTGAGTCTGCTTGTTGCTGCTGTATTCCATGACTACCAACCCAATCAAGGGTCTCACCAATTCCACTTGTAGGGATGTGGGCCTCAGAAGATGGTGCCAGAGATGACACTGCTGATTCTGATGGCTGCGTTGCCGCAATGGAGCGAACAGCTTCCAGCAGGCTACCTTGCGAGTCCAGGACCTGCCCCAGCTGCCGGAGAATTTCGAGACTGGCAGGGTCGAAGGAAGAATGGTCCCTCTCAGTATCATCATACGAGCAAGAGATGCTGATTGAGGCGCAGAAGCCGCAAGTGGGCCGTATGTTATCGCACTTGGTTTTCCTTGCGCGACACACATGGCAAGCTTTCGAGCTCCTCTTACGCGGGTACCGGGCGTCTGAAGGTGGATTAGCAGGGCGTTTCCGTGATCCTTGAGCCTCTGACTGTGCCGGGGGAGGGGCCCTCTCCGGTAGGGTATGTTCAGACATGTGGAACGCGATCAGACTCTGCAATGCGACCAATAAAGAGAGCGGTGGAGATTTGCACCACCGTCGAAGAGAGTTGAGGGTGGATAAGCGCACGTTGAGTCTGAGTTCGAGACAATGCAGGAGGAGCAGGGTTCGGGGAGATGTCGGGAGGGAAGAGTTTGAGGACGGACAATCTCTACCAGAACCCCGCAATTGGACCGGACACCCACGCAGATTAATTTAGTTTATGCGGTCACGATGGACATCCCCAAGAGGAGAAGGCCGGCCTGGGGGGTGGAATAAGGATCCGAATCGCGAAGGCGTGCCAAGAGTCTTGACAACTCTGCCGATTTCGGGGACCGTCGGTAGCAAGTATGAGGAACTTGTTGCTTGCAGCGAGACGGCGGGATATGATCAACAACAAGACATTGGCCTTGGTACATTATAAGCAGGTCTATGCCTCGGTACATCCATGGTTGTCGCACCTAGTCACTGCAGCTCTATCCCCTCATCTTGGGCCCTTTATCGGTTAATTGGTTGAGTGGTTTTCCCGTTTTACTAAGCTATCGCGATGGGTGATTCAAAGATCAATGGCAGCATCCAGGCCACACCGTGGCAGAGCACTCATACCGAAGCCCAGCCTCGAGACTTCTCAACCGACATTCTTGTTGTCGGCGGTGGCCTGGGCGGGGTCTCCGCAGCCCTTGGCGCATTGCGCAGAGGACGCCGCGTCTTCTTGACTGAAGAGTATGAGTGGTTGGGCGGCCAGCTTACAAGTCAAGCCGTGCCCCCAGATGAGCACAGCTGGGTCGAGCAGTTTGGAGTGACCCGCTCCTACAGGGCATTGCGCGATGGAATTCGGCAGTACTATCGGGATCATTACCCCCTGACAGACGAGGCGAGACGAAGACCACAGTTGAATCCAGGGGCCGGCCATGTCAGCAAGCTGTGCCATGAGCCTCGCGTCGCAGTCGCAGTCATCGATACCATGCTCATGCCGTACATTGGTAGTGGGAAGCTCGTCATAAAGAAGCGCACAAGACCTGCTTCGTGCGAAGTAGACGATCAAGGCATCGTCCGCAGCGTGACATTCCGCCGTCTCGATAACCCAGGCATCTTTACAGTCAAATCTAGCTATGTAATTGACGCCACGGAGCTTGGAGATCTGTTGCCCTTGTCCAAAACTCCTTATGTGACTGGATTCGAGTCGCGACAGGATACAGGGGAGCCCAGTGCCCCTGAGGAGGCACAGCCGCAAAACTCCCAAGCTGTCTCGATCTGTTTCGCAGTTGAGCATATCGAGGGAGAAGATCACACAATACCAAAGCCTCCAAATTACGACTTTTGGCGCAACCGACACCCCGATTTCTGGGGGGCACCGCTGCTTGGTCTGAAAGCGCCTCATCCGCGGACACTCGAGATTGTTGAACGTGAGTTCACTCCGAATCCCAACGATGACCCGGCATTGGTTTTTGCAGACCAGCGCAAGTCGGGCGGAGATATGAATCTCTGGACTTTCCGCCGCATCGCAGCGCGCGACAATTTCACGCCTGGGGCCTACCAATCGGATGTGTGTCTCGTCAACTGGCCCATGATTGATTATTTTGAGAAGCCCATCATTGACGTGACAGAGGCTGAGCTTGAAGAGCGCCTCAGTGAAGCCGCTTCCTTGTCCTACAGCATGCTCTACTATCTACAGACGGCGTGCCCCAGAGCAGACGGTAGGGGCACCGGCTACCCAGGACTTCGGCTACGAGGCGACATCACAGGGACAGAACATGGATTGGCAATGGCCCCGTACGTTCGAGAATCACGCCGAATCAAGGCCGTCACCACTGTTCTTGAGCAGCATCTCTCATTGAAGGTCCGCGGCGAGAAGGGCGCAGTCCAATATCCCGACAGCGTGGGAGTCGGCATGTACCGCATCGACCTCCATCCATCTACTGGTCAAGACAACTACATCGACGTTGCGTGCTGTCCTTTCCAGATCCCATTGGGTGCTCTGATCCCACTAAAAAGTTCCAACCTGCTTGCGGGCTGCAAGAATATTGGAACAACGCACATCACCAACGGGTGCTACAGACTCCATCCTGTTGAGTGGAATATTGGCGAGGCAGCAGGGCTACTGGCTGCACACTGTCTGGACACGGGTCTCTCGCCGCACCAAGTTCAGGGACAAGCCGAGCTATTCAGCGAGTTCCACAAGGTGCTCCTCCGTGAAGGCATTGAAACCGAATGGCCTGACGTTTCCGGGTACTGAAGAAGTCACGAGCTGCCTAACGACGCCCAGATATTCACAAGTCGAAGCGTAAAGTGCCATCGGGTGGCCATGCATAGGCAGCTTTGCACCGGTGGCATTGCCCCTTCCCTTGCCCAGCAGACACCAGGATCAATGACAAACATCCTCTGCACGGCCTGTAGCCTCCAGCAGAACCCTTCGAGACTAGACGCCCGAAGCACCTAGGAGGCGTCGTGGTTGTGGCCGTTGTCTTGAAATGGGAGGGATCCCATTTGTTCGTGTGGGCAGAAAGTGCGTGTGAACTAGAGGGAATCTGTTTCACACTGACTCGTCGCTACTCTTGCGTGGGAAATTAAGATAGTTGAGACGACTTATTTACTGAAAGGATAGAAAACTATGAAAAGAAATTCTGACTTGATTTGATTCTAATTTTGAAATGTAGCCAAGTATCATTCATGACCGTGGTCGTGTGCGACCTTTCCAAAGAATGTAGGCTACGCTTCAAAACTGTAAAATGTCTAAATCCCAAATTCGAAGGTAGGGCCTCAAAACGAGTCCTCATGTATTGATGCTATCATTCTGATACCCGCCAATATCCTACTTATCCTTAAGACGTTTCCATAATGACGTCCTCCTGGGGTTCCGGTGTTGGGGGGGTAATAATAACACGCACATTTGCTTGCTTTTGCTCACCTCCTGCGACTGGTCGAATAAGGAGAGAATCCAGAGAGGGCCTGGGAAGCTCCGGAGATTCAGATGATGCGTCTTGCTCCAGATCGCACCAATCATTGACGAGTCTGAACATGGTGTGTTTCCCGAGCTCCGTTCTGGAAGGGGATTCTTGGAGTATGACCTTCAACTTGGCGAGTCTTGTTGACATCGGCCACGTGCCGCTTCCATCGTCGTGCTGAATAACTGTATCGAGGGATGGATTTCGTGTTGTGCGGAGTATGGTGCTAAACGCGCTCATGTACGAGCCTGATGATGTCCAGACACAGAGCAGTCCCACAACCACAACTACGAGGTCTACACAGATACCAACTCCATACGCTATGAATAGGTTGCGTGAATCGTACGCGTAGACATTTTGGGGAGCCCGGACCAATACCATACCTTCCGAAGCACTGCTTTGGTTTTGACTGCCAAAAAATGCCGTTAGTAAAATGGAAAACTAATAACAGAGGTCCGTAAGCAATATGCAGATAACGTACAGAAGATATGAGTCGCTGAAAAGACTCAGTGTGAAGTTGAGGAAGAGTTGCTCCAAAGCGTCCGTCATGGTAATGTTGGCTATCGACAGTGGTTCGGGCGTGAACTTGTTGCCGGCAACAATTGTCCGCCTGTGAAGCCTCTGCATTTCAGCCGTCTGCATGAGAACCGTCGTAGAAATCTGGGTCCTCGTCGGGATCAGCGAGCCAACGTCAGAGACCTTCAAGTGCCCAAGGAGTAGTCTCCCCATGGCGTCCATCATGGATATGTACGCTACTACGGACACTGAGCACGCACCTCCGCCACAATCTTCGAACGCAGGCTCGGCGGTGACTCCATTGACTCTCTCTAGGCTTTTAACAGAAATATTCTGCTGGCCGTTTCGGTAGTCCAGATCGACCGTGTAGGATGAATTGTAAAGGCCGCACTCAATCGTGTTTCCTGCTAAGCCGTCCCAATCGGGCGCGACCACGTAAAGCTTAGCATAATCGTGTGCCTGACTTCTGTCAATGGTGTCAATGTCGGTAGCATGAGGGGTTTCGAGAGTTCGGTCAAGGCCTGCCAAAGCATCGTCTTCTAAGCTTGTGGTGAGTGTGGTGTTTGCACGTTGCGGTACAAAACCAACATATCCAATTCCGGATTGAAGACTCGTGCTAGAGCTTGAGCCAGCTATTAGACTATCTACCTTGGTCTCGAATGAGATACCCGCCGAGGGAGACCCGCATGAGAGAGATGGTCCGTAGAACTCGACGGTATAGGAGCAGTTGGGGAAGGGAGACGCAATATTCAGAATCGCCCCTTGGGCCGCAGTGGCGGACAGTAATCTGGATATGCGGCTGGACGGCGAGGAATAGGCACTGGATCCGCCAGCTTGCCACTGGGCAAACTTCTGCACCGTTTGATACTCGAGCACGGGAAGAGCCATCTTGGTCCAAGTCTCGTTGAAATGCGTCGAAGTCTGGACCCTAAGAGCAGAGGGCGAAAAGACAGTGATCAAGGGCATCGTCCTAGTGTGGTTATCCAGTCAGCGCTTATCCTCTTATTTCCCACATCGTCAGCACTCAAAGCACTAACCAGACTATAATGGCTATGGCCACCAAGCCTCGGCCGCGTCGCCACAGTTCTTTATCAGTGAAATCAAAGAGGTTTGAAATAACACCGAACATGGCGTCAACTCCCGCTAGCGTAACGGGTTCGGATCGCAGTGTGTACCACACCAGCTGGTTGTACGCAAGGACTGCAGAAGCGGTGAAGAAAGCTTTAACGAGAAAAGCAAGTCCGATCCCGATGCGAAAGTACCACTCCTGTTGTGCCTGGTAGGCAACAGGTCTTTGGTCCAGCGAAGCATAAAAGAGGTGGTGAGTGATAGCCAGCAACGTCCCCAACACAAGGCCGCTACTCATGAGACTGGGCACGACCCAAGCATGTTTACTGCCAGTCATTGTATGCGTATTGTTCATAAGGCATACAATTTCTTCTACTAATACGCGGCTATGATTGACCAGTTAAAGAATCGGGAACTAAAGCTTGACCAGGTCATTTTATAATACATCAATCTTGAGAGGATTTGATCTCGGCTTAAAGCCGCCCGCTGACTGCCTTGAACAGGTTGTCAACGCTAAACCCCAAACAGCAAAACCTGCCGAGAACTTGCAGGTGTCTCTTCGTTTACACCGATCCTCCCAACACCTCACATCACAAGGCTTTCACAGCCTCAACAACGACCCTTGTGATCTAGCTAATGGGGACCATACTGTTATATTCACAAGGGTTGGATGGGTCACTCCACATATATTAATGAGCAGTCTCTTGGCTCGATTTGAGAGGCCCCCCCATCACCGCTAGTTCTTGCAAGGGTTGCTAACTATGTAGCCCAACTCATCATTTTACCACAGCACAAGCCTCAAAATTCCAAAGACTTTCTCGTTTAAATGAAGTAATCTGGGAGCAACCGGGGGAATACTTTATTTTCCCCCAACTCTATTATCTAACCTATTATCAACTCAAACTCTAGCTTGAAGCCCAGCTTGCGTATTATGCTTACCATGTCAGCGGAGCCTAACAACACAAGATACGATGCATTAAGAAACGACGAGAGATTGGGATTATGTGATATGATGTCCAATGATCAAACTTCCACAATCAATGATAGCGGACCGCATCCATCGTAGAGCCTGGAGTCACAGACACATACTAACGACGATCATGTTCACTCCACATGCGAAGTAAAACCTCAACAAACACAAAGGCATTTCGGGTGGAGGCTGGAGGGATTCTCCTGCCTCTTCGCCTGGACAGCAGTTCTTGCCACTGTCGGTACCATGTACCCGTCCCAAGGAAGGCCCAGCCCTCAGTGGCCGGCAACAATCTCACTGAACACGTTGCTTGCCATTGATTCTGTCGTCATCAACGCAGCCTTGACTGTAGTCTTGAGCTCCTGTACCAGTCAACTTCAATGACTTTGGTTCACCTCTGGTCGGCCCATTATCGACGTGGTTAGGCACCATAATGCTCAAGGCGGACCATGGGGTGCTCTGCAGTGGCTCTGCACACATAAAGCCCGACAACCATCAGTTTCTGGGTTATGCCTGCTACCTTTTGATTGACGACGTGTCTTCGGAAAAAATGTCAAAAATCAGGTCGACGTTGCAGTCGGCTTATGTCGAGGCCTTGATATCCAAGCTCCTCCTTCTAGAACTCACATCATACCATGCCCACCCAACTCGTAATCATGTCATATTAGGGAGAGGATGGATAGAATGTATGTATATTGCTTGGTTTGTGAACCCTGTTGATCTTGTTGGAGCTGTTGCCAATCCCGCTCGCCCAGCTCATTTATTGCTGATTCTCCAATGTTCACCGAGGTCTGGATAGCTTTTAGTCTGCGGCTTATAATTCCAAATAGGCTGTCAGGTAACAGAAAGACTCCATCTACTACACTTGAAGGATATGGAGATGATTTGAGGGCATGGTCTTTCGATCTCTGCGCCGGCTCTTACACCATGGCTTATGTAAAATTAGACCTTACCTCCTTGAAGCTCTCGAAATCTCAGTCATCATGGAAAATTATGTACTTCGATTGGCTGTTTTTCTTGTTCAATATCCTCACTAAATTAGAAGAGACATACTTATAAAAACGTGGCCATCTATTTTCACGGTGTGATTGACCTCTAGCGGGTGCTGACAGGGAAAGGATTGTTCTCAAACTCTGTAGATCGAAGAGAAGCAAATGCCCTAGATATTTTCCTCCTCCTTAGATGCTCAATTCAAATGATATATCTTGGCATATAAAATGAGATTTTCAAGTAATTCATGAGTTTATGACTCTCCCTCAGAGGGCCTTTATTCCTATTTTCTGGTTGAGAAAACAATCATCAGAGGTGCTAGCGCTAATGTAAAGTTGTCTTGTTTGCCGTCCAAGAAAGCCTCTTCAGACACCCCCGGCGCAAACTCTACAATATACTTTCGCAATATAGTCGAGACGACGTGACGAATTTCCATCAAGCCTAGGTGCTTTCCGATACAAGAGTAACGACCTGTCACCCGATTTCATTAGCCTAGATGCCCGGTGTAATGAAACTAAAAAGAAAAGACCAACATACCGACGGAGAAGGGAACAAATGCCGCGCTATTTTTTACCAACTCTGGATTTGTCGTCCATCTTTCGGGAATAAAGTCATTGGGTGAGGCAAAGTTTCTCTCATCTAGGGTGAAGTGAGTTAGATAGGACGATCCAAATCGACAGCGTGAGAGATTGGATATTTGAAACCTACCTCGACACATTGTGTGTGTGGGCACTTGAACGATAGTGTTACCAGGGATAAAGTGTTTGCCGATTTGAAGGCCTTCAGGAGGAGTCACCCGCTGAACCCCCGAAGGTACTGGAGGGTGTAGACGCAGCGTCTCATTAATGACCGCATTTAAGAATGGCAGTTTAGATAGAGACACGGAGTCCACTGTATCAGGGCCTGCATAGACCTCATCGATCTCAATTTGGAGACGCGCGATGATTTCCGGTCGGCAGCACAGTTCGTAGAAAAGACATGTAAGAGATGCTGCTGTTGTATCACTATTAAAAAAGTTAGAATAACACAACCTAGAAATCAATGTTTCAGTTCAGCTGACCTTCCAGCTACGGCAATAAGGGCGGCGTCTCCTGTCAAAAGAAGCTCATCCTGGAAAGTAGGTTGCTTGCTATTGTGGTCCTCCAAAAGCCAAGAGAAGACATCTGGCCTATCTGGGCTCATCTGCAATGAAGATCAGCAAAGCCAGCCAAGATAAAGGGTTGGCCAAATGGCGCCACTTCAAAAACGTACACCTTTTCTTCCTGTGACTTGAGATTGTATCCAGGTCCAGAACGACTTTTGATCCCGGTTCAGAACGGGGATGCCCTTCAACACGTCAAGAAGCCACACAAGATGACCGAAAACCCCAACAGTGGCCATGAACTCATGCAGAGAGTTCATAAAATAGTGCTTCACACCGCCTTGTAGCATACCGAACGACTTGCCCCAAGCCAAGTCTCCCATGACATCGAAGCTGTAAAAGTTGAACCAGTCAGTGACATTGACAGGTTTTCCCTCGGTCGCTGCTAAATGTGAAAGAAGTTGCTCGGCGTAATCCACGACTCTGGGTTCATAATCCCGTAGGGCTTCGCGAAATCAGCTCAGTCAGTCATTTGGAAGAGTGTACGGAGGTTGGGTCCATCGATATCTAGTCGTACCTTTTGCGCTGAAACCACGGTCCCAAATCCGCCGATGTTGCACGTGCTGTGCTTTGCTTCTGATCATCTGGAGGGATATCATGGGATTGTTGATGGTATACCAGGGGCCCTTGACACATGTAGACTTGGGGCCGTGAATTGCCATGACTGCCTCAGGATCAGCTATAGATAGCTCTGACGGTCCTAAGTGAAAGTACTGTTAGCTGTGTCATTGCTTGAAACTCAATCAATCCATCCTTACCAATGCGCACGAAGTCGCCGTACTGTCGGTGGAGTTGCTCAACTTCCTCGTATAAATGCGATCTCTTGGTTGAAAGATATGTAATGTAGAAATTAGAGAATCGCGCTCGTAAAGGTCCTGGAAAAGCACACAGCCTGTGGAATAAGCCGCGATAGAGTGCCATGCTGGCGAAGATTCCCGAGACGGCCAGTAGCCCGAGCGTGCTAACGACACTGACCGATCTATACATGGAGAATGGAGGCTCGCCCTGTAGCGGCACAGTGGCAAGTACAGTAATGGCGCCAAAGTAGAGCGAGAATGTGGAGAGAATAATCTTCCAGGTCATTGTATCCCATTCGCCACATCGAAAAATGAACAGGTGGCATGCCATTCCTGCCAGAAAGGCGGCTATGCGAGAGCCTATGAAAATATGCAACATGATGAACAAGTAACGAGTTATGATATGTGGTCTTTGATTTGTCTTAGGCCATCTGCCAAGTTATAGTGAGCTCACAAAGTAAGCGTCGGAGCTTCCAAAAGCTCGTGACTTATATACATGAGTCTTTTCAGTACTGCTCCATCGCCGGCATTGTTATCAACCCAATAAGAGACGTTGTGAAGAAGTCACATCGGCCTTTCCTCTCTGTCAGGGCGCCCTGAGTCAGTCAGCCTCGCAGCTGGTGGACAACCGACCGCTCCCCACATCCCGCTTTTCCAGATCTGGGGAAGATGCGGGGTACAACGCAGATCCAACAGGGTTGGACCGAGGCCAAAGTGACCTCTCGGATCGCGACATCTCTGGGGTACAACTTCTCGGCTGCTGCGCTGCGACTCAACTCCACATTCTCCACAACCTCAAGACATTCTCGAGTCGCCAAGTTCAATCACTGCTGGAAACATGCCATCACCCCGAGCAACAACCGCGCATTCTCAGCCCGATGCGAGTACTGCTGACATGAGTCAGTCCGATCGACCCGGCGCTTCGACTGCGGCGGCTCGCCGTGCAAAGAAGCGAGAGCAAGACCGTCGATGCCAGCGTTTGGCGCGCGAGCGAACCAAGAACCGAATATCATACCTAGAAGGCTTGGTCGCGGAGCTGAGACAGGAAGGGACCAACCAGCAGCTTCAGGCACTGTGGAAGCAGTGTGACGAACTAGTAGCCGAGCGGGATGCTGCTATTCAATCGATATCTACCATCGAACGATCCATCGTGAACTATAGGCAGACAGCCCTGAGGACACCGTCAGGTCGGGGACCACGAGAACTCGACCAGAACGAATCAGCTGCCCCGCAATCACGTCGTCCTGCAGTTGAGATAGTACCCAACACTGAGGCAGCTGTGGAGGTCGAGTATGACCATCCCAATAGCATGGCAGCCATGTCCCCGCCACCCGCGCTCGCATCGGAAGTTCATCAGAACCTACCAATGGGACAAGAGGCTATAATCCCTGCTCCTGTAGGCGTCTGTCATTGTTCTCAAGACACCTCAGGCGCTCCTGTCAATCTCTGGAGAGCGGCCAACGAGATTCTGTCAGAGCCACTTCAACTTTCTTTTCCCATGGTGGATAAGGAGAACTCCCTCGAGCACGATGCACCGGTAAGGGCTGTGGTTGAAGGTTGGGACTCCCTCGTGAAGACTGCCGGAGGTAAACTCCCTCCATCGTGGGAAAAGCTCCGACAGATCGATGAGCTCTTGTTTTCCAGCTGCGGGAATGTCGAAAGGCTTGCCATTCTACGCCTCATGAATGAACTATGTCGCTATCACCAGGACAGGTCGCCGGAAAGGCAGGCTATGCTCCCAAGCTGGTATCTTGCAAGGTATAAATGACTCTTCTCGCTCCATTGCACCCAATCACAACCCCTAGTAATCATTACCATAGGCCATCGCAAAATATAGCCCACTCCTACGCGATCGACTATTTCTCATGGTAAGCATTTGTATTGCCCGTAGAAGTGTTTACTGTATCCGGCGACTGATCACGTCTCTGCAAGGCCTGGTTTACGCGAGCGATTCGTATTCGAACAACACCGATATTGTACGAATCGATTTTGGAAAACCTTCTCTGATAATCTCCGCATCCTTTGGCCGTTTGAATTTCGCGACTGCTTCAGCCGCAACGTCCTCAATGGCCAATACAGCATATCACCCGCTTTCCAGGAACGAATCGACGATATAAGGTCCTGGACTATGTCGTCGGACATGTTCAATGCCTGGCCAGAGTTCCTGGCTGATATACCCGTGTACAACCCCATTGGCCTTTCTCTACCAACAAGCCGTTCACATCTCAAGCGGCCAGTATTGCGGAACCGGGAGTGGCTCGCTGCCAGGCCAGAACTAGAGGTAGGGCACACTGTGCCAGGAGCAGAACCCTGGCTGGTCATGGCTGAGCATTACACACCCACTGGGAGAACAACTGTTGACGCTGAAACACCTTGTATGACGCTGGATACGGGGTTCGAGGGTTTTGGCAGCCTTGATGACCTTTTGCTCTTAGGAAATTCCTGACTCCTATGAGACAGAAGACTTGGATCTCGCTATAATATATGCATGTATCTATGTTTACATTTTTGGATCTCTATGTAGCCCGCGATTCGAAAGACGCCTACAATCGTACTGAATAATCCGTATCTGAAATTTCCAAGATATTCGAGGTTTTGGCAATGTGTGTGTAGTGAGGTGGTTCATAATCTCGAAGAAAGGCACTCGAGTTAACAGAAAGGGTTCATGGAATATCTTGTCTGCTAGGCAGGGAGTAATGGATTTCTACTAATGAACTATCAATATTGAGAATTCATTTCTGTGCTATGAGGAGTGAGAACTTGGCATTTCTCGTGCGACCCCACTGGGCAGATTGTTCTAAAAAGACTAGCCCGAAGCTACGAGGTTGCGAGTCAGAAAGTGCGATTCGTCTCCCCACGTCCACCCTCATTCGTCGTCGTCAGGATGGCGCAATTGCCGAAAGTAGGGCCGTGCTAGAGTACTAGAAAGCTGCACAATGGTATCCCCAGAATTGCGGAAACGAACCCAGGCTCTTCTGTCAAGAAACAAGAGTTCAGTACTTCAGTACGTATATGTTAAGAACATTTCTTGTCGCATTACTGTGCTGATCGCCAATCCATCTAGCCATCGCACAATTCGACTTTCTTCACATCAAAATGACTGCAAATCCATTACTTACGTTCGATGAGTTCTCCAACGTTATCAATGGGGAGCTACGCAAAACCAAAGAAACTCGTTACTCCATCAACCCCTCGACGCTTGAACACAACCCCCCAGTCCCTGTATCATCCTTGAATGATGTAGACGAGGCTGTGGGTCATGCAAGAAATGCTTTCAAGACCTGGAGCAAAATACCGCTTTCTGCGCGGCAAGACGCTGTTATTGCCCTTGCTGCAGGCCTTCATTCACTAAAAAGCGACTTCGCCCACCTGCTCGTCAGAGAGCAAGGCAAGCCAGTAAGGATTCACTCTTTTTACAAGCATAGGCTAAAGCAATGATTAAAGACTTTCCAACTGCTAACTAGTTGAATAATTAGCTCTGGGCCGCCGAAAACGAAATCGATGCCGCCTGTCACTGGTTGAAAGTACAAGCCGAGCTTCCTTTTTCCGAAGACGTCATACTAGAAACGGACGAGAGAATCATAAAAACTAGATACACCCCCCTTGGTGCGACCCCCATTATCATATCAATGTCCAGAAATACTGACCGTGAAGCAGGCGTTGCTGTTGCCCTCGTGCCGTGGAACTGTGAGCCCAATCAGATATTTCACCCGTTACTGCGATTAACTGACTTGAATGCTAATTACGATAGTTCCTGTAATGCTGGGTATGTAAATTTTGCAAACGGGAGCTGTAATGTTGAGTTAATCTTCTAGTAGCGTGCGGCAAAATTGCTCCTGCTTTGGTAACAGGAAATACCCTCATTGTGAAACCATCGCAAGTACCACCCAAGATGTCATGGTGAATAATGTGCAAAGGCTAACGGAAATAATAGCCCGTTTACTCCATACTGCGACCTGAAACTCGTGGAGCTCGCACAGCGCTTTTTCCCACCTGGCGTACTCCAGTGCCTGAGCGGAGACGACAACCTTGGTCCTTGGCTAACGGCACATGGAGGAATCAACAAAGTCAGCTTCACCGGATCGACAGCAACTGGGAAGCTCGTAATGAAGAGCTGTGCAAATACCCTCAAGCGCGTGACGCTGGAGCTGTACGTGAATACACCATGAGACTGTAAGCGCATTTCTAATCATGCCACAGAGGAGGGAATGATCCCGCCATTATATGTGAAGATGTCGACGTAAGAGATACTGCCAAAAAGGTATTAGTTCAGAATTAACACGATTGTATCATGTATGGTGGCTGATATTTTACTAAACAGGTGGCTGAGCTTGCCTTCTCCAACTCGGGTCAGGTGAGTATCCCCCAAGTCCAGTTGTTAACCACACAGACTCACCACGAGACCTAGGTTTGCGTCGCTATTAAACGAGCCTATGTCCATTCTTCAATTTATGACGAGTTTCTCAGGAATATGGTAGATATAACGACGTCTATGGGCGTCGGAGACGGTCTCGCAGACAATCTTTCTCTTGGTCCACTTCAGAATGCGATGCAATATGACCGCGTCAGGGACCTTTTGAAAGATGTTAAAACTACAGGGCTAGATATATCTACTGGAGAACCAATTTCCAGCGATCTCAAAGCCAATGGTTACTTCATCCGACCAACAATCGTGAATAACCCTCCTCAAAGCTCTCGCATCGTCAGAGAGGAACCGTTTGGTAAGACTCATGCGAACAGAGCATAACGTCTACACAACGTGCTGAATGGGGCTAATGCATGATTATAGGCCCAGTTATTCCGTTACTGAAATGGGATACGGAGGAACAGGTTCTCGGCTATGCAAACGATTCCGATATGGGCTTGAGCGCGTCGGTATGGACTCGAGACGTTGCTCGGGCAGAACGCATCGCGCTCCAACTCGAAGCCGGGACGGTCTGGGTCAATAGTCATCTAGAACTTCGCCCTGATGCTGCTTTTGGCGGTCATAAGCAAAGTGGACTCGGGGCAGAATGGGGCCAGGAGGGACTGAGGAGCTATTGCAACACGCAGACGTTGTTTTTGGCAAAGAAATAGGCCTCATTAAATTTATTATCAGGACCTATTGCAATTTCAAAAACCCATTGCAAGATAAATTATAATTATACATGATCAATGTTGAACAAGATAGAACAGATATTTAGACAATGCGAGACATGGCCGAGGCTTGTATAAATTGCCAAGTAAATTTCCGATTCAGCCTTTGTTGGCTAACACAAGTCAAATTAAGTAATTGCATGGTGAAGGCTTTATAACTGCATGCCAAAGAAATCGTGCATTTATTACATTTCAATACATGGAGGTGTGATTCAGTGTGGTGAAACACCAATACGAGCGGCAATACAATTCAAAAGCACTAAGCAAACTGTTCGGAACCTAGGGTAATATGAACAATCCAAGCCAAAATACTAGCAGTTCACCGAAGATCCAAAACAATCCTGCCGTTAATTTTCCCGCTCTCCATATCCTGAAAAACCTACCAGACCAGGTGGTTAGTATCATGAGAATTTGGAAGGTAGGAGGTCGTACCTCGGTCAGGCTGTCCATAGGTCGCAGCTCATAATGAGTTTTGATCTTTCCAGCCGCAGCAATATCTAGACATTCCTTTGCCTCTTGACGATTTCCGCTTTTTGAAGCTACAATAGTAATATCAGATATGTGTTAGCTTCCCTTCCGCCAAATACCTTACAATGTGACCACAGATGCAGGCTTACCGAAGATGGTGAGCTCATTGGTGATCATGTCTGGAACATTCGCTCCTGCTATTGGTAGAGAATCGCCTTCTGGGACGCCAAGGCATGCCAGAACACCCCGGAAACCGGGAAATGAGACCGCTTGTGCATAGGCTCGGTGACTTGAAGAGCAGACAAGTACCACTTTAGCACCACTTCCAGTCACTTTATGAATCTCTTTAGCAAGCGCGCTATCAGTGGCGAAACCGGTAAAATCTATGAATATATCAGACCCAAGTTCGAGACAAAGACGCTCTTTTGCCGCAACGTCTAGGGATATTATGCGAGCTCCCATCGCTTTGGCATATTGAATGGCAAGGTGACCCAAGCCGCCACCCGCGCCTGAAATCACAACCCATTGGCCGTGGCGGAGATGAGCTCTTTTGAGAGCTGAATAGACAGAGACTCCGCCACACATGAGTGGTGCTGCGCCCGCAAGGTCGATTCCATCTGGAATTAACGTCACGTTGGATGCTTGGCTCAAGCAGTACTGTTGGAACGTCCCAGGCGTGAGATAGCCGGATACCGTGCCCGTTATGCATGTTGTTTCGCCTCCTTCGAGGCAATTGTCTAAATATTGATGATAAGCACGTGTTTAGAGATATGGTGTCCAAGTGCACAGCATATAACATGGAGAGTGAGTGCTCTAACTAGATACCTATGAATTACCAGATGAGACTTACCACAACTGAGACACGCGCTGGCTGCCCATTTGATGCCCACCATGGTGCCGATCCGAGGGAATGACACGCCATCACCTAGAGCGACGACCTTGCCAACACCTATTGAAAAATTAATCAGCTCACTCCGTGTCGAGATTGACCTTGTGGGATATCGTCACCTTCATGCCCGCCGATTTGCCCTGCAGGGATAAGATCTAGAGTTTAGCATTGCTACTACCTAGTCGCCTTAGCTATCAACACTGGGACACTCTTACCCTGCGGGGTTGGTAATGGAAGCGTTGAAAAGCCATTAGTGCATATCCCATAGTCGGTATGGCAGACGCCGGAGTAGAACCTAGCACACGAACATTCAGGGCTCTCGTTGGGTTTCAGGGCGGTGAGTAGCATAACCTACAGGCGGACCAACACCTCTCCCGAGCCCGGCTTTGGAATTGGTAGTTCTTCCACGCGAGCTGTAATCTCTGGCGGGTTTGCATATATCACAGCACGGTTCTTGGCTTCTGAATCGTTTGACATGGCGTTTAGTAGCGGTGGAGGATATGGATATTGTACGTTGATAGAGAGGAGACTTGGTGGCTTCCCAGATCTTCTTCTCGTTATTGATAAACTGACCGAGAGCCATGCTATAACCTGACGTTCATTGTTTATGTTTGTAGCGTTGAGCGCTAAATTCAGCTAGTGGGTTATTGGCAAGCGAGCCGAACCGAGTCAGAAAGTGCGACTCGAATCCTACAAGGACCCCGCCCCTACTCCATCTTGAGTTGTCTCATCTGGCGGACATTACAGGACGAGCAGAACCGAGGGTAAGCCGCTCGGAGCTTCAGCTTGGCCAGACTAGCCCAAGCGTAAATTTTATCTTGGTATTTTCTCAGCTCTGATTTCTTTTTTCGGCTGTAGATGTCAGCCTGCTAATTCGGCAATAGAGGATATGGATAGCTGTCGATTTCTTGGTGATCGGGTATTCTCACTTTTGTTTTCAGCAGCTGCTCCATTAATTGCATAGCTCTCTCATTTACCGCAAGTTTATCTGGCAAAGCTAGCCCGTAGCCGCAAGATTTTCTTTTGATTGATGCCTCAGTTTTCGGGTAAAGATATCGTCAGTCTCTGCTGATCGAAATCAGCAGTTTGCCAAGCCTCGACAGGATGGAAATCAAGTGAATGTAATCTTGTCTTCCCCAGTAATAGATAAATATTGGATAAAAGTCCCTCGGCACGTTTAGGTTCTTCAAAGAAAATGTAAGAAATGGTTACAGCGTTTCAAGCGCGATGTTGGCATCACATCAGGACTGAGCCACTAAGGCTGTTGCTTTCCATAAGGTACCTAGTAACCAGGGGTGCTCTTTCATCGAATTCGATAAGATTATTACACACCAGCACTGAATCGGTGTATCTAACCGCGGGAGCTGCGTTAGTATAGGCTCAGGCTCAGGCTCATTCTTGCTAAAGACTCAAATAAAATAAAGAAAAATATATAGAATAGGTCACTTCTATGTTGAGCATACGTGAGCAGATATAAATATATATAACCGGTTCATATGCCAAATGTCCCCGAGCTGATTCCACTTCTTCCTGATGAAGGTTTTTCATCATCACCCATTCTATGCAACGTCTCAGTCGTTTCCGCCAAAGACTCGCTGTCTTGGTCAGCATCGTTACTGGCTTTCTTTGATGCTTTCTGCTCGAAGGCATCTATAACGTCCCATCGTTTGTATTGGGTCAGCCTGGTGAGGCCCTATATACTGAGCGGTCGCACTATTGGCCAGCCCGAGGTTCCCATATGAGCGCTGCTGCGCGGCCCTACATATCCGATGCTGTTCTCCTGATGCTGGGATCGGAGGACACCCGCATCTGCGTGAGTGGCCTCTGGCGTAACGGCTTACGGCAGCTTAAGGCTATACGCATCACAAATCTTGCTCAGGATGCCAAGTCGCTGGAGCGTGCTCTATGCTCTCTCTACAGGCTCTAGGAGCAGGCATGAAACCTCGCGACTGCATGTCTGAAAGTCCTGGGCCCATTCTGCAATCGACGTGAAGAAAGCATAGCAATTCGAACTCTTGGTATGGCAGAACGAGCATGCTGTCGATTTCTAGTTGACAGAATTGCCTGTTATACTCATTCCAGTCCGGGCCGATGAGATTGCTCAATGATGCTGATGATGAAGCGACCGGGGTTGACGAAATGGAAGTGCAGCCTATGTTCTCAGATATCCGACCATCCTCAGCTCGCCCCCTGGAGACTCGCCCGTATGGGTCAGCCGTCTCGAGATCCAGGTCGATCTAACTAACCACGGCAAGTTTGTGCTGAGCACGACTCCGAATGGCCAAGTTGACATGGAATGCGACGCTGAGCCAGGACTGCCATTTTCTCTCACACAAGTCATGCCTCCAAGGGAAATCCTCGCACCCACAAAGACTTAAACATTCACATGAGATTTACAGATTTGATTGGTTGATTGGACGCAGCCTGCATGTCACCTACTGTCTTGCGTGGTTCGAGCTGCATGATGCCTGGTAGACTAGATCATCTGCCATTTCAAGACGGGAAAGTGTCCGCGACGATGGAGTGTAGCAGCAAAATGTAGACTACATACTGGCTGTTCCGTTGGCATGAAAATAATAACTTGAGAATAAATTTTTACATTACATTCTCGTCTCGTCTCCCATTTCCTGCACATTTGTTACAGCACAACAACACAAAATATCCAAGACAAACTCGCCACGGCACGCACAACCATCGCAATGAGGTCGCGACGCACCATCTCCATCGTCTCATGCCATGCCGAGGGCGAGAGCGGAGACGTGATTATCGGCGGCGTGCTCGATATCCCAAGCTCGACCATGCACGAGAAACTTGTCAAGTTCATCGACAAGTACGACGGGCTTCGCAGGCTGGTTCTCCACGAGCCCAGGGGCCGGCTCGAAATGAGCGCCATGATCGTCGTGCCTCCATGCGACCCTAGAGCCGATGCAGGCTTCCTCATCATGGCTCCTGGCGACTGGGTTCCCATGTCGGGCTCCAACACCATTTGCACGGCCACTGTGCTGCTGGAGACTGGAATGGTTCCTATGAAGGAGCCCACCACCGTTCTCAACTTGGATACTGCGGCAGGTCTGATCACGGCTACGGCGGTGTGTGAGGATGGCGCGTGCACATCTGTATCGTTTGACAATGTGCCCGCATTCGTCTACGCTTTGGATAAGGATATCGATGTTCCGGGGGTCGGGAGAATCCTTGTTGACATTGCGTACGGCGGGCAGTGGTATGTGCTGGTTCAAGCGGAGGCTTTGAGGGTTACTGTCAGTCTATCCGACGGAGATCGTCTTGTCGAGCTAGGCAACCGAGTGAAGAAGGCCGTCCTGGATACGTGCACGCCAGTCCATCCCGAAAACAGCGCCATCAGAGGCATCAATAATATCATCATTAGTGAACCTTTGCTTTCGGGGCCCGAGGGTCTATCGGTTCAGCACACGGTCATCGTAACCCCCGGGAGGCTGGATAGGAGTCCGTGTGGTACAGGGAGCTCCGCTCGTCTCGCAATTCTCCATGCAAGAAAACAAATCGAGGTTGGACAGGAGGTGAAGTTTAAGAGCATTATCGATACCATGTTCTTGGGACGTATTAAAGAAATTGTCAAGGTCGAGTCTCACGATGCGGTCGTTCCCAATATTACCGGCAGAGCATGGATAACTGGGGAAAAGCATCTATATGTTGATCCACGGGACCCTTTCCCTGAGGGATTTCAAGTTTAGAGACACCTATCTAACAAACATTCAATTGATTAACAAACGGAGCCTCCTTCGACTGTAAATGGATCATTGAAGTTGGATATGATGCTCTATGCTTTTTAGTGGTGGACCAAATGGCAGCAGTGTCCAGGGCGCGCGGAGACTTTCCCTTCGAGCAGATTTCCCCAACGCTAGCTTTTCTGTCGACCCTAACGAGAAGCAGGCCAAGGGTCGATGATATTAGATATTTCAGGCACAAAACATCCATTTGCATCACAGATACCCACCCAGTCCTGCAAGTGTGTGGAAATGTGATTGTTGAGTAGAGGACCATGTGGAGAGACGGGACCGAGAGGCCGCATCTGTTGCACAAGAGAGTGAGCCCCTTTGCTTTTAAACATTTCACGGCGCTTCACGGATCCTTTACAGATGCTTTTCAACAGTAGTGGTACTATAATGTTACCAAAGCCTTCGTAACATGCTATGGTGGGAGTAAACGCAGGTAGTTGGATGCGAATATTGGTTTACACCATTAGATGACACACAAGCTTCACCGTCTTTGCAACAGCATGGACATGGGAGTCTTAGGTCAAGAACAGCTGAGAGGGCTCGCAACTAGAAACTTTACGTACTCCTATCCTATCTTCGCCCTGCCTCATTTTCTTCACTACTGGAATTCTTAGGGGAAGCCTGGATCATAAGCTTAAATCTCTCCTCAGTCTTTAGAACGAGATATTTTGTCACATTTAAGGGTTCAAGTTCTTGAAAATGATATCATATCTTCTCTTGCCATCCGCATTATAGCCTTCCACGTGATTATCACCCCAGGGCTGCATCCAGGTGTCTGTTCTGAATCAGTTGTGATACTCTCCACTCGACTCAGGTATTAATCATTGCTTACCATAGGTAGTTGCAGGCTTAGTCTCGCATAGCCAGAGAAATGTACTGTTGACCGAGTCTTTCAAGTCGTCTTTCGGAAAGGCCTGAGTGACTGCGAGATAGTCGTCTTCAGCAACACCATTGGCTGGCCCGGAGAAATCCAACTGAATCCCTCTAGATACAACTTGAACGTCAAGCTCTTTGAAGTAAGCAATGGACCGTTCGGTATGCAACGCGATCGCGTCCCACACGAGCTGCACCTTGCGCTCGTCCCAACTTTTCCCATCCTCATGGCTCCGGATAAAGTCACGCGCAGCATTTGCTCCATCAACCTCGAAGCGTTTGTCAGGGCTGATGATGGATGAGTTGCCTCTATACCAACCAAGGTCATGGAGGAGCGTGGAGACGGCGTGAATCTGCAGGTCGACGTTATTGAGCAGGGTCTCGTTCGCGTTAATCATAAGCACTCCATATAGCCAGGACCGCATCACATGCTTGTAGACAGGGTGGCTGCTATGCTTGATCGCATAGTCCTCGGCATCTCGAACGAGCGGCGTGTTAACGACAGAGACCCCTGCAATTTCCCGAGTTGGGTAACCCAGAGATCCAGATGTTGAGCTCAGCCCAGCTGAAGCAGGAGAGAAGCTCGCGGCTAACAAAACCCACATGGAGCATCTTTTAACAATGGTGGTCAACATATTGAGTCAGCAGGAGATGCAAAGGGTAGAATGGTGGCGAGATCCAACGTCGTTGGCTGTCAGTTCCCAAATGCGCCTAGTGAACTATTATTCGGGTTAACATGTAAATCTTCTCCTAGCCTAAATATGAGCCAGATAGAACGGGCACGGTGATGTTATAAACCAGAATGAAGAACACTACCTATATAAAAGTTCACCGCCACACACCCTTGCCAAGTTATAAGCGCGCGGGTTCCCAAATCAGAGAATCGCATGTCGATCATCATCCCTAGATCTAGTTACTACACATTTAGACGAACAGCCCCGGGGTAATCAGACCCGTGACCGGGCAAATGCAAGCCTGAAACCTGCTCAAAAGTGCGCTTGACGATGAAAAATGTAGAAGTGGGGAGGATGATTGTTAAGCAACACCACAATCTATGTCTCGTCCGAGCTTACTAGCATGCTTTGTTGGTAAGGGGTGAAGGGGTCAACACCAACACCAGCATCAACATGGGACTAGCCATCACGCTGAGCAGTTATCTTCATCGCAAAAGCAGACACGTATGGAAGAAAGGATGCACAAATTGACAAATGTATTTTTGACTCGAATATTTTAGCCACGAAGTAAGCTCTCATTCATCTACATCGCTGTACCTAACAATCAAGGCGTTGGCAATTATACATGAACATTCAACGGCCCTGCTGTGAGGGCTCAAGTCAAGATCAAATAATCAAACCACCGATTTCGCCGGTTTCTTTGACAGTTTATTACCCGATCTCGAGCACTTCGAGTATGATTCGATACATCAACAGTCGGTGCTTTTCGTCACTACAATGCTGCCGTACATCTCAAAGCTTCAACCCTCATGGTGTCTAGTCAATCTATGGCATCGTTAATACCGATGAGAGTTCGAGTACGGCATAAAAAACAGCAATAGAAGATGTCAGACCCGACATCTCAACACAATAAATCCAATATCGTGTTTAACTGCCCTTGCTAGATTTACCACTGTTGGGCCCACACCAGGTTAACCATTCTAGAATTGCCGACCACGACGAGTTCTAAATCATGTTTTGATGACTTACACAATTTGCCTCCTGCAATGTCTCGATTAGTTTCATCTCTTGGATGTCGCCGCTACGGAAGAGAGGATCTCAGGAACATACCCAGGTAGGTGAGTCTGTATCGACAGTGCAACCATTTGTGCAAGACTGCCCAGCAGGGCATGGTTGCCCAGCACCATCATCGCCAATTTGTATAGTGCAATGATCTTCAACTACACATTTTCCTCGTATGATGTCTGCTACTACATCCGTAGACAGAAACATTCCGAGAGCAATTGCGGTGAAATAGTCGGAGCGCATTGTTGATTCGTCGTATATGAATGATAGCGTGAGTTAGTATCTGCAGATAAAATGCTGACTTGAAAAAGGGCGCAGGATCAACATTTATAGTAAAATAGCTTGCTGAAAAGAGTGTCAAAGACCTCTACGTCTCTTTACTGCAATGTGGGTGGTCAGGCGAAAAGTTCTCAAGTTCCGGATTAGGGTACGAAATGCGAGGGTTTGCATAAACAACGGGAAGACTATGATAAGATTAAGAGATTTTTCAGGAAAGGTATCCCCTCATCGGAAATTGATTCTTTCTCAGGAAAGAGCTGCAATAATTCTCCGACAGAGAGATCAATTGATGTTACATCATCGTCAAAATAAAAATATCGGGATTCTGGTCAAAGAATAGTCACGAATATCTGTACTATAGAACGACGTCAACTAAACATTGGTATTGAAAAAAATTTGGACCTGTCACTTTTCTAAAAAAAACAACAAAACAAATCGTTTCACCGCGAATGTATTTGATGCCTAAACATATGCGCATGCAACGTGGAATTCTCGCCAAGGAGCGAGATCTGGCATATAAAAGCTCCAGGGTAGGAGTGGATCATGAGATATGCAAGTTTTCGCAGATATTGTATGTTTTTGGCTTAGACGCGGCAGAAGCATTATGCCGGTTCAAGCATCAGGGGTATATATTTATGGGACCATCAGCCTTGTCATGCCTTACACAAGACATGGCGGTAGGGGTTCAAGGGTACCAATCACGTGGCGTAATCAATCCTTCTGATTGTCACCCATATTCTCACTGCCGACATCTGAACAGTACAACTGAACAGTCCAGCCACGTTCCTTTCCCAGCCATCGTAGGCAAGAGGCATGCTGTTTTCGGATCCGTACAGCAGATGGCGTCTTCCACGAAACCTAGAGGTTGCGGGACGTGTCGGCGAAGAAAGGTCCGGGTGAGCTAAAGCCAACGTGAAAAAAATCGGGTTGCGGTTTCTAATTCCTAACTGGGCGTTCGGCTACCAGTGTGATTTAGGTATCTACCTCCGCTGCATACATATGTAACCTTCGTGCAACGCGCACTAACTGCAAGAAGAGCGGCCCGAGTGCCAAAAGTGCTTCACTACCGGCAGGACATGTCTAGGCTATGACCAGCGCTACAGCTTCAAGGTAAAGACCAAGGTCGATTTTGGCAAAAGGGCGGATGATTACCATGATCCGGGCACCTGCTCGGCGACACGAACGGAGACTGCGAATAACGAAGAGAGTCGGCCAGAGCTCCAGCACCCCTTGTCTACGGGCTTGGCACAGACGCCTACAGAAGCTTGCGGTCCAATCTCCGAGTGCTTCCTGCAGCTGTTTCTGCCTAAATATAATGATTACCGGAGCATAGAGATGCTGCCTGGTGGTTGGATACGGTCACTGCCCGCTATGTTCCACTACAGGGACCAGACTCTTGACAGGAGCCTCCTGGCCTTGTACGCCGGCTTTGTTGGTAAGAGGGAGCGTGACCCGCGTCTAGCCAAGATCTCGGTGGAATGCTACATCAAATCACTTCACACGCTACGTAACAGCGACGTGTGGGTCAAGAAAAGACCGTCCGCCGCAGAGATCAATGCGACCCTGGCAACTGTCCTTGTGCTCTCCCGTGTCGAATTGATGTCTGGAGAGGATGGAAGCGGCGGATATGTGGCTCACATAAGGGCGGGTTTGCAGCTTCTGAGGCGTCCGCACCCGAGTATTTCCCGCGACAATGAGCTGACTTGGATGTTGGCAAAGCGGCTGCGCTGCCTTGGGGTGAGTCGAGCCCGACGTCTGTCTGTCTCCCAGTACCGCGATAACGAGCTAAGACGTTCTAGTTCTACAATGCCGCCAGACAAAGGCGATCCTTTTTCATGGCCCAATCTCCGTTCAGCGAGTGGTGTTTCTCTCGACCAAGCGAGCCAGACTACCTCTTGCAAAAGGCTATTGATGTTGCGATTAGCATACCGACGATCATGGAAGAGGCCGATGCTTTAGATGCCTCGGCATCCATGTCAGAAGATGATTTACGGCGTTGCCTTCGCACCGCTAAGCGCCTCCTTGGGCAAGCCTTTGAGGTGGCCGAGAATCTAGAGCAATGGCTCTTGGAGACTCGAGAGGCTCGGCTGTCTTCATCAATCATCCAAGCTCAGGGCTATGCGAGCACTGGTGAAGCAGGAGACTGCTGGGAGGAGAATACCCCTCCCTATTTTGATCCCAGCAGCTACTCGTTGCTCATCAGCTGGTATTTTTGTCTGCGGATATATCTCTTCTATCTTGTCAAGCAACTTCGGATGCGCCATGATGCGTGTTCGAAATTGGTTACCTCACCTCCCGCTCCACTTGCGTACGTTCGAACAGAATTGTGCCACGGTGGATCGGTACGCATTGAGTATACGGAGGTCCGTGACAACCGCCTTGACTGCGAGCGCATTCGAGGCTCAGGAGGCCCTTGTTCTGATATTCACACTGTATCGCTACTGGAAAGGGAAAGGAGACGATCACAATGCTCTCTGTTGCATTCACTGGCTGGAGGAGATCAAGAGTCGGGGTCTCGCAGTAGACGTGGAGGTGGACGAGAGATATGCCATGGTTACGGCCAGGTTCATGGGGGAGCATCAGCCATTTGCGAAATAGATGGGATAATTTTGTTAGGCCAATGTATTGCCAACATAAAAGACTGGAAATGGTCAATATTCCACTCAATATGAGGCGGTAACATGTTTCTTATTCACGCTGCTATCGTTTCTCATACCAAGCTCCTAAATCTAGCACAACAAATCGATCTAATTGAGCATTTATGATACAGATCAACTGTAGCGATCACAAGTCAAATCAAATGATGAACATGACACATCATCATGAGGTCGCAGACCATTTTACAAACCAAGCTAGGGCTTGAGCTTCAGCTTGATCAGCGTATTCCATCTCGGCCTTGTCATTCGGATGCCCTCTGATGGCGAACCCGTGCTTTGCCCCCGGGATGATGAACATCTCATGCCTGCCTGCCTCTTTGGACTCCAAGATCTTCTTGGCCTGCTGCGCCTGCGCCTTCTTCAAGGCAATATCCACGTCTCCTACAGATACGCTCAGAGGTACTTTGACAGCCTCAATGTCCACGGGGACTTGAATCATGACCGGGTGCGCCACGAAAGCAAAGTCCAGGAAAGGCTGAGTGTTACCGGGTGTAGTATCGATCTGAGACCCGCGTCTTTCAACGCCCGATGTCTCAGCGTCTTGCGCAAGCATCATCAAGTGCTTACCACCCCAGCAGAAACCCGCCCCTCCCACTTTCAGGCTTTTTGTTGCAAACGGAGGAGGCGAGGCCCGGATTTTCCGGATGAATGAAACAACTCTCGGATGAGTAGCATTTATGCTGCAACTTAAGAGAAAGGGAACCACCATTCCCATCGCTCTCATCACACGAAATGGCTTCTTCGCGACCGTGTCAAACCAGCCACTTGGTCTAACAATCTCGTCGAAAAGCTCCATCGCAGACGAATCCACGGCGTGTCCTAAATCATGCTTCAGTCTATAGTAGGCCACCTGATGGTCATTATTTACTACTCACCATTCATAAAGTCAGGAACATAGACTAGAAACTGGCCTTTGGTCGCATACCGGTCCGCCAAGATTCGATTGTTGATTGATTTCCAGCCAAACACGTCTGAAATGAAAACTATGATAGCTCTAGGCGTCAGGTCCATGTGTGGCCCACTGACATAAGTTGGGATCCCGTGGATGATCATTTCCTTGCCAATGGGAAGGCTTGTGGATGTATTGCCTCGGAAGCAGTCAGGGCACGACATGGTGTGGCTGAATGGCAATTATCTGACCTGGAAGTTGGCGAATAAAGGGGTGGGATCAATTTCTGATAATGATGAAGGTTTGGGTGATTTAATCTTTCAGGATATTGACACCTATATATGCAATGTTACTTCACTCTCCAAAATCTTATCCTTGCTTGAATGCTACAATTTCCGCACTATCCGTCCAATCTTCCCAGGAATGGCATATAGCTCTTGCTATTGTACTCGCGTCAGTGCCCTCGATTGAGTCCGCTAGTGCTCACTTTAGCAACGGAGCAACCTCGAGGCCGTTTGTGGAGCCTTGCCGAGCGATGGTGTATGCACATCGGTAATATGCCTATGAAGCCAACGGAGAACAAGGCTGATGTCACTGGAAGCCATGGCCGTGTGGCACTGCACTCCAGATGATGAGCCGGACGTTGAATCTTGCCGAGCTGGCAGACTAGGTAGGTTGATTAGCTAGTCTGGTTTAGGACAAGAACAGCGAGAAGCTGCATCCTTAGTAACGGATTATGGGAATGGAGGATCCAGGTGCCAGGTGCAACGTCAGTATGGCTAAGTCCGGTAGTTATAATTATAGGGCTGGAGAGGACTTATCTTGGCGTTTTTATCCCCCTAACTGCGTATTACCTGGTGCATTAGCTTATGATCTATAGTACTATAAAAGGAGTGATTTATGATTGAATAAGATTATTAGTATCTTAATCTCATTACTTAAGTACTTAATAATAGTAAACCTATACCCTGGCCCTAGGATAATAAATATCTTATACCCACCTACCTCCTTAAACCCTAAAATCTTCTTAGCCTACTAACCTACGCCTCCTTTAAGGCAATATCCATATCTCCTATAGATGCCCTTCCGGGTACTTTAACAGCCAAGTTTCTTTTCTAAGAAAAGCTAGTCAAAAAGGCAAGGCAAAGCGTAGCCACTACAACTCTTATAAGCAAGCGGTGCACACATGATACATGCATGGAGATACATATCAACCTCAGGATTTCTCCAATGTCTTATGGATGGCACGCAGCCTGATGCTCTTGTATCGATATCTTCCCGCCCACGTGAAGAACAACATCATCGAATATAAATAGAAAACAACTGCTGCAACGGTAAGAGGAGCCACGAGGGAAAATACAGTGAAACCATAAGACACAGACTGAAAAGTCGCATTGTCACTTAGCAGTGTGGTCGCCAGCCCGACCTGCATGGCGGTCAGGACGATAGCAATGAAGACGGTGATAGTGGCGAGGACGGAGAAGCTGTCGCGGAAGAAAGACCCATATCGAAACCCGTACCTCTCATATCGTATCTGTCCGCTCCAAGAACTCCAGGCGTTTAGCATTCTTGTCAAAATGCGGGTATCGAGCTCGCCGAAGACGAATCGCGGGCTAATCTCCTCGTAGATACTCTCGCTAGCAAGGGTCTGCCGGACGAATTCTCGCCACGCTCCCCAGGTGACTTCAGATGGCAGAAGGTTCTTGTCCTTGGCGATCAAGAAGTCTCCTTCGAAGCGCACGAGTGCCGCGTAGGAAAAGAGGAAACCGCGTGCACTCCGGTACGCTTTTCGGCGGTCGCACTGCTCTGTCCCATCGTCCGAGCAGAGACAGTCCTTGAGGCACGAGAGATGACGGTCCCAGAAATGGGGCTCGAGGAGGAGGCGCGGCATTGGTTTTATGAATATGCCGCGGTGGTTCCAAACTAGATGCTTCTGGATTCTCTCCGTTAGAAGGATCTCGGGGTTCGCGGAGACTTGGATGTGCAGAGGTAGAGGTGGTCTGGGCCGACCGGCCATCCACAACCATCGTGCAAGTTGATCTAGACGATCCACGTCTAATATTCGCCAGATGTAGGCATCACTGAGCTCTGGGACGTCTAGGTCGTCAGACTGGTTCATGTAGCATGCCGGTAGGGCCGAAAGCAGCTGCTCATCGATCGTAAGGACGACCGTGGGATCGCCTAGGAGGCGGATGTTGAATGGTGCGGCCAGGATGGCCTCATTATGGGCACTATTAGAGGTGCGAGCGCTCTGTGCTTGTATCACCATGTTGGCTCCTTCTTGTCAAGATTTACGTGTAGCAATGATGGCCTTAGTTCACAGTGGCGTTGCCATAATCTTATAAAAGCACAATTACCTCTTACATCGTGTCATAGGTCTCAAGCTGGCAGACCAGGTACTGTAATAAGCAGTCAAGAAGCTAAACAACACCGAGTTAGGTTCTCTCCAGCCCCATAATTACGACCACAGGCGTCCGCCATGCTGACATCAAATTGTACCAGGCATCTGGATCCTGCATTTCTGTATTAATGCGTTACTAAGAATGCAGATTCTCGCCTTTTTTATCCTAAATTAGACTAGCCCATCGACCAAGTCTGCCAGCTCGGCAATATTCTCTGGTGAGATCGGCCTTTTCTACGACGGCTTATAGGCATGTTACCGATTTGCAAACACCATCGCTCGGCAGGGCATTATTTTAGGTCGGAGAGTCGGAAGGATTATGAGTGGGACAGCTTGCACGGCAAGTGCTTTCAAAATCGATGCCTTCCTATATATCAGACCTAATAAGCGAGAGGCAGCCCGAACCTTGGTGCGAAGTTGTGCGAAGTTATGACGCAGCCTCCCATGCGAGACATATGTATACATCCTCAGCTCAGAGAAAAGTATTTTCATTCACGCAGCTTGATATTATCACGGGAATATTCGTTAACTACCCGGTATTCTTGTATTTTCCTTGCCATGGCCAAAATCGCGGGCATCTACTGGGTTAAGCCCGCATCCATGGTTAGTTGTCTCATCATCGGCGCATTGCTCGCTCTCGGTCATCACCTCTTTTACCAGAGCCTCGCAGGCGAAAGCGTATCATCGGACGGCACCTTTGCGGCATTTGGAGCAAGCATCTCCAAACAGCAAACAAATACGTCAATCGGCACAGCAATCAGCTTCCTCGTCAAGGCCTTTCTCGTAGCCGCCGTCTCGATGGCCTATATCCAAGTGTTTTGGAGGGCCATCAAGGTTGGTCGCCCGGCGTCTGATCTGCATCTCTCCGGTCTCAATACTACGTCTTCAGGTTTGAATGATCCACTTGCTTTCTTTGACATCCGAACGTGGCTCCGAAGTCCCATGCTTCTATGCTTAGCAGCTGCTTCATGGTAAAAAGCCCTTGGGAGACCGTCGTTATGTTGAATATTCTGACTAAATGTGACTAGGCTCATACCTAATGCCTCAATTATAGCACCAGCGACGTTATCGGTGCTTCCATCCTTCGTTGATCCCCCACCGTCATCGATGGTCCTCGTACCAAACTTGGATTTAGAAAGTCTATCCTTCGTGGCCAACATGCCAGCAAGCCAAGGAGATTACAATACATACCTCTACAACGGACCGAGCCAAGCAGTCCGGGAGGTGGCCACTGCAGTAGCAGCTCGAGGAGCAATTTTACCAATACGCCCTCCTGAGGTCAACGCAACGTGGTCGCTAGGTTTTTACGGTCCGTCACTACAATGCGGTAATGTCGATGATGGACTATACCAGGCTTTCATCGAAAATATCAAGTCTTATCTCCACAGTGGCACGAACTCTGTACAGTGTTACCAGCCTTACGGATACCTTGCATGGTTCCCGCGACTAATGGTGAACGGGACTTTGGATACAGTGCCACTGGTGAATGTCAGTGGTACTCTAAGCCCCTTATCAGGGACAATGTCACAACTTGGCAATGGTCAAAATGCCACCATGTATCTGATTGCCTTGCCAGACTTGTTCCAAGTCAGCTCGCAGATCACCCATACGGACCCAGAAGCCTGCAAGTCGAATGGACCTAATGCGGATCAGTATTGGGAGCAATGGACTGCTGACGGGACAATGCTCCAGTGCCAGCTTATCAACTCAACATACCATGTGAATTTCACCTACACCAACGGTAATCAGCATATCAATGTGTCAAGCTTTCCGACTGGAGATACCATCACTACCGCCAATAACGTTATTGGTCCGTCCAGAGGACCAGATCAGCGTTGCCCAACACTCACTTTCTCGAACACAAGCTGCGAATTCGCTAAAGAAATCCTTGGAGTACTCTCATTTCAGGCCATTATGGATGCATTCAGTCAAAATGTAGTCGGTGCGATCTCCATTAGCGGTGGAGCAAGTGCTGATCTGACGCTGGATATCGACTCCAGGATCATGGCAACTTCTCTGGTTAACACTATTGGGCTATCCTTCCTTGAACACTATGCTATTAGCACCCGTGGCACCGGGGAATATTCAAGTCTACAGAGCGAGCTATCTTTATTCGACGATCCCAGCGTCCAGGGAATTCGAAACAGCGCCACCAGCATTAGAAACCAGACTCTGAGCGATGCTCTAGAGGAGTTGTTTCGGAATACGGTGGTGAGCATGATGGGTTCCGATGCTCTGCAACCGAATATGTCTTCCGACACAGCCCCGCCGCCAACAAAAGTAACTTTTCAGAAAGTCCAGAACATATACGTGTACACAGCATGGAAACTGTGGCTACCGTACGGATTTGCAATCGTCCTGGCTACTGGGGCTGTAGCCATTGGCCTTTTCGCCATGTTAGATAACAGGGCATCGTACAGCCACGATTTCTCAACCATCTTTCTGGTGGCGAAGGGCACTGACGTTGATATCCCAATCGCTCCTGATGATTTGGAGGGAGAAGACCCTCTCCCATCCTATCTTGGAGACGCTCGATTGCTATGGGCACAAAGGTCTGCTGCTCACAGTGCAAATGATTCCGACCCAGAGATTCTGTAGTTCCGGAGGAAAGAAAAGACATGGAAATCTGCCTTCGAGGTCTGTAGACTCGCCCCATAGATCAAAGTAGACGGATCCAATATGAAATCATACAGTCAAAATGATTATTGGTCTAAAACTAGAATTTGACATTATGCTCCCGAAGCAAATTCGATGTTAAAAGTGAGCATAACAGACAGTTTGCTCTTCTTTATGCAAACACTTAACAGATCCAGCACGATATATTGGTCAAAGAATCTTAGTTTCAAACAGGCAAATTTAAGTAGCCATAGGCATGTAAAAGTAGCGCACATGCTGAGAATACAAATACACGGCTGTGATGGGGGATCCGTTTCAGATTATAACCCTCCCGACAGTCGATCGTGTCACTATCCGAAGACTGACTGCAAGTTTTGGCTGTTGAGGAGGAAAAAATCATCAGAAGTGAACTCCTCAATATTTCCCAACGCCCCTGACAGAGGCCAACGGTTAAACTGTCTTCGCCCACGCAATGGTAGCTCCCAGCCGGTCGCCAGATGCATAGAACAGGTACGTCTTGCCTCCGAAGGTGACGATTTCAGGAGACGCCACACGCCCGACATCCTCTCCATTACCGCTGGATTTATGCAGCAAGATTGGCTGGGAGCTCACCTTTCGAAGCGTCTTGTCAATAGTCCGAGCGTACGAATTACCGCTGGAGGCGTGGTATATAACGTAAAGCTGTCCTTTCCACTCCCAGAGGCTTCCTCCTGAGACGTTGGCCCCCTCTTCGGGACCAGGCTCAACAACGTAGTTGGGGTCCACAGTCCAAGTGCGCCCGTCCTTAGACTCGGCCAAACGAATGCGGCGCACGTTATCACGCTCGTTGCCCATATAGAACATGCCGTAAGCGTAGCCAGAGGCCGGATTGCGGTGCGTAAAGACACGCGCATAACTCGTCTCTGTGACGTTTGGCCCTCCCATACTGTTATTCACGGCAAGGCCTCCGTAATCAAAGTTGACGCCGTCGTCGGTTTCTGCCCAGCGAGTCTGGGAGTTGCTCCCGTGGAAGTACACGAACAAGCGGCCGGCCTCCTTGTTCCACTTTGCATCCGGACTGGAGACATGGGGCACTGAGTAGTGCCCCGACCACACGTTCTTAATGACCGGATTGTTGGCGTACTCGGTCCAAGGCCCGTCAGGGCTGTTGGCATACATGAGCGAGATGCCGCCGGGATCGTCATGCGGGGCATAGTACAAATACCACGCCCCAAGGGGCTTTTGTAGGTAAACGCTGGCATGGAATACCGAGGGAAAGATGAATTCTTTGGTCGGGTTGTACTGAAGCTTGCTCTTGTCAGTCACCACGCCCTGGTACGTGAACACTGGCCATCCATCTGGCTGCGGCGCCACCTGGGCAGTTGCGACCGTTATTATAATCGCCCCAATGAGCATACGTAGAGTAGTCGCCGCCTTCATGGTGTATACTGGTTTCTCTCCCGGTCGGGCTGGGTTATAACAAAAAGATTGCAAGTTGCGGCCTTTTCCTGGATCTAAGGAGCTAGCAGTGCGATGGTTGAATTGATTGTTGCATATATACGGCTCGCATCATTGCATCTTATGCGCTTTATGCTGTACTTGTATGATGTTGTTTCTTGCGAGCCTTTCGGTTAGGAACCGATATTCCCCGAGGAGCGTAAACCGAGATCCTCAGGAGATCAGACCAGTTTCAGCCTACAGCGAAGTTCTTCCTTTTAGCCCTTTGGTCCACTTTATCTTTTGGAGGAGACATGTGACTGGGCCGTTTGCAGGGCTGCTCTAACATCGGTAGATGACCAAAGAAGTAGTGCCGAAGGATCCTTCCAGAATTAGCCCATTATTTCTCCTAGCGAAGTTATCCATGTACTCAGGTGGGTGACCAAAGATCTACGAATGGAGACCAAAAAGGACGGTAGATTGAGGGGGGCGACTTCAGTGAGTCGCGTGACTTATTAGTGCCACAAAGCTGATGGGCTCTAGTATACCTATGTAGGCAACCGGGGACCATAACTGATGAAACCAGCGTAAAATATTCTTGCTGTAGCTGGACTGTCTTTGTGTGTAGTGTCAAGCCTGTCGTTGACTTATACTATGCCGCTCAGTTAGCAGCCCACAGAGCGTTTCTCCCTTTTCTAAGATCACTAACTTGAGTCTCAACCTGATTAGCACAAGCTTCCATAGATCCTCTCTAGAGAATCGGAGAGTAAGCGTCATTCCCACTCAGAAAATGTGAACTTCAAGTTCAGTAGATGTCGACAAGTATCAGAGGTTGACTGAAGGTGAACACTTGCCCTCAGTTTCATAATGATAGTACGCTTGAAGCTGCATGCACAGCCCATGCGCTAGTATTATTGCGCAAGTTACTGTTCGTTGACTATAATAACATTAATGGAAGAAAATGATTGCATCATGGTTATAGAATTATCCGGCGGGTCCGTAAGCTTCACATAATTGCCCCCCTCTAGAGAGGGGGTGATATTGACTGTAACTTTGACGCATTTATAACTAAGATCTAAAAAAAATCTAATTAATTAATTATATAAGATAAAGTTTATTTTAAAAATACTAATAAAATTCTTATTATATAAGCTTTTTATATATAGCTTTATATTATATAATATAGTTTTATATAATTAATTATTTAATTTATAAGCTTTTTAAAAAACTAAATAATTAAAAAAAAAATTAAAGAAAAAGTATTTCTTATAATTAGAAATAAATATTATAATTCTTAAATTTTAAGGGATTTTTTAATATAATTTTTATATTTATAAGTTATATAATTAAAGAACTTTTTATATAAATTTAAAGAATAAATAGAAAAATTAAAAATTAAAAATTAAGAAGATTTATATAGAAAGTTCTTTAATTATAAGATTTATAAATATAAAAGTTATATTAAAAAATCCCTTAAAATTTAGAAACTATAATATATATTTTTAATTATAAGAAATATTATATCTTTAATTTTAAAAGATTTTATTTAATATCTTTTTAATTTTCTTTAAAATTTAATTTATTATTTATTTTATAAGCTATAGATATAATAACTTATATTTATCTTAATTATAATATAGATTTTTTATAGTATTTTTAACATAGCTTTTATTTATATATATTTAAAATTAAATTATATAGGATTTTTTAAAAGATCTTAGTTACGAATGCGTCAAAGTTACGGTCAATGTCACCCCCTCTCTAGAGGGGGGAAATTATGCGAAGCTTACGAACCCGCCGGATACTGCCCTGCTGAGCACCTATCTCACATATTGAAATCAATGTGAGAATAATAACATACATCGATATGTGCCGTCATTAAATACTGAACATGATATAATTCTCGTACCAGAACGGTTGCGACTGATAGCCTCGGGATTCTGTGATCCCTTGAGTATCTGTCACAGATTAGGCCAAACTAGCCAAAAGGAAAATTCCTTGCCTAGTCTTCCACGGTTACCCTTATATAGCACCTGTCATAGTATCCTACACTGCCCCAGTAGACACTACACGGCTTTAAGAGCCTATAAATCGCTTAGCTCCCCAATAATCTGTCTCGAGGCGCGCAGGAGTAAGTCGAAGAGGGACTCCTGAACCATAGGCCTCCAACATGGTTCCGTTCCCTGCATACATCGCGACATGATAGATTGTGCTTGCACTAGTGGCATTGCGGGCATAGAAGAGGAGATCACCCACTTTGAGATGCGATACCTCCACCTCAACACCAAGCGTTGACTGTGCCTGTGGCCCAGAGTCACGGGGAATCACAATGCCGTGCGAGTTGTACACCGTGTATGTGAAGCCTGAGCAGTCAAAGGCGAATCCAGAGGTCCCGCCCCACAGGTAAGGCAAGCCTGTGAACAATATTCCGGTCTCAACAATGTCCTGACCTGTAGGGTTAGGAATATCTGAGCTTTGCTTATACATCGCGACGTCGGCTCGGTTCAAGTAGGCGATGCCGCCCGGTATGGCGACCTGAGTCGCGTTGGAAAACTGAGTGATCAAAGGCAGCCGAGTATTGAAAGCAATGTCCATAATCTTGTCTGAAAGCTGGACGTCTCGGTAGAGTGGTGCAATTTTAGGCCTCGTAACCTGTGCGAAGGGTTGCGTCTGCTGTAAAGTGCCATAATAGTCGTCATTCGTTGACACGTGAGAGGAGGGAACCCAACCCGGGTATCCGATCTGGGGTTTAGTGGTTGGTACGGGCTGATCAGGGACGGCGATCTTGTACCAATCGCCCTGGGTTTCCGTGATAATGACTCGAGATCCATAGAGAACCTGGGTCTCTGTCCGTGAGTTCGCGCTCAGATCTTTGAACTGGTCTACCGTCATTGAGTCCAGCCATTCTTGGACTCGTACCGGGCTACTGAGAGCTGGTGCGTCCACAGCACGAGGTTTGCTTGGGTCTTTCCAAATTGTCGAAACCGACACATTCACAAAGCCGAATCTCGAAACTTCCGAGTCCTCACTACGGCTCCAAGCATGCGGTATTGCGGTTACAACTTGGAGGAGAAGCAATCCAACAATGTTGGCAAGTGAAAGGCAGGAGGTCATAGTTGTTCGCAGGATGATGAAATAGAACTTGGCAATTTTGAGGTCATCTGGCTCAGATAGAAATCAAAAGCCATAGTGATTTTTGATCATTGGCAATTGGCATATTTATCTGCTAAGAAATCGGTTCAAGGATACGAGAAAACGTGTCGATGCGTAACGGGCCCATGCTGATAAGAAGCCTTGGAATTGTCAATTACAGGCGCACTTCTTAGAGCAACGTCGGATTTTCCGTTGTGCTCGAGGTTGAGAATTAGCCGAAGATCGTTCCATGGTTTTGGGTAGGATTATACATGGGTCTCCCCCACGGAGCGATAGATAACGAACCGATCTGGTGGTTCTCCATACGTCGGCTTTTCCGATGAGTCCCTCGTTTACAAGTCCCGGATCCCGGATCCCTGATGAATCAATTTGCAATACACCCTCATAATCATCTGATTATGTAGCAGTTCGATGTAGCGACAGGGGAGGGGAGCCCAATAGATGATGATGTCGGTATGATTAGTTACCTACGTTTGTCTATCAACAGACGTGACATTAAGACAAAAGTGAAGAAGGGATCCTGGAAGCAATGCGTATCTCATTGAATTGAAGCCCTTTCTTGAGCTACTACCTAGGTACTAGAGTCTTGGCATATAGGAAGGAGATTTCGAGATCAGCTGTGAGGCAAGTTGAGCCACTTCATTGGCAACTCCCCAACTGAGTTCAAATCCTCGGCCTCCTGCGCCATACGCATGAATAACCCGGCGCGAGGGCAATCTTGTGGCCCCTTTATCTACTCGTTTCTCCTCTACTTCTACACGCATGCCTCCTTGTCGCGTAGGTCTTCGCCCAACAACGTCAGCAATAACACGCATTGCTTCCGTTTTGCTAATTGATGCGGTATTCGGAGAGGAACAATATGGCATCAGCTTTTCTCCAGCCTTCAAAAGATCTTCTCTGGTTGACATAGAAGCTTCCGAGTTCCATTCTCCTGGCTCCTTCGTGCCACCCACAATGGTGCCTCCATTGAAAAATCTGGGGATGATGAAACTCCATGTACCATCCTGATGTTGTCTTGTAACAGTTTTTGACGCTTGGGTCAGATTTGTTAAAACGATTTGTCCTGCGTAGTTGATGTATATGTGTTAATGTCCACTGTGCATGAAGCTTGGATGGCATTTCATCTTACCCCGTGTTGGAAACGATAAATGGTCCCCAAACCCGACACCGCTTGCATTAACGACCAATTCGACATCGCGGACGAGACTAAAAGCTTCCCATTCGCTCATCAAGTCTCTTTGTAGTGTCTCTCCACCTTGAAGGATCAACTTCCGCAGCAAGTTTCGACAATACACTGGCGAGTTAATACAAAACGTTTCGTATTCAAACCCTAGAGCGACACCCTCTGGAAGTTCCGTACCGCCCAGAGCTCTATACCCTCGCAAACCTGATTCCGCCTCAAATCTTGCTCCTGTTTGAGACACATAGTCTGGTGAAGGCGCATCTAAATATTCCACACCAACCGTACGCGTCAATCCAACTGACGGGTCCACAGCAAGCAGGCGTTCAAATTCTTCGACTGTCTGCTTCAGATAGGTAGCCTCGCTTCGTAGCTGGGTAGATGTTGCCGGGATAGGGCGAACATGAGAGCCGGCCCATATCGAAGCGTAGTTGACTGAATGGGTCTCCGGGGCACCTGGTATCGACGTCGGCCACTCTTTGGCAACGAGCAGTATCCTCCATTCATGCCCCGATATACCGTTAAATTGAGGTAGTGACTGTAGTTTCAAGGCGCAAGAGAGACCTATCACACCAGCTCTGCATGTATTATTGATTAGTTGTATCTTTTATTGTTGCAAGAGAGTAATTCTCACCCAATAATGACAATGGTCGATGAAACAGACGGTTCTTCCATGATGTAGAATTTACTCACCTATAATGCTAAATACAGCAGCCAAACTTAATACCTCGGCCGCTTTGCCGCTATGGGAGACAGCGCACAATATATGTGTGCAGATAGGCAACACTGCGGGCATGTGAGGCCGATGAATCAAGTCGGCTAAGCCGACAGAGCATGACGAATTAGCCTTGATAGACTAGGAGCTAAAGATGGAAGATACTCTGCGACTGACGTTATTAAATACGAGAATACTCAGTGTGAAACCTGCATGTCTAGTTACCTCCGGCAGATGCAGTCGTTTAATTACTGTTTCACGTCAGAGAATGGGCCGCTAGCTTTGTGGCGATAGGCTGGAGTAGTGAATCAGTAGATTCATTGTGTTGAGTTGTCGGGCTCTGGCAGCTTCCATTGCTGTTGAACTTTATTCTCTTTCTCTTAGGTTAGGTGAATCAGTAGTTTAGTCACTGAGATCAGCAGTGCATGTCAAGGTCGTGCAACCTTTCACATGGCATATAGAGAATATGCGCCAGATCATGTTACAACAATATTGATTGCAGAATATCTGAGAGCTATTTTCTGAGAGAGTTTGAGTATAAAGTTAAAAACAGCAATAAAGGATGCCAGACCCGACATCTCAACACAATGAATACGTTCTAGGCTTTTATTTCCTCCTATTAGGCTTCTCTGGAGCTGATCGCTCTGCCTAGTTCGCCACAAATGTCCTCTAAATACATCTGAGCTTTCTTAATTGGTGCCATATGCATGAATGGATGAGCCACGTTGGTATACCGTCGGATGGTAACTCGGACACCAAGCTGGGCAAGCTTCAAGCCATACGCCTCCCCTTCATCGCGCAAAGGATCACGCTCTGCGGTGCAAATGAAGGTATCACACAGTCCTCTTAGCTCTCCGTATAAGGGACTCTTATAACATATGGGCCTTGCGTCAAATTCAGCTCGTTCAGCACTATTCTTGGGGTTATAGTGCTGCTGAAAGAATTCAGATCGCTCCCAATTGAGACAAGTAGCGTTCTGGTTCTCTACCCACGATTGGAAGGGAGCATCCGATGGTTTCCTGAAGTCCCCTTCGTATATGACCGCGGGGACTGCGAGAATGGCTAGCATGCTACGTCAGCATCGGCTACACAAAACCCCAGGTTCAGACTTACCAAGCCTCAACGGCAGATCAGCATCACGAGCAAGTTGCTGTAAGGTGGCGCAGATGTGACCCCCAGCTGATATTCCGCCGATTGATATGCAGTCACCCTGGGCATTAATCTCGGTGCCGTTTTGATGTACCTGCCCACACAGACCAACCAAGTCAATTCGGATACGACTCTCTAGGGTAAACATTGACATTGTTGTTCAATCGACTTACCCATTTAACTGCTGCCCAAGAATCGTCGGCGCCGGTACCGAAGGCATTCTCTAACCGAGTGCATCAGCAACATATAGGCCGACAGGATACTGCATTATTTCATTGGATCCTGCTTTACTCACCTGGAGAAAGCCTGTAGTCTATGTCCATAACTAGTATGCCGAGACGGTCTCGGATGGCCATGCAGATTTCTGCGTCGCCCGTAAGGCCACCAAACGTCCAACCACCTCCTGTACCAACTTTGATCAACATCTGTCTTGAGGGGGAGGACCATTTTAGAGGAGAGCTGTGGTGACAATACTTGACATACCGTGGAAGTTAATATAGACCGGGTAAGGACCGATGCCAAAAGTCGACTTTTTCTTGTCCGGATAATAGCATCTTGCCGTGAAAACATGGCCATCATCTGCGGCTAGCTTGATGTCTTTGACAAATGCTTCATTAGAGAAGTCTCGACACCAAGGAGAAGCGTATTTATGTCCATTCTTTCTCATCTCCTCGATACTTAACAAATGCGTCTTGGGCATCCCTGCCAGGTGCTTATTGTAGTAGTCGATAAAATCTTGATCTAGAAGATTTAGAAATTCAGGATTTAGTGGATTGGGTGCCTGGCCCTCCGAGTTATTTTGGGAACCCATATTTTCTTGTGCCTAACTGCAAGAAAGTGAGATCAAGAAAGCTGAAAGGACTGTGTTGGAGAGTAAATACACAACTTATTCCATTATCGGAGACAGAGGTCACTCTTCTTCCGTCGGTAAAGCCGATCTCTAAAGTCGGCTTTGTCGCTGGCCAGATTAGTCCCACCTTCATGAATGAGATCCGTAAGGTCACGATCTTAGGCGACCCGATTTCAAATTCGTTCTTTCAATTTAGTGGACAGGAGAAGCAGTATCGGAATTGGAAAAATTGAAGATGTAGTCCAAATATGATGTAGACCTACTGACTACTCTACAAGCCAACCTCCGCGCCCTGATAGAACCTATAGACAACCAAACAGGGAGTTTTGCAAATCTTCAGACCAACCTCCTGCAAGATACATCCACACTGACTGAAGTTCCTCAAGCGTCGACTCTGTTGTGATCATCCGGAGTACATCGTACAGGTTAGACCTCTCAGTGACTGGGGGACACCCGTCTCCAGGTCTCGGCTTGAATCCGTTAAGGGATCCCTCACCATTATGCGATGACAAGGACGAGGGAGATAACTCTTCGATCTCCGAGTCGGGGGGGATTTCGCCAAGATACGCAGCCCGGTAAGTGGCCTCCATAGTCCGGAGAGTCGCAAGCCACCCGTGGGCAATTTGCCATTGCCCACACAACGTTGAGAATATTGACCTAATAGTGTAAAAATAGTATTTGGCCATTTCCCGAACATCCTGCGTAGAGAATTCTTCATCTGTAGCATACTGAAGCCACAAGAAGACATTCGCTGCTGGGAGACATGTGCCAGCAAGCCATGTCGTTTCCAGGTCAAGTCGGCCATCACCATCCGCGGATTTCCAAATTTGTGCCACGATCTCGCCAAGCGCCATGGCATTACTAACACAGATGGAAATGAGAGACGGCTCTCGGTGAAGGAGGGACAATCCCGCAGCATCTAAACAATCCAGCAAAAGCGAGCAACCATCCAGTTGAGGCAAGTAACATTGATGGGCGATGCACAATGCGCTGCGCAACAGAAGATGGAGGGATACAAAATCTCGACTCTGCCCCAGACTGCCGTGCGTTGAATAATTCTCAGTAGACCATTCCAAGTGTGACGGTAGTGAGAAAGACCATTCTTGTACGGCTCGACTACAGCGAGCGAGGTGGCTTTGAGGGTCAAGCGGAGACCGGGTGTCTGTGAACCTTTTATGACATATGTTATTGTCGGCCATGTCACTCCAGAGGCAAACTGTCTTGATGAAGTATGACGAAAGACTAACTTCTGAAGGGAACCCATCAAACGCGGCCAGGTTTTCTAGGCTGATTCCTCTGGTCTGTTCCTGGTACGCTACTGAGAGATTTGTGCTGGGAAGAGCAACTTGAACGTTAGTCAAGCCCAACGTTCTCGGTTTGCTCAGAAGATATGCCAAGCATCTGTCCATAAGTAAACAGGCCCAAAATGTACGGCGCCGCATCTCCTGCTCCCTGGTGGTGTGTCTTTGGTGATACTCTTTATTAAGCCGCATTATCTGCGCCATTCGAATCGCAGTGCCAGCGTATAACCAATGACTAGAGCCAGCATCTGCCAACAGTTCAGACAGTGCTAAGACTAGGTTGCCTTGAATGTTTGCAACTGCAGCGATAGGTGAGCTGACATGTGATCTAGTTTCTCGTTTGGGGGATTCTAGACCAACCAGTAGGAGTTGTCAAGGTGTCTCGGGCCATGGACTCGGCGAGAGGTAGATAGTGACATCGAACATCGTGCCCAGTCCTGAGCCTAAAACCTCTCCAAGACTCTTCGGGAGTCAGGTATTGCGCACACAAGACAACGATGGAAGTGACGAGGAACGGTTTCTCGCTGTATTGCGACTCCCACGTCGGTAGGTAGTCGAAAGAGCAGAAATCAAGGACAAAGTGACGCTGGAAGAACAAGTCAAAGATGCGCCGCAGAGAGTCAAAGGTAGGCAACACGGTCTGGGCTGCTTGAGCCGTGTCTTGGATGCTAGTATCAGGTACAGACTCGTCTACAAGTGGTGATCCTATGGCCGTGCTTTCAGCCACCACGAGAGGAGACAAAATCTCCTCCTCAGTGGCCCAAGGCCATGTGCAAGGTACGTTCCTCTTAGTACAATGCCGACAGCGTGGCCGAGCGCCATCACACTTGGTCTTGCGCCTCCGGCTAGAGGTCAGGTTGCGTAAGTCAGGCCAATGCTTTCCACGTGCGGTCAGGGTAGTGTCGGGCCCTTACCATGTGGCACACGCCTGTGGAGTGCGTCGGCCTCGGCTCGACTTCTTTTGGGTGTCCATTCGAGGTCCAGTCCTGCGAGCCAGAGTATCGGAACTGATGTCGGCAAGGGCCCTGGCACGGCCGATGGTCTGTATTCAAAGAGAAGAGTTCCTGACACGTTTGGCTGGGGGAATACATGACACTTTTGATTGTGGGGCGACTAGGGGTCATCCTCCTGCACTGATAAGCCGCGAACCTCCCAGTCACTGAGATAATGATGTCGGCTTTTCCGATGTCCAGGTTGTTGATAAGCATGGCACTGTTTGATGCTTGCCTGTGGCAAGGATAACCTCCAATTGAAATTGCCAAGTATATAGCTCTGATCCAATCCAGCATCATCCCACGAATTCATTCCTTGCCGCACTTGAACAGGGAAACAATAAATATTCACCTAAAAGCCTTTTGCAAAAATGACTGGCCAAAAGGATATCAAGGTTGAATCTGGCCAGATCGACTTAGACGTCGAAAACGGCATTACTCAGGAGCCAATCGATCCAGCAATTACGACAACTTTGAAACGCAAGGCTGATTTTATCCTTCTTCCACTATTGGCCATCGCTTATCTGCTGAAGTGAGCCTCATCAATGGGTTACATCTCTGCATCCCTGATTTACTAATGTACTGCAGCTCTCTTGATCGCAGCAATGTTGCGAATGCGAATACTGCTGGTCTAGAAGCTGACCTGAATCTTGTTGGAAACCAGTTTAACCAGTGAGTGCACGTTTCTCAGTGAGACAATGGGTAGGATATTCATCTAACCGCCCTCTCATTGTAGAGTTCTCACATATTACCAAGTTCCATTTATCGTCTTCGGCCCATTACTCACGGTTGTCACTAAGTTGATTGGAGCCAAGTATTCAATCTCTGGTATGCTTTTTTGTTTCGGTATTGCATCACTCGCAACCGGTTGGGCTCGCACGTTCGGCCATTTAGTTGCCTGCCGCGTAATTGTGGGAATATTTGAATCTGGCTTCCTCGCTTCGTGAGTGGTTCCGTGTTTTTTTTATTTTTTTTTAACAATCCGCGTCCAGGGATGAGTCGAAGTTACTTATGGCTACAATAGCGTGTTCTACTACTTGTCTGTATGGTATACTCGATCGGAGCTCGCAACTCGAATTGGCATCTTCTATGGCGCATTGGTCGCGTCATCCGCGTTTGGGGGTCTTCTCTCATATGGCATGTTCCAGGTGACCGCACAAAACGGCTATTTCCGATGGTCATACCTATTTTTCCTTGAGGGAGGCTTGACTGTCTGTTGGTCCCTGGTTGTCTTTTTCTTTCTTCCATCAGACGTGCAATCCGCTTGGTTCTTGACTGAATCCGAGAAAACGACGGCGATAGAACGATTGAAACGAGATTCGGTCGAGTCGCTCGATTCCAGTTATACACTTTCGGAATTTTTCACGGAGTTTAAGGCGCCGCATATTTACATACGACTCATCTCTACTTTTATTCAAGGTGTGACATTGACCTCTAACGCGAACTTCTTGGCGATGATTATCAAGGGTCTGCATTTCAGTACGATTAGGACCAACCTGGTAAGCCCCATGTTTTCCACCAGATGTAATACTTGTATTAATCCAATACTCTGATATAGCTGACCATTGCTCCTGCCCTGGTTGGAGCAATCACCTTGATTTGCTTTTGTCGCTCTTCCGACCACTTTTATGAACGTGGGTATCACATTGGCGGCTCTTTGGTCCTAAGTTTTGTCGGCTATATTATTCTGTATTGTGGAGAAAATAAGGCGTGGGGAGTGTTATACTTCGCTATGTTTCTCTGCACCATGGGAGTAAGCCTCCTTGACAGTCTTGCCGTTGTTCAAGAAGGTATACTAACATAATCAAACCACAGGCCTACCCCAGCACACCCCTTGGCGCAACCTGGACCATCGCGAATATTCCAAACTTGAACGCCCGTGCCCTGACCATTGGTGTTTATAACTCAGTCGGTAACTGCGCCGGACTCTTGTCAAGTAACATCTATATATCGTCGGAGGCGCCTCGATATATCACAAGCTTAAGGGTCAATCTTGCGATGGCCGCTTTGGGTTCTTTCGTTAGTTTGGCCTATGGTGGCTGGATGAGATGGGAGAATCGTCGCCGCGATAAAAAGTATGGCCGATCGGATAACTTGACTGCTGGTGTCTCAGACACATCGGACCCTAACTTCCGATTCCAGTATTAAGAAGACCCTTGCCATCAGGTTGGGGAGGCGGGCTAGAGGTATAATAAAGGCTTCGCTATCTAGCACTACGCTTAGCTACTCAAACTATCTTTCTTGTTATATATCAGGAAAGTTTATACCATATAGCCTTAAAATAAATTATATATATATTTATTTTAATAAAAAGATTTAATTCTTATTTTATAGGATTATATAGAAATGCTTTCTAACTATAAATTTATCAGAGATTAATATTAATTATATTCTTTAGAGTTAATATCTATACTTACTTAGACTAAGAACTATTTATAAATATATATAGAAAAGCATAAGAGGTTAAAAAAAGGATATAAATAGTTGAGTAGTGATAGACTTACCCGAGGCCTCTCTCTAGCAGCTTAATCGCTGAAATTGGGCATCGTAAAATATTGATTTTAAGTCATCAGAAACGTGGCTGGATTGGTGTGCATCAATTTTCAGCACTAACATGTTACGAACTACTGGTAGGCTGCTCTGTTACGCCTCGCCTGTCACGTGACAAAGAACACGGTTGCAGTACCATTTGTCTTCAACGGAGAACTTTAATATCACCTCTTCCTTTCCACTCACCCTTTATCTACCTTCCACCGCTCCGCAATCACCGAGCCGGTTATAGTCATGGAGGGACTCTCTATTAGACCGAATAATCGTCTACCAACCCGCAGAAGAATCCAACGCCTTAAGACGGGATGCCGCACTTGCAAGTAAGTTCATCGAGCGCCCCTTGCGACTCCTTTCTATATGGGCATGCACCGACCCCGCTTGCGACAGGGCACGACGAGTCAAGTGCGACGAACAGCGACCGTGTTGCCGGCGCTGTGCCTCGGCAGGCCGCGAATGCATGGGATACGGTATTTGGGGCGGTGGTGGACATCCAGGTGGCCCCTTCGCTCAATGCCTCGCGCTGTACCGACCCAGTAACACGGGCCCTGTAGGGCATCTCAACGCCGAAGACCGCCGGATTCTAGATTGGTTTATGCTAGCCAGACTCCAAGGGATCTTTCCCTTTCCATTCTGGGAAATTCTAGTTCCGCAAGCATGCTACAATGAGCCCGTCATTCTCAGTTGTGTCTTGGCACTGGGCTGCATCCACAAGAGGGCATGTATTAGCAAAGGATCCACAAACTCTCAGCGTGCTGTTGACGACCTAGAGTCAGCTACCCTGCGACATTACAACACGGCCATCAATCTGCTCAATAGGTCACAGTCGGATGGAAGCAGGGCATCTACTCGAGTGACCCTCACCGGGTGTCTGACGTTTGTAATCATAGAATACCTCCAAAAGCATCCAACGCAGGGCCTACTACATCTTCAACATGGATTGCAGATACTACAAAATCATAGGAATAACAACATGCGGCAGCCTTCAAACGATCCCGTGGATGATTGGCTTGCAGAAGCCTTTAATCGACTCGACGTCCAAGCTAAGCTATTATTCAAGAACACAGTGGACAATCAGCCCTACCCGAATATTTGTGCCAAGAACGAGCGCCCTCTTACACTAAAATCACTACATGAAGCGAGACAGCAACTGGATCTTCTTATTTCAGAAGCGTATCGGCTACAACGCTGGGCTCGTAATGCCGAATCCTCAGCCAACATCAGCCTATCATTCCAGGTCCTTTCTATCCAACAACGATTGCAAGGAGATCTCAGATCCTGGCTGCAGGCTTACCGAACTTGGCGGACGACGCCGCTACTATCTTCACTTCGGCCACTGCCCTCAACTCAGGAACAAGTCGCTCGACGCTTACTCCTAGTTTACCACACAATGGCGAGCATTATCACAGCTACGGCTTTGTATTTAGGAGATGAATCGGTTTTCGACCACCATAATCTGCAATTTGCTTCAATCATCGCTTCTTCGAAAGAAATAGTGCAGATATACAATCCTGCGACTCAAAGGGACACAACATCACATGGTCACTGTACCCAACATTTCACCTTCACCAGTGATCTGGGTCTTATTCCAGCCTTATACTACACAGCTTTGAAATGCCGCGATCCGCAGATGAGGCGGGACGCTTTATCAATGCTTGCGACAAAGACCCGCCAAGAAGGCATCTGGGAGGGGCCAACAGTAGCCCTCGTTGCCGCTGAAGTTATTCGACTAGAAGAGACCCCATGTCTTGAACATGGCGAAGTATACGATGAGGGATCCGCTAATGGACGCACCCTGTCGGGCTCACCCTCTCAGCTTTTGAGAATATCTGATATTATAATTACGCTTCCTGATGGCCCAGGAACAGATCTAGTCCTGGTTTGCAAACAAAAGTTGGGAAATGGTGCTTGGGGAGATGTGGAGCGGAGATACAATGGGGTTCGTTGGTATTAAGTTGGAATATAATTGAGTTAAGTGTGCAGCACTATGGAGTTTCTTTTTGCAACCCTAGGTTTCATGGGATATTCGTTTGTAGAGTATGTTGTATTATTATTATGAAGCAAGATAAAAAACTCGGAAGTGATGCTTCAACTCTGATGTCTCAATTACGATCTATAGTACTTAATGCTGCCATGGACTCGAACTAAACAAGCTTCTACACTAAGAAAGCGAACTATCGTCCTCTAAGGAGTCTTTGCCCACTCTGGCACATCCGTCACCTCTGCAACATCCTTGATCGTATCCTCCCACAACCTTCCTTCCAATACCTTCATGGCCTCTGAATTGTAAAAATTGTCAATTCTTTAGATTTGTTAGTAGAGAATCTCATACTAGCAGGGCTGATAATCTAACTTACTGCTCAAGTTGAGTGTCACCAATCAGCTGACCGTGAGACTCGGGGCCAGCTACTGCAGCAGCATTTAGGCCAACCCATCCACCATGCTCTACTTTCCTAGCCCTTCGAAGGGTACTAAGTGCAGCAACTGGGACGCGAAGATACCAAGGAAGATTTTTGGTCATGGGTGTATCAACCATTCCAGGGCAAAAGTTGTTAACAATAACTTTCTCTGATCCATACATCTTCCCCAGCCGATGGATGAACAACAGAACAAGCAGCTTCGAGTCTCCATAACGAGTGAAACCTTTGTAATGCTTCGGGTCATCAAGGTATTCGAGGAGGTCTTGAGGCATCGCCGACGCTGGCTCTTTGCAGAGGGGCCCGGTGTCATACATGCGACTGCCAGTAACCGACACTCGAGTCGGCTTCCCGGTTTGCTTGGCAGTCTCCTCTAGCAGAGGGAGGAGACCAAAGAGTAACGCTGCATTGGCCAAGTGATTGACTTGAATAGACTGTTCATGGCCATCCTCAGTCTTTACAAACGTGACACCATTGGCTCCGGCGTTTAGCATCAGAATATGCAATTGCTTGAGTTCCTGATTAACCTTCACCAGAAATCTCTTGGTGCTTGCGTATGATGCGGCGTCGAATTGCATGACGCGAACATCGGCGTTTTGGTTTGACTTGCGAACCTCTGCGTCGGCCAGCAGCTCCGTCTTGGTCTTCTCGCCTTTGGCGACATCGCGAACAGCCAGAACAAGCGTGGAAGCGCCCCTGACTAGGTATTGACGACTGAATTCAAGTCCCAAGCCCGAGCTAGCACCAGTGACGATGATGGTCTGGCCTGATACGTCCAGGCTGGGAGGCAAGGGTGTAATGGAAGGTTGAATGAAGGGCATGGTAGACATGTTGGCGGTTGTTGAAGATACTCAAAATACTACAACAAAAGGAAGAAGGAGATAGAGAGATTTAGCAACCTGAACCTTAGTAGACCAAAGAGAGGATGAGAGATGGATTGTTGAGGCATAGACATGGAATACTCACTTGACCATAGAGTTATATAGTCGCCAAGCAAGGCACATCTCCCACGCATCGTGCGGACTTCAGGTTGCTAAACAGAGGAACTCGAAAACCACGGTCAAGCTCCGCAGACCCTCATCACTTTTGTGACGTAGTCGAACTTAGCTTGCCTCGCTTGACACGTGAATAGCGCTTGAAAAACTCTCGAGCTTGTCTCATTGTTGCGCCGAATTGGGCTAGTTAGGGAGTTTAGCTTGCGCCGTGGAACCCTGATTTATCTCCCACGATCCCATGCCGCGGCTGGTGCCTAATTAATTTACATTCTCAAAAAATACGTATTGGTGATGACCCCATTTTCGTATTGCGTCGGCTTCAGAAAAGGGAGCCCCGGGGAGCGCACCCATGGCTGCTTCAATTCTAAGGCTTGTTCAGCAGCGGTCAGCTGGGGCAGGGTGAATTCTGCCCCGGCGATGAGAGATGGATGAAATGACGTGGAGGCTCTTAGCTGGAAAAGACACGTACTAGTGTGAAATGCTCCATTAGCCTGCTCGCAAAGCCAACACTCTAATTGGCTCGGCCGTTAAGACAAGGCTGTAACCCGAACCCGGGCGGAGTTTTCGCAAAGCATAGGCAACTCCAAAATCCGCATCCAATGTGTCAGCTAATTGGCCAAAGTAGCATGTATAGCTTCACAGGAGCCCTTACATCAAGATGAATATAAATCAAAAGCTCGCCTTCCTCACAAGCTTCCTCAAGTTCATGCAAGCAAACTCTTCTCAAAAACTTGTCTCATCATATCCTAAAGATAACAAGATTCAATCAGCGTCACAATGGCTCTCAACGGCGAACCTGCTCCCAATCTAGAGATTCCACCTTCTCAACACGTGGTTAACGTATCTGTTATCGACAGTACGGCCAATGTGCGCTGTCCATGGGGCTTCTTTGTCAAGAATCCACTCCCGGGGCATGAAACATTGGAATGTCCTTCATTTGTGTTTCTTGTTCAACACCCTTCGGGGAAACGGGTCCTGTTTGACCTGGGTCTCCGAAAGGATATCGAGGGCTTCCCTCCAGTCATTCAGCAGGGAATGAAAGGTATGCATATGGAGGCGGAGAAGGATATCGCTCAGATCCTGAAAGACAGCGGCAAGCTTTCACTCGACGAAATTGACGCCATCATCTGGAGGTAAGGATAGGAAATCGAAGAGGGGAAACACTACTAATGGTATCGTGATCCACGCAGTCACTGGCATGCTGACCATACCGGCGATCCGTCTACTTTTCCTTCTTCGACCGACCTCGTTGTTGGACCCGGCTTTAAGAAAGCGATACTTCCAGGGTATCCCGCGAATCCCCACGGAGTAATTCTGGAAAGCGACTATTCGTATGTACAATCCTTTGTCTATTCGGAAAAAATTTTGCTCTTAGCTTTCATAAATGTCCGTACCAAATCGAGTACTTGGCGCTAATCCTACCATCTGCTTTCCAGAGGACGCGAGCTCCAGGAGGTCGATTTTTCGGATAGCATTCAGATCGGTGAATTTCGCGCTTTCGACTACTTTAACGACGGCAGTTTCTACTTGCTAGATTCTCCAGGCGTAAGTCTAGCGCGATTGAAGTGCATGTCAAATATAAAACTAATGGACCCTCTTTAGCATGCTGTCGGCCATATGTCTGCCCTGGCACGTACTACCCCCTCGACCTTTATCCTCATGGGTGGCGATGGCTGCCATCATTCCGGGTCCTTGAGGCCTAGCAAGCATTTCCCCCTGCCAGATGAGGTTTCGCCCTCTCCCTTCTCCGTCCCCCCGCACTCACACGGCACCGTCTGTCCCGGTGCTATTCTTGAAGCCATTCATCCTTTGCGCACCCGCACACAGCCATACTATGGTCTTTTGACAGAGGCCCAAGGCCGCGATGTCCCTGCAGCAGAGGCGACGATTCACAAGATGATTAGCTTCGATGCAAACGATAATGTATTCGTCGTGACTGCCCATGACAGGAGTCTGATTGATGTCATTGATTTCTACCCAAACAGTGCGAACGATTAGAAGGCGAAGGGGTGGAAGGAGACCTCTCGATGGAGGTTTCTTGAGGATTTCAAAGGTGCTGCTGCCAAGATCAACGCTGCTTGACTAGCGACCAGTAGAGTCAGGCGAGCATGATGGCACATGTCCGTTGATGTCGCTCAAATGGTACATCGGCAGAATTTACAGGCTACTATCTAGCCGATATAGCTTCGAGATCTAGATTGAAATATTGAGATATCATACCATGCTTCGAAGCCGGAAATTCTATCAGTAAGAGAGTGATAGTTTGGAAAAATAGAAAGAGGCCTTGGCTAGATATCCAAACTTTCAAAAAGAGGTTTGGATATCTCAATACAGGTAGCAGGCTTCTTAGACAACCGTTGGATGGACTTTTGGATATATGTAGTACATTCACTGAGTGGACTGTAAGATCTTCGAACTGGACGACAAGAGATGTTGCAATTCCATCTAATTATACCGTACTCGCTGATCTAAGGCTTAAGCTTGGAGAGATCTATGGCAAGCCTCAATGAATAGCTCATCGAGTATCGATCCAGCCATCTATCCTCAGTATAACCAGTCATTATAGTCGGCACCGAAACCTCTTCTTGTGCAGTGGTAATCGAAGATTACTACACATAAATATATTATCTCTCAATATATCGCTTGACGATGGGTGGAGGTCTCAGCCTTAATACGAGAGTCTCCGTAGAGAACCTGTCGTGATGTAAGTCTTTCAATAGATGGAGCATGAGTTGCTAGGAAGTTAGATCGACGTCCCTGTCGTGCTGGACAGCCCCAGAGGCCGGTATCTTAGTGTCCATTGATGTTACTTAGGTTTATCCTTTGGGGCCGTTGTCGGGGCGGTCAAACTGTCACAGGCGGCTGCTCGAGTCGCGGAGTGACCTAATTTTGAAACTCCGCCTCTGTCCCAAAACCTGCCTCATTCTCCGAACGCTACGGTATAGAGTAGAAAAAGACCAAGCATTAACAAGGTGCAGAAGACAAGTTAAAGTCTCCGAGGTTGCGCCGAAGCCCGCTTCTTGTACAGATCCGGAACGCGTCTGCAAGTTGCGATGCCTAGTGACAACCGTAAGGGTTTCCGCTGCTTTCACCGTAGTCAGTCTCTTCCATTGGACCCCTTGCATAACTTACCACTTATCTTAAGTCCGTGGTCTAACAAAGTCCGCCGCTATTAGAGCAGGTAACCAAGTTGCGAAATACGATATCCAGCAATAACAAATCCTGAGTGATCTGTCTATAAAAGGTGGCAGGCTATACTCTCGCTATGTAGTGAAAACCCCAACAAGTACTACGAATCTATATCTCTCAAGTCCACTCTTCGTTCAAAACCTTCTGCATCGCTGTCTATAGAGAGTCAACACTATCGACTCCTTATCTCGTCGAAGTATCAACCTACAACTATGTCTCAACCTCAAGACCTTCTCGACTCAGTGTCAGGTCAGCTTCGCAACCTGCCCCTTTTGGCCACACCCGAGACTTGTTTGGGTCGCTCATACATTGTCACTGGAGCCAACTCGGGGCTTGGGTTTGAAGCGGCGAAGCATCTTGTCTCTCTCGGCGCTGGCAAGGTGATCCTGGCAGTCCGCAATCTCAGCGCTGGCGAAAAGGCCAAGGCCAAGATAGAAGCAAGCACGGGAAAGACTGGTTCTGCGGAAGTCTGGCAGCTTGACCTTTCCAATTATGAGTCCGTCAAGTCCTTTGCCAAGCGAGCTACCCTCGAACTTGACTGCATCGACGCCCTGATTGAGAACGCTGGTGTCGCCATTGGTACTAACAGCTAGGCTGAGGGTTATCCTGTCACCATCACTGTCAATGTGTACAGCACTTTCATGCTGGCAATTCTCCTCTTGCCCAAGATGAAAGAGGATGCTCAACGACTCAACATTGTCCCTCATATTTCGATTGTCTCCAGTTCGGTGGCGTTTTCCGCACAACCTCTTTGGGACCTGGGTAAAGCTGACTCTAACCCGGTGGACAAGATCGTCCAAGTGGGGCAGCTGGATATAACTAATGGGTATGTGAGGCAGACCTTGTAGATTTCCAGGAATTCGTCGAGGTGTCCAAAGCTGACAGGTTGTTTCCGCAGGTATACTGTATCGAAACTTCTCGAGGTGCTCGCAGTTCGCCATCTAGCCCCATTAATCCCCGTGTCTACGACTGGAGTGGTTATTAACTTGGTTTGTCCTGGTCTTTGCAAAACAGACATTGGTCGCAATGCGTCTGATGACATCAAAGCGGTTGCTGGAACAATGATGGACCAAATTGGCCGCACCTCTGAGGACGGTAGCCGCACACTCCTCTTCGCCGCCACCGCCGGCAAAAATAGTCATGGCAAGTTTACTGCTGATTGCGAGATTAAAGACGAGTGAGTCAACGTTTCTGGTAATGAGATACTTCAGAAATCTGCGGATACTGACAGGGCTATAGTTCCGTTATCCCCGATTGGATTAAAGGGAAGGAAGCGAAAGAAGAGCGGAAACGATTGTGGGACGTTATTTCTAACGAGATTGAGTCTGCTGCGCCTGGTAGTACTGCCAAGACTTTTAGTTAATTTGATGACATAGATATATAACAGAGGAAGTAGTTCGTAGCATATAACTATAAGCTAAACATGGTGGTCGAGCTATTATAGTGACTAAATATATCATGGCAGTTCTATTGGATCTATTATAACTCTTTTTTTCGAAACTATTTAGCCGCTGAAGGGAATAAAGTGATGAGGTGATTTCCGCTGATCCTTTTCCTGGACAAAATACCTCGGTCCACAATTCATGCCCAAGGGTCCCTGTCTATTCCATGAATATAATGGCTTTCGCGACGACTTTATGTTCTCATAAAATCTTCCGAAGGTTGCTTACGCCTAGGACGCTGCCAAGTTCCTGGCCCTGGATTTGTCTGTGCGTCCAGCATCGCAGAGCTTTTATGAAGGGTAAGTGTTACGCCTTGGACATGCTTAGTGGCGCGTGGCACCTATTATTTTCCGCCCTCCGTATGTCTACTACATACCCCAAGTACTAGATCATTGCTAAGACTCCATGATCCAGTCTTGGATCGACGGGATTGTTCATTGATCCCAGTGGGCCACGACCGGATCGATGGCCTAACCAATCGATCGCTCTACTACACACTCGAACCATGCCTAGTAGTGGACTTAGTGGACTTAAGACTAGATAGTGCATTAGTTTCCTTTGACCCATCTGGGTATAACGTAAGGGGTTGTGTAGAAGAGGTGTGAGGTGGTAACGGCACTGTCTGAAGGAGACAAAGTGGCATGAGGCATGTTTTACCTTAGATCAAGCTGTTACGCATAAGGATAGGCTGGCTTTCAAGGCCTGGCAAATATCGAACCCTACTTGAACAACTCTTCACCTTCACTACACCCTATAAATCACACTTACAAGATGCTAAACTTTCTGGAAATGGCGCACATTAAGGTGCCGCTGCGAGAGCTAAATTCACTGATCCACTGCTGTAGAAAAAGATGTCATAGTGGTCCCATTCTAGCTGAAGAACTGCCTTCAAGATTACCTAATTGTCACTCAATATACCTTGCATCGCCTGCCCGCTGAACCAGGAACTGCCGAGATACCATTTTGTCTCGGGAGACACATAAACTCCGCTACAAGGAATGCGGGCATATAATAGTTAGGTATATTTGGCGGAGTTTGGAAACTAAAAGTTGTTGCGGCTATAAGTATCGGTACAGCCGTCCTTGAATTCTGTTATGTATGTTCAATATTGCACGCTGCATCCCAGAGAAAAAGCACTCACTTACCAACCCCGAAATCCTCCCATTGTACAATCTGAGTTTACTACCTTACTTGAATATCATTTTAAAATGTCTGCACCCCCTTCTCCTGAGGCAGCTTGGTCACTAGCTGGTAAAATAGCTATCGTGACGGGAGGATCTCGTGGCATTGGAGAAGCTATTGCTGTTCATCTGGCACGTAAAGGCGCCAGAAAACTAGCTATTACTTATGCCAGCAACCTCAAAGCGGCTGAGGCAACTCTAGATACATGTCGGGGCCTTGGTGTAGAAAAGGCAATCGCAGTCCAGGCAAATGCACTCGATCTTGATTTCGGCTCAAAGGTTATCTCCCAAGTTCTCGAAAGACTCGATACAAAGGTTATCGATATATTGGTCAACAACGCTGTTCTAACCGATCCAACTAAAATACTGCCGGTCAAGGATACAACATTAGAGAACTTCCTTGAGTTAATGCATGGGAATGTGTATGCACCATTGTCACTGACAATTCAACTTCTGCCACACCTGCCAACTTATGGAGGCCGCATTATCAACATCTCAAGCGTTCTCGGTTATCAGGGCAACTCAGACCCTACTATGACCTTTGGAGCGACTAAAGCTGCTTTGCAAGCCTATACACGCTCCTTCGCTGACAGCTTTGGGAAAACAACGCAAGCTACGTTTAACAGTGTTGTCGTCGGCTTAACTGCCACTGATACTATTAAGGCTAGCCAGGACCTAATGCCTCCAGGTTTTATAGATGGACAGATTCGGAATACAACGGCGGCGGAGAGAATTGGTGTTCCGGATGATATTGCTTATATAGTTGGATTTCTGTCGAGTGAAGAGGGCCGTTGGGTTAATGGTGCGGCGATTAGTGCAAATGGAGGATATAGACTTCTTATGCCTGCCCTGGGCTAAAGTTAGAGGAGTTCTAGCTAATTATAAACTGTGAGAATTGTCCTTATAGTCACTATTGAGTGAATAGATTTGTTAAGAATTTGGAATATAAGTAAGGCAATAGTTTTTTGATGCTTTATACAAAGGGATTTCAATACGTATATTAACTCGCTCTTGAAAATATCCCTTCGTTTAATAAAATTATTATCTTGTAGACTCACTGTTCCTATATTGCCTCTGCCTCGGTTTGCTTCAATGTTTATATCTTTCTTACGATATCTTCGAAGTGAAACAAAGTAGCAAAACCTGGGAAAATCACGAAGAAAATAGCAATAGCGTGTGGGCTTCAGTCCTCATACTCCATGTGCCTAGAAACCGTCGTCACATGTTACTCGGCATGGCCTACAACTAGCGGGCAGCACATGCCACTATGGAAAGGAGTCACGAAGTGTGCGGGCCATCCATTACTGTGAACCCCGTTCGGCGATTTCGGAGTGATGGAACGTGGATATACAACGAGGATGAGAGGGAAGGAATCAAATCTCTGTGTCGGAAAAAAGAAGCGTTACTACTACACAGATTGCTCGGAAAGCGGACATCTTGATTGGTTCGGTATTTTCAGGTTCCCGTCCCCACATTGAACGTTTCTTGACAACAGACCATTTCCCACTAATCTCGGCACCGGAGTTATCGCACATCTGGCCAGTTAGAGCAATAGCTTTGCGAAGAAGCGGAGCCACAGATGGGTAGATTTACAATAGCACATAACAGCCTTTGCCTTTGGCTCGTGCAGCATGATATTCCGCAACTCCGCTATCCATTTATATGGCAAGTAAAAGGTGCTGGTGTATGAATGTAAGCATTCCAACCCACTGAGCTTTTGGCACTTTCTTTCCCTCCTGGTGTACTGTACTGCTTGTTCCAGGGATCTGCACGAGTGAATGCGGGTTTCATCGTGGTCACGGACTCTATGTACACTCCGGCGGTCGTCGGTTATGTGAAACGGCCCATGCGCTATAGCTGCTCAACCCGAACGGATACACACCTCTACATCTAGGAAGGACAAGATCTACATCTCTGCTGTCTGCTAGAGGCCGCGTTTCAAGCAGCATAAGCTCTCCAAACCCTCTTGGGACCCCGACACGTGCGCCCTCCCCGGACAAGGACGCCTTAAGTGGTTTAACATCATATGAAAACTTTTTGTTTCTGTGGCGGCAAATTTGCACAGCCTCATAAGGTAGGGTTAATGAGCTGCACGGGGAGAAATAAGTGCAGGTCTTGTCCGCCTCACCATCACGTAGCCTTTAACACAACTGAAAGTCAACGATCCTTGCTATGTTACACATTAACTATCGTGTCTATTGCCCCGTCATGTACGCCGCCGCTGATATCTTGGCTGGATAGCTGCCTTGGCGCAAAGTTGGACTACTTCTTGATTAATGGCTCTATTTTCACAGCTTTCATGATCACCCTCATGCTGTCCGGCCTAGGATGGTTCTCAAAGTTACTCCACCGATCCCGGAAGCAGACCAAATACCTCCAAAGAGGTATGGACATTATTGCAGGGAAGAAAACCACGAATCCGAACAAGCCTTGTAGACTCACCACCCTTCTTGGAGATTTTACCGTTCATCCTCGCCATCTCAATGATCCCATCCTCAATGACAAGTCTCTCAGCTTCTGTCGTGCTATTATGGCTGTAGGGATTAAGAAATCGCCTTACGCCCTGCAACATTAACCACGGATAGGATCTCACATTAATTTCCCCGGCTTCAACGGCTTCAATTTTCTCAATCATCCAACAAAGATCCTGCCGGTTGTGTTGAGGAAACAATTAGCGAAGTACTAGACTTTGCTAGACCTATTCTCCGTTTATATTAAATAATATCAACCTCCCGCACAACAACATCATTCGCATCCCACCCGAACCTACCAATCCCAATCCTTCGAAACGTCCGGGGAGGATCAAAATCATCCAAAGGCTCGAGAAAAAGCCTTACGGTCGAGCCGGGCCGGCCGTTCGGCCACAGAGGGTACCCATACCCGCTCATTCTAGGACCTTGGCCCATCTTCATAATGTCTAGGTACCACGAGGCGCCTCCCGCCGTATCAGGGTAGTATGAGGGGTGTTCTAGCATTCCCCAACCAAACCGAGGGTTGGATGGGTCCATCAGGTCGATCTCGGTAGGGTTCATCTTACCCAATGGGCCCCTAATTGTGACCGAGCCTGTTGCGCCTGATTGCGCCTTGCCCTTTAGTGAGACATCCAGGGATATAAGCGAGGCTGGCCAAGTCACTTCGTGTCCCGCGGTGTCTTTCAAAAGGTCGTACTCAATCGTGGTGCCATCCACCGACGCCCAAGTCCAGGAAGGATAGTGTGCAGTAGTGATCGGTGACGACGAGGGCTTATCTACGCGCCACAGGAGACTTCGTAAGAAGTGCTCGCCCTTCCAAACACCAGCGACAAACTCACACTTGATGCTAGGCGCTACCGACTTTGCCAGGCCAAGTATGGCTGGTATTCGGTCAGATGATACCGAGAGACTCCTCTTCGAATAGTCGGCCACGATATTCTCCCATTCGTCCAATAGAGAGCTCTTGGCCAGCCCAAAGGAACTGAACGGTTGCTCCTCCTCTATAGTCATGTTAGGCCAGATAGATCTGTGTACATACTCCTTAGTTCTGGTGACGGTCACGGGGGAATCTCCTGGGTAGTTGCCCTGGTACGTGATTCCGCTCGGACTCTGGTCTGCGGCATAGAGAGACATGCATTCCCATTGCAGATGTCCTGGTCCGTACCAGAGAATCCGTGTAGAGAGTACCTGTTCCTGACAAGTCCAGCCTCTAGAGTGAATCGGCCCGCGGAACTTGAACCCGGGATGATGCTTGTATTGCCCAGTGTAATCTGCTGGTGGGTGGACTGCGAGCAAGGGGCGTCGCGCGTCTCCATCAGGCCGTGCGACGTTTGCCAGGGGGAAAGGCAGGGGAGTCGGTTGTCTCAGCACGCGTCGCTTAAAGAGACCCTCCCCGCAGTCGGTCCCGATTATGGTAGATATAGTGATAGTGGCATTGGCGTAGACGAGGCTCATTTTCCCGGCCTCCGAGTCCCAGTCAAGCGGGTCGTCTTGCACGATGCAAAGGCCGTCAGCCCAGAGGTATCGAAACCCCAAGCCCAATGCCGCAACAATAGCATCTTGAATTGTCGCCGCTAGCGACTCCACCGGAATGTCGACCTTGTGCGACTCTAGGTTGCACTTGGTCGTTGTGACACCCTGCGACGTGCCCCAGCAATACGACAACGCGCAGTAGGCACCTCTCATATTGCCACAAGTCTCAACGAGACGTGCTGTCGGTCCCATAGCCGTACCGGCAGCGATGTCGAGAACCCTTGTGGGAAGAATGGGAGGTGAGAGGTCTTGCGGCCGCCGGCACTTAGGGTGGCCTCTCTTGCAATTGTTGATCCACGTTCTTCCAAGAGCGAGGGCTCGAAGACTGCCAGTTCCTAGCTCTAAATCATCGGGATGGTCGAGCAAATCATGTAGAAGATCGTCTAGTTGATGTTAACTATCGTGGCAGTAATACATACAGAGGCAAATCGTCAGCTGTGTCACTTACCGTTTAGGTATTTCAATGCTAAACCAGAGCTCCTCTCTCCGCACTTGACCTGAAGCTCAGCATCCCCGAAGGAAGCCGCTAAAATCTTTAGCTCGACAGGGGCATCTGGCATGTCGGTTGGTTTTGGCTTCTTGCGTTTCCCGTCAAGATTGAGCTCAAGCGCATCCAACAACATGCCGCACAAAGGACAACCGTTGGCAGCAGCGGTTTCTTCCAACGTCTTTATTGTTGCTGCGTACTGAAAAGGTACACCAGCTGCCTTATTGTTTCCGGAGTAATGGGCAATCATTTGAGTACAGAGTGTGCAGTACGAATCCGGTACTGCATATGGATTCCTCGTCCTTGCCAGACTTGAGAGAACTTTAAAAAAGGCGTCGTTGGGGCTCTTGTATTTTCCCAACGCGTCCATCCTGTCTCGAGATGCCCATGCAGACCTGAACTCGATTGTTTGGAGTACATATTGGTAAATGGAATTGCATTCACGTTCAGGTAGGCCTTTATGCGAGCGTGTCAAGCAAAAGCATAAAAGGTCGTCAGCCTTTGCTTGGAGCTGGACCTGTGACAGTTCCTCAATGTTGATGGCCTCAGTGTTTACTTTTTCCGTCATGTTTACCGACAATGACGCACCGGCTTGTTCAAGGATTTCCATCATGTGTAGTTGCCGACTCATCAAGGCGAGATCCAACGGTCTCCACCTTGCCTCATCATCGATCGACAAGTTGACGTCAACACCAGCATCTACTAGACGCTGGACCTTTTCAATATTTCCAAGCTGCATGGCCATCATCAGCGGCGATACACCCCCAAGTTGGGACGACTTATATTCATCTCCATCAGGGTCCTGTTTCGTAACCAGAACGGTACGGGTCTCAGTCTCCTTGTTCAAGTCGGCTCCGTGCTCTACGATCCACGTAGCTGTTTCTGTCCAGTGGTCATTAAAAGTGTTGAGGCCGATGTCGAGGGCTTCGTGGAGCACGGTACGTCCCAACGCATTGAGCTGGTTTATGTCGGCACCATGTGTCAGCAAACACTCAGCTACGTCAAGCTGGCCGAGCCACAGGGCGCGGTGAATAGGCGTGTTGAAGTGACACCAGGGGTCTCTAAGAATGGGCATCTCGCAGCCAGAGTCGGGGGGCGGGAATACCAGCTCGTCCTCCGTCCACGTGGTGTTGGGGTCCCAGCCCTGCGACAAAGCTCGCGTAACGGAGTCCAAGTTGAATTTGGGAATCTCGTCGTCGCCGAAAGGTACAGAACCGCCTGGCTCCCAGCGCCGAAACTGGAAAGAGCCGCGCCTTTTTCGTTTCCGCCAACGGCAATTGTTGCGGCTGGAGCTCGCCATTTGATCTGAGGGGTTGGGTTCAAGGTCGTCGTGTAGAATGGCAGAATCCATGATTTTAAGCTAGGCAAAGGCTCATCCAGGATTTCTATATATTCGATCCTGGATAAGATGGAGCGACAAGGGTTTGAAAGAGAACCAAGATAAAGGTAAATTTGCATTGAGGTTGAGTTCAGAAAAGGCCTTCTGTAGTGGACCAGACACAAACAATCGGGGCTGTGTTCTTAGTAATACGCTCCCTGGTCAGGCAATTGTGGAACAGGCGACGTAGCAAAATACATATATGGTGGTCTATGCAGAATTTCGGCGGAACTTGGAATGGCTTGGTTAGAATAACTTTATTAGGGAACAACTTAAACACGAGCTTTATCTTTAATTTAAAAAAGCAATTGTAGGTTCATTTCTCTTAAAGAAAATAATATACTGGCGCCGTATAATTATTTGAACTTGGTGATATATATGTGGTATAACCGTTTTCGTTTGCAAATTAACAGGCGTGCTTCGTAAAATCACTTTTCTAGTATATAATCTTCTTTTAGAGTTAATATAGGAGAAATGGGGAAGAAGAAGAGAATTGTATACTTGACTCCAATTACAGAAAGATATCCCGTTAAAGCATGTATCCCATACTGTTCTTTTCCAAGCATATTAATCCTAACAAACACCCTTAAAAATCTTAATTACTTTGTCTGTCTATTAACCTATGATCATACTCTTCCATCAATGTAGAGTAGTTCAGTATCGAAATTCACCAACGGACTAACAAAACAAGCTGAAACCAACAGCATTATTAGACAAAGGCTCTCTCTCTTTCTTTTCATTTTAATAACTTGGTTAGTTAGCAATTTTATTCGTGGGAAAATAGAGCAACCCAGGTCCTATGTGGTATTAAGAATCTCTGTGCCATAGCAACAAATGCAATCCACGTTACTCTATGCAATATATGAAGCATCGAATGTGCCTCCAGTCTAGAATAACTCTTCAAGGATCCCTCTCTTTCCGGAGTTATGCTATTTAGAAGTCCTGTTGTTCTGACGGGGTGCCTCACATTCGTTACACTTCCTAGCTGGTAGAGCTAGCGGCTCTATAGAATAATATCCTTCTCCTCCTTTATCCACACTACGAATTACATAATCTTTGGCTTTAAAAAATTTATCTCAATTTCTATGTGTATATTGACTAGTTACATTTTTTTTGTATACTAAGACTGAATGATATAGGCAAAAGCAACTCGCTTGTCTAGGCCGAACTCCTGAGAAATCGGGCCACTATCCTTCATCCTTCCATCCCTCTATCCTTATGACCTTTGGACTTTCCTCTTTCCATTACATCCAGCGCCTCCCGTTGATGGGCGTGGCTGGAAGTTCCACTGGTGAACGGAGGCTATGAACCCCGTACTTGACGCTTGACGGCGGCCGAAGCTCACAGCAACGGGCGTCCAACTCAGCGTTATCAAATCTGACTTGAGACTTACGTGACTTGGACAATTGGCAATGTAGTGGTTTATGGTGGGCCACGAGCATTTCTTCCATTTCCCCTTGTCGTGCGCGTTGACGGCGACGTTTCCACAACAGGCCCGTGACTGTTGCAATAAGAATGACCAGAGATATGGAAAGAGCAATAGAGAGTGGTAAAATTACATAATTTGAAGACGAGGACGAGGATGTGGACTGCGGCTGATCGGTCGGAGTATCGGAGTTTGTCGTGGGTGAGGTGGCCGAGTTGGTTGATGAAGGAACCGTGGCTACCGTTGCAGACGATCCTGTGATTGCGGTCACGGAAGGCAGTGTGGCTGCAATTGCAGAAGAAATTGCGATTGCACCGCTGGTCCTATAAGATGTTGAGCCCTGCCTTGTTATGTTCATTTTCCCATGATACTCACACAGTATTAGTTGCCCGTGTGCTCTTTAATGATGCCGTAGAAGTGCTGATGCCATCATCATTGACTGCTCCAGTTGGACTACTGGACTGGTCTAATGCCTTCTGGCAAGACCCTCCTTCGCTTCGGCATTCATATCCAAAAGGACAGCAGCTTTGTCCGCATTTCGGGAGAGCAACGTCGGTGAGAGTCGTCTTGATTACTGCTGAGGGATAACTGGGATCTTGCAAGGAGATGTCGCAAGTAATTGGTTGAATTTGAGCGCAGCTGGACCCGTTTGGGCAGCAAAGGACGGTCGTTTTCCCTGCGAGCAAGATGCAGTATGTGTCACTCGGGCACGTCAAGCCTCCTGAGTTCAATGCACCAATGCATTGATTCGTATCCATTCCGCTCTGCATATGCTGGAAATGTGTTGCTGTCGTTTGTTCGTCGTGATAAGGCGCAATCTGATTGTGTAGTGACTCCAGCCTGTGTGGGAGGGCTGCAATAAACTTACAGATAGTGGCCACCGGCTCTTTTGTTTATGAACCGACTCCGAGTTCCCCATATGACCAGACGGGCACAAGTCAAAGCTTGCTATTTTTAACCGAACCGAGTTTCAACTTGATGTGGATGATACAGCTATCCTGCATCTACAAGGGAAGTTATTCGCCCACCTGCGAATTAAGCGCCCTGGTTTACACAACCGACCGGCTCTGCGGCCTTGCCAAGCCGTTAGCACCATGGTGCTTACCACCCATGTTCTAAAAACCAAAGAATTATTGGGCAGTATTATCTGGGTTAAATATGCGGGACAGGCTAATTTACTCATCGACCAAACGGATATATATAGGCTTGTTTCAAAAGGCACGGTGTGTTGTTTGTCGGGAGGGTAGCTCATCGCAATTCCGCATCCCACAACATCGGGTTTTCTTTCTCTTCCTTTTTAGGTCGGATTTAGGGCTTTGAGCAAGCATACTTAGCACGACGCTCATTATGATGATGGTCACGGTTTAGGAGGGATGGTGATAAAACATGCCATAGATGCTGGATCAAGTTGAACAAGCTAGTAGACATCAAGGGTGTGACGTGTTTTATTGCCGGGGAGAAATCTCTCCACCAGGTACTCCCTAGGATGGAAGATAAGTTAACCGAAATTCGAGAATAAATTTTTTTATGCATATTATATTATATATTCTGAATGTATTAAAAAAATTACAACTACATAATATCATAAAAAGTTACTTAAAACCTCTTAGCCGGCGCCCATCCAAGACGAGTATAGGGTGAGAATGTTTCCATTACTCATGGGTCAATGGCAAGCGGCTGCCCACTAAGGGAGAGCCAGGGGATTATTTTCTTCCTTCGTGGGGCAGCGAAACACCGTGCCATTGACCCACGAGTAGGAAATCTACTAATTTCAGCGCGTTCTTCCTGTCGTTGGAGTGTGCGAGTTCCTCGCCGAGTGCGATCCTGCCTGTGCTGTCTCTTCTTTCTTTATATCCTTTTATTTTCTCCCTTGTTTGAAAGACTAGAGCGATATCGTTGTTAGCGACAAGCTTTCCGCCACTCGACCCGGCCCGATAAGTCGTTTATCAAATCACAAACTCAACCAAAAAAAAAAACCTTGAATCTAATTCTTGGCCCGACCTGCCATTTTCAAAAAACTTCTTCCCACAGCATATTAGTATAACCAGAGATGATGTTCGGACCATGCCGCACACCTACCACTATCGCCACCTGTGAGTTGTAACATATGTGTCCTGTCACTTTTTCCTCGGCTGACGGATCAAAACTCACCAGATGAGTAGTGCAAGTATTCCAAACAGAAATTATGGAATCAATAGCCGAGGAGAACGATGTGCTTCCACAACAATCGCCTACAAACTTGACTCCGGTGTTTGTCTACGGTACCCTTTGCGCCGTTCCTCTTCTTGCATGGGCTTTGATGGGCGACGCCTCCCAAACTGATGCCGTCAAGAAGCTCATCCGCCCTGCAAGAGTTGAAGGGTTCGCTCGATATGGCATCAAGAGTTGCGACTATCCCGCAGCTGTAAAATGCGAGGGATCGGAGATTCGTGGCTACCTCGTCACATTTAGCAACTCATCCCAGCGTAAGAAACTGGATGATTTTGAGGGAGAGACCTACAGCCCGACACACCTTATGGCTCAAATTTTGAATCCAAATGGAGAAGCTTCTGGACAATGTGTTGATGCAGAGATATACCTATGGAATGGTTCACTAGAAAATCTCACTATGGAGCCTTGGGATCTGGAAGGTTTCATCGAGGAGAGACTGGAAGATTGGCTAGACTTATTCGATGGGATAGAGCTGGTGGGGTAATCCCTCATGACAATCAAAATTGTGTCCTATAGGACTTTTATGAATTGTAGCACTTATCGCCCGAATCCGACCGTTTCAAGGCAATCAAGAGGATCCTGGACACTATCTCCTCTTCCCACAAGCTGGCCGATGTTGGAAGCAATTGCATATTCAACAAGCTTGCGCACCAATTCAATCCAGGATACCATAGCATTTACACTCTTCGTTCCCTCATGCTGGCGAAGTTCAATAGTGCCATGTTTCAATAAAGAAGTAAAATATACCTTTTTGTTGAAAGATGCCAGACCCAACATCTCAACACAATGGATACCTGTCATAGTACAAGATAGCCTATAGGTTATATCCTGTGGCGTTTCTTGATTTCTAGATTGTGCAATCAAAGGAGAAGTCCTTCTAACAGGAGCCCACTTTTGAAGGCATTGGGAATTTGAGAGTTTGAGCAGGTGGTGAAATGAATTTACTCGATATTTATACTCATTGGCATGTTTTTTTCTCTTTTTCTTTTTCTTTTTGAAAATCCTATCCTCTTGGACCAAAGGAAGCATTTGTATCGACAGCTCGTATTTAATGTGTTGAGTTGTCGGGCTCTGGCAGTTTCCATTGCTGTTAAACTTTATTCTCTTTCTCTTAGGTATCAAACTAATAGAGACCAAGCAACTTTGCTTCAAATTCGATAATGTCCGGAGTCTCCTCAATGAGAAGTCTCTCCCTGGGAGTCCAACCCAAGATCTTCTTTGCCCGGAGGACCTGCATCTGGAGTTTGACCCTACCATGTAATGCAAGAAGGGGCGTAGCAGCTTGGCCTCCTGATCAGACACGGGCTCCAAGTCTGTAGAAGGGGCCAACTCCTTCCTATCGGCATCCAGTGTCCTTATCACAGACTTGAGAGTTGGTGATGGAATTAGCCCCTTCTCAAAAGCTGCACCAGTGAGTGCTCTCGCAACATCCCCCCACACGAACAACCCATTCTCCGCAAAGTAATAGCCTTCCCTTCCCCAGGTCGCCTTGCCGCCCCCGTTTGCTGCTTCACCGCCGAGTAGTAGATATAGGTTGCTGAGATCCCAGACATGCACCTGTGTCCAGACGTTGGTGCCTTTTCCGATCAGGACGCCCTGCTTTGCCGCTAGAATGGAGTTGGCTAAGTTGTAGGCCTGGGCACCACGGGTCTTCCCTGGTCCCCTTCCTGGACCGTAAATGGTTGGCGGGCATACAATGGCAGTCTTGACACGGTCTGCGAGCTTGGTCCCGGCCTCGATGACAATTTTGTCAACCAACCTATGTCTTGCGTGGTCGGGGATAGAGTCGAGGACTTTTTCAATTCCGTCCCAGTCATCAAAAGGCTCGTTCGTCGCCTGGCCAAATGTAGTATTCGCGAAGTCAGGGTAGGTCAAGATACCGGTACCAGATGTATGAATCCAATATCCCGGACGATCCGGGGTATGATTGGCTAGCCCCTTTGCGATGGCAATGGCGGATGGCTCGTGATCACAATCCGCAAAATCTAGGCTTCATTAACGATCCATATGCGTGGATACGCGCTGGATTTCGGATTGGCACTCACGGTAGACAATGTCGGCATCCTTTGCTTCTTGCTCAATGATGTCGACACTATCCAGCTCGCCGTAGACCAGCTGGATGCCGGGATATTTTGCCGTGATTAACGCCCCTTTGTCGTTGTTACGCACAAGGCAGCGAATGGACCACTTGCGACACGTTAGAAGACACATTTGCCATATTGTAAGGGCCCATTAATAAATAGGGTCATGCGAGCCTTACTTCGGGGTGGGCTTCGACAATAATGGAGAGGGCATCTCCACCAATGTACCCAGTGGCTCCAGTACTATACCGAAAAAATAGAGGAAAGGAAAAGTTAGCTGCCTGCCGGGCACCGTAGATTTATCTGCAAGGGTTCTTCTTACAGGAATACGTTGCTCATCTTGACTGAAAAAATAGGATTGTCCCGTAAATCAGTGGTAGTGTGTGCACAGTTAAGGTCCACGGACTGATGTGATATAGCACTTTTCTACCCCAGCTCACTCATGGGTTTCAGGCGAGATGTCACGATGATGAAATAACGAAACAAACACGGGAAGTAGGATACTTGACCTCGCCCTACGTTGGTCGTTAAATGGGGAGGGTGAGGGCAACAACTGGCATCAAGATGGCCTCGATAGCCTTTATGCCTGCCACGGTTGTAAAGATGGGGTCACATGTGATTACCTAGTCATAAGCGGCTATATGCCTATCGGCAAGCGAGACCGGCGATTCTGACAAATCCCCAAGATTCTCCAATAAAGCTTAATAATTGCACTAAAGATAGAATAGCGTAAATTCGGGGGAGGGGGTTGCGTCAATCTGTATCGGTGTGCCAGGGCCTGGCCTCGCTATATTATCACGACACCCGGCGTGACAACACAATCGCTTAACCCTTGCAGTCAGCCATATTTTGGTATATCGAGTCTCGTAAGCTGCGCATAGCTAGGTATAGCGATCTTTCGTCGTTTGCTGCCATTATTTGAAGCTGCCACTTTCCGACTTTTTACCTAGTCTCATCATGTCGCTTCCAACGCATTTCCCACTGAAGGTGGAAGGTGGAAAGTTTGTCCAGATACCTTCGGTTGGGTATGGGACATGGGCTGCCGGTGAGGACAAATTCCAAAGCTATAGCAAGATTTGCCAAAGTTGGTTCAGGGAGGATTATCTGACATGTCTGATTGACTAGGCGAGAAGGGCTGGTGCAAAGATGCGACATTGGCAGCTCTGAAAGCGGGTTACCGGCACTTGGATTGCGCATGGATGTATGGTGTAAGTCTGTTTTCAGGAGCACCAAAGGGCAGCCTTCATGTTTTCAACATGATTTCCCATGCTAACAACATGTCAATCATCAGGTGGATGAAGAGGTGGGGGCTGCGATTCGGGAATCTGGGATTCCCAGATCAGAGCTGTTCATCACCTCTAAGTTCTGGCCCAACTTTGCCGCTCCTGAGAACGTTGAGATATGCCTCAACCACTCCCTCAAGCTGATGGGCCTGGATTACGTTGATCTTTTTCTCGCGCACTGGCCAGTTGCCTTTGAGCCTATTTCAAGAGAAGCCCTGGAGAATGCCACAACTGGTCCAGAGGCTACTAGCACCCAGCGAGGTATAAAGACGCACCCTGGTACAGATGATCCTGTCATGGATTGGGCTCACATTTCCGAAAATCTCACGAGCCAAGCCGGTATGTCTATCCCTCTATCCCTGCCCCCCCCCCCCCCTTGCCCTCTCCTCCCAGCTGCAACGATTCCCCATGGGTGCCGTATCGTTGCTTGACCGTTTGTTGACACTTCTGAGTTGTGGCGTTGTTAGGCAAGGAAGGATCGTACGTGCCTACGTGGCAAGCCATGAAGAAGATTGTCAAGTCAGGAAAAGCCCGAGCCATTGGTGTCTCCAACTTCTCCATTGCAGATATCAAGCCGCTGCTCCCCCACTCACAAGACATCCCGATTTCGTGCAACCAGATCGAGGTGCACCCTTGGCTACCAAATAACGAACTCATTGCTTTTATGCGAGAGAATAACATCCTTGCTTCCTGCTACTGCCCATTTGCAGGACAGAAAGCTGACGGCAAGACGCTCATCACCGATCCTATTGTTCAAAAGGCAGCCAGGGACAGCGGCATGGATGTTGGGCAGTGTTTGCAAAGCTGGGCCGTGCAGCGAGGAACGGTTCCATTGGGCAAGAGTGCCAACGAAGCGCGCATCAAGTCGAATTTGGCAGTAGCCAAGTTATCTGTTGCGTCGAAGAAAGCCCTTGATGACCTCGAGGTTCCCAATGGCCAAGGCAGGACGGTAGGATTGGACAAGAAGTGGGGTGACGTGAAATTGTTCTCAAACTAGACAGCTTAAAATGTAGCAACTCATTGCGTTGCAATGTCGGGTCTAGCATCATCGTTGCTGATTTTTACTTCATACTCGAACTCTCTCATCCGAAACATAGCAATATAGAGTCTGATTGTGAATAAAAAATGATAATTTTATGTTAATGCGCATGTTACCGAGGCAGTTTGAATTTGGACTGGGTTCATGGCTCCAAGTATAAGTAGAGTTTACAGATGGACCGGTGTGTTACTCTTCAAATTGCATTAGAAACGCTACTTCTCATTGTTTGCTTACTGCTTTCAAGTTCGAAATCTGTGGACAGATATATGAGTAGAATAATTGCATTAAAGGTTAAGTTACAAATCTATGGAAGAGATGTCAGGAGAAGTACTAGTTCCTTGCTGCAGAATAATGAATACCTAGATACCGGTTCTGTTTTATAGGGTAGGTTTCAACAAAATCATTACGGTACGAAAACGCATTTCATAGCAGTTATGTTTGTTAGCATTTAACTGCCATACTGATAGGACGGAGCTCCAGGTGAAAACGGGAAAACCTGAAGTTTTAAAATATATTCATATTTAAGGACCTTTGCATAACGAATTGGATAATTTGATGTATTGATTGAATATCATTCTACATGCAGGCATCAGAATATACTCCTTTGTCCGACAAGTTCAAGGGAAGCCAATTTCCTTGCATCTAGAACTCGAGGGGCTCTGGAATGGGAATATCTGCTCCATTGAGGATGCAAGACACGTAGCAATAATATCCAGCATAATGGATCAGAGCAACGGTCGCTTCTTTACCAAGGATCTCAACGGCCTTCTTGTAAAGATAGTCTGGGAGTGGACCGGGCTCGTAAATCAGGTACTTGACAACATCCATGGTAATGTTGCCCTTCTCATCCAATCCCTCGGGCCGTCGTCCCACCATGAGCTTCTTGATCTGCTCGCGTGTAAAGGTCGTCTCAGTACGCGATACGTAGTCGTGCGAGTACAGCATGAACGCGGCCTGGAAACGAGCTCCCACTGTCAATATGGCAATCTCGCGGCATTCGGCATTCAGGGGCGGGTTGGCAGCCTTTGCTGTCTGAGACAAGGCACCCAAGCCGGCTTGCCACTACAGGGTGATATTGTGAGTTAGGATACTTTTAGACCCATATTCGTTGATTAGTTGCGATGATGTCTTACCGCACGTCCAATGACCGGGGTCGTCAGGACACAGGGAAGAGGTCCAATGAGCGCATCGGTATCGTCGTCCTTGAATTTGAAGCTGATGGATCAATAAGTCAGTGACAAGTACCCCTGAAAATGAGGAGATGTCTGGCGTTTGTTGACCTTGAGTTCCCCCCTGGCAAGATCTTGAAGATGCCATCGTGGATCTCCCGTTGATCTGGGTTGAGATCGTCTGGATGGATAGGAGGGAATCGTTCACCACTGTGATCCATTGTGTTTGATTTGAGCTGGGGGTTCCAATTGACTAGTGTATTTCTCTTTCGATCGCCGAGCGGATTAATGTCGATGGTTTTGTTTCAGTCGCTGATCGCACCACAATGCCGTATATTTGCGGTTTCTCACAAGTGGCGGAAAATGGTCATTTAATTTACCTTTTTTATGGCCCATATCTCGCTCCGGGAACGGCGTAGCATGTGAATTGGTTCCCAGACCGGAGCGGCTTTTCCCCCTGCTTGATGGGTGCGAGGTGCCTACTCGTGATCCATTTCGGGAATTGTAGGCTATATGGTCGCTCGCCTACCGATCCACGTTCAAGGTCATTGCCCCCTCATAGATTACATCATAAAAGCTCTCTGTCAAGTTAGTGGGCGGGGTCGCAGAAGGCTCAGGATAGCCTAACTAGACCATCGGCGGAGGCAGCATGTATTGCCCCTGTATCTACTCGCTCACCCAAGCAAATAGACAAGCCTGGGATCCGTACCCCAATGCTCCCTCTTCTGGGAACTGACTCACGCGGTCGTCTCACTCTGGTCTCAGCGACACGAACTGGCTCACGCCCGTTTCTGTGGGCTCGATGACCAATCACATGGGACGCTTGTGATGGCATGTATTCCAGAATGTGGCTCTGGAGATGTCACAAAGCACTTAAACGGGAGATCGGAGGGAGCGTCGACCCGTCTCAAAGAATTTGTATTTACGGGGAACGCTACTCTAAACAGCAGTCTACTTCCATGACACCTACAAGCCGTTTATCAGAGAGTTTGACTGGTGGAGGCTTGGGAGGATTCAGCAACATACCTACATCTACATTACCATTGACATTCACTTCTTGACCACTGTTGAGTCCTAGGTCTACTTGAAAATTGTGTACTATTGCGCAGTATTGCCTGAAGAAACTATCTAGCCGGTACTACTCAAGCATCTTTGATCCAGAGCGACACGACGCTTGCTAGCCCTGCGTTTCCATATCCTTTGCCCTTGACCAGTAGAAGGGTGCTCATAACATTGGATGTCATGAATAAAGGGCACTCGGCTTTCTTCGCCTCTTCCAAAGCAAGTTCCAGTTGACCAACGAGGTCGTTGACGGTGCCGTACTCTGTAGATGCCTCCCGAGATCCGTCCAGAAAGGCATACATTTCATGCGCGTATCTCTCCAGCATGCGGCTACCGCCGGATGCACTTGATGCAAGCTTGTAGAATGTGTTCATGTCAACGCCGAGTGCATGCACCAGGCCGACAGCTTCGGCAACAGCCAGAAGTAGGAGACTCTTGAGCGTACCAAGCACAAGATGGATATCCGATTCTGCTGTGTCATTAGATCGCTGGCTGGCGGATGGAGCATCCTTGACAGCAGCTGGGTAGTATAGCTTGATCAACTCCGCATCGTCAGTCGATCCTCCTCCTCGAGCCGACCGGGCAACATATTGCTGTTCTACAAATGCCGAGAGCGGGGTCTGATCACCATCAGAGGCGCTCCATCACTGGAGTGGGGGGTATGAGTTGACTTACTGGCACAGAGTAATGACGTGCCACTTTCGTAACAAGACCCTATGGTGACGGGAATTAGAAGACGGCAAGACGACAACAAGGCAAAGCAAGCCGAGAGCGAACCACCTACTATGTCTTTGAGAATAATTGCCATGGCACTGACAACAGGTACGAATTCCTCGGCCATGATTCGGGGGATGCGATTCTGTATCATCCACGCCCCTGCATCAGTTGAACTGACACGCTTCAATAGTTCATCGCCATCCAAGCCCAGGCTTGCTGCAAACCCCATGATCTCTCCCGCAGCCAGGATGTTGCAGCAGGCCAGGACCTGATGGACCAACTTCATGTTGCTGCCAGCGCCAACTCCCGTGGGCATCGTGAATACTGTTTCTTTGGCCCCCATTTCTAGGAGCAAAGGCCCCGCCTTCTCAAGGCCCTGGGGAGAGGCGCCTGCCATGATGGACAGCGTCCCAGCAGCCGCTCTCGCCGCGCCACCCGAAACGGGACAGTCGATGAGAGAGACATCTTCCCGTCCTAGTTTGGCAATGTCATCCTGAAGAGCAGTGACGTACGTGGAAGGTACCGTCGAGCACAGGTATATCGTCGCCCCCTGGGAAAGCGCTGGATGAATACTGAGTTAGCACTACGGCTTGGCTTTTGCTGAGTGTTCATTCAAGCATTCTCGCACCTTTGACGACGCCCTTGTTGATGAGAACATCTTGGGCCTGTGCGGCCGTGGCCACCATACACACGCAATCTTTGACGCCTTCCACAACATCTAACAGTGACTTGGCTCCAATCCCCCCTGCCTTTTCGAAACGCTCCACACTCGCTGGGAACACATCGTAGCCCTTGACTTGGTGACCCCGGGCCACCAGGTTGGTTGCCATGCCAAAACCCATGGCACCCAGCCCGATAAATCCGACAGTTGACTTGGCAGACATGATAAGAATGGAGTACGGCCTTGCTATATCGACGAGGAAACAAAAACCACTTGTAAGAAAACGGGGGCGGGAGAGGAACCCGCGCTAGATGAGAATATGCGCCTCGGAGAAGACAATATTTAAGCAGGATCTGTTGCAAGCCAGTATTCGACTTGGCAGGAAGAGAAGAGGAGGGTAGTCTCATCCATAGGTTAATATTAAGCTGGGATCAATAACACATTTGTCATAAGACCTTACTCGACGAGAGGGGACGGTCTTGAGAAGCCATGGAACGATCGCGAATGAGGATAAGACCTAGCCGCGTGGGTGGAACAATTGAGTATCTGGTAGGCTATATGGAAATGATTTTGAGCTTCGATATAGCCTATATCTAATACCGACATCTATCGTAGAGTAGGTATGCCAATATGTTCCCCATACGTGCCTTGGCCCACACATGCGGGGGAAACACCGAAGATCATATAAGGTATTTAATGGTACACAGCCGCGGAGAATGGAGAACAGCAGCGCTTTCTCCGCCCACACGTAACGCAACCTGCAGATTATTCACTGCCACCTTGTCACTCTCAAGGGTATCCGTCTTCCCTCTATTGACAATTCAAAATGGGTGGTGTATTTCACGTCGTGCAGTTCAAGTTCAAGAGTGGGATTGGTGCAGAAAAGTTGAAAGATGTACGTAGGATGATTGTGTCCTGGTTGAAAGACCAAGACAAAAGCTGTAACTAACTGGATTTCTTCTCTAGATCTGTGACCAGATGCTGGGGCTGCGGCAGAAATGCATTCATCCGACGACCCAGAAACCTTACATCAAGGTCTCGTATGGCGGCAAGGAAAATTCCGTCGAGGGTTTACATGTACGCGCATTGTGTCATTAACGGCAGCCCCCTCCCCCTCCGTCTTGAGATACATGAACCTGACAATACCGCAGGATGGATACACCCACATTTTCATCGTTGAGTTTGACTCGACTGAGGACAGGACTTATTATGCTCTAAAGGACCCAGCTCACAGCGAGTATTCTAAACTCATTGGCTCAGTGGCGGCTCAGGTGCACGTGGTGGATTTTACCGATGGTGTCTATGAGTGATCTAGATTAAAATACATATACCAAAAGAGTCTTTATTACTTATGTAGCTTTGGGGACGCAAGCGTACTCGTGATGAATCGAGAAGGGATTGCCAGCTTGCCTGCTTGCACGGGTCAAGGTGTTTCTGGAAGAAAACAACACCCTCAAGGCCTATCCCCAAGGGGCTTCCATCCAACCCTTGGGCGTGCCAGTATCCAATCAAGTCTCGGCTGCGTGCTCGGCTTGCGCGGCTCGCATCATATCCGCTCGGTGCTCGCCTATTGTAGGAGGTATTTGGCGGCCTGTACAATGTGCATGTTCTGGATGCCTCCGGAGACCCAGTCTGAACCTTGGTCTCCGTCATGGCGGTCAACCCAAGCTGCTGGCGATCAAGGATCGGGACACTGTGCCTCGCTCACCCAATCGGATAAGGAATAGCCCATCATTGCCACACCTTTATATCTCACAGTGACGATAATGCATATATGGACTGACTCGCTTCGCTATGCTATAGCAACAAATGGATCCTTTGTGGCCTAGAGAGGGCTAGTGAACTCCATCTATCGGGCTGGGCCAAGACCGTTTCATAGTGGCTTGTAGGCAAGATGTATGTAGCCTATCTACTCCGTACTCCATAGCCAGAGCCCAATACCCCAGAAACCCAGTGAGCGCTAGTATGCCACCATTGTGGGGAGAGGGAATTTAGTTCACGCAGAGTGTGGCAATTGATGTTGGGGCTGTGCGGGGATAGATAAATTCTCGCGGAGCCTGGCACTATAAGAAGTCGACGTGCCTCGTCGGCTCCAATGTCCACATCTCTCCATCCATCCCATGCCCTCAAGCAACCCGGCAGAACTTGAAGAAAGTCGCACCCGACGCTCTTAGAGAGGATTCGTTGTTCACAGCCCCCATCATTTGACTCTACTTGATATCCTTGCTAAACTGCACCCATTCCCGTGAGTATCAAGCCCATGAACTGTCTTGCAGGTGGACAACTGGATGCCTTGAGTCTTCACATCCTAACAAGAGCTTTCTCCTTGACGCCGTTTCATATCAGAAACCGGATGATGACCAAATATGTGAAGATGTTTACTGATTGACCGCGGTTCCAGCCAGTGATCAGACCAGCCTCCCTACTCGACGCAATGGACAAGAACCTCGAAGTGGGAACTAGCCACGTCGAAAACTACCAGGATGCCATGGACGCCAAGCCCACCGTCGACGAATACGATGCAGCTCGTCACGCAAAGCTGAGACACAAGATTGACCGTCGCTTGCTGCCACTTTTCTGCTGGGTCTATCTCCTCAACTACCTCGACCGTTCCAACATTGGTAATGCCAAGATTCTCAACGATGAGACCGGCGACAGTTTTCTGTCTAGCGTGAACATGACCGCGACCCAGTACTCGATCACGATCACAGTCTTTTCCATATTTTATTGCCTCTTCGAAGTTCCTTCCAACTGGGTCATGAAGCGATATGTCAAACCGTCAAACTGGCTTGCCTTTCTCATCTTCTCCTGGGGAGTTGTCACCATTGGATTTGCCTTTGTCAAGAACTATGCCGGTGTCATCGCTTTGAGAACGCTCGTGGGACTCTTCGAGGCAGGTGCCTACCCAGGTATGTTGCAATGAGCAGGGCCTTGAGAGAACTTGTTTGCGTAGCATGAGAAACTGACTGTGTTGGATGCAGGCATGATATACATTAGGACATTTTGGTACAGACAGGAAGAGCGCGGTATTCGAATTGCGCTCGTGTCAGCCTCGTCCACCTGCGCTGGTGCGTTCGGAGGTTTGGTCGCCTATGGCATGGCATATCTCAATCGCCACGCCGGCTTGCGCGGTTGGCAGTGGCTTTTCCTCATCGAGGGCGCCATCACTGTGCTCTGTACGCTCCTGCTGGTCTTCTTCGCGCCAGATTACCCTTCCACCACCAAATGGCTCACAGAAGAGGAAAGGGAGTTTGCGACGAAGCGACTTGAGGAGCAGAATTCGGGATACACGAGCGAGCCGGCGAGCCGCAGAGAGGTCATCGACACCTTTGTCGGGCCTCGAATGCTCCTCCACTATACTACCTACGTAAGTGTTATAGACAAAGTCTCCGCGTGAGCCAGGCAGGGCCTTTTCCTAGGCGGAGCTAACGCGCTATCTCGCAGTTCACCAACGTCATCGTCTTCCAGGGCCTCGTTTATTTTACTCCTACCATCGTCCATGGGCTCGGGTACAGTTCTGTCCAGGCCCAGCTCATGACGGTGGCTCCATGGGCTGCGAGCTATGTTGTAGCTCTCATCTTGGCCAAGGCGGCCGACCACTTCAATGCCCGGGGCTTCATCGCCGCTGGGGCTGCCGTTGTCTCTGGCGCGGCCTTCCTTGGGAGCTCGCTCTTACCGCCTGATGCCTTCGGGAGACGCTATGCTTGCCTGATCGTCGGCTGCTGTGGCGTCTTTCCGAGCTGTGCGCCTCTGACTGCTTGGGTGTCCTGCAACGCGCCCAGCCCCAGGACGGTCGGCTATGCTGTTGCGCTGAACAACTCCGTCTCCGGCATCGCTTCCATCATCGGCGTGTGGATCTGGCAATCTGAGCAGTCAGCGAAGGGATTTCCTCTCGGAAATCGTGTATCCTGCGCCTGCAGCTTCGTCACCGCAATCTTCGCTCTAGTTCTACGATACTGGTATGTGAGGATGAATAAGAACAACCAGCTAGACTCAACCGGTAGCCCTCGGGTTTGGTTGCTTTAACTAAGTGCCTATCTTGCTGCAGCACCCGCAGCAACTTGTATTGCTCTGGATATTCAGGATAGCAAGGAAAGCTTGGCTGGATAATGCATGAAAAGAATGCTGGCTAGGAGCTGGGCAAATGGGGAAACAACTCTGGTATATTAAGTTCATTGTGCCAGTGTATTATAGTCTTGTTTGACAAGAATTCTCATCTCCTCATACACGTCCTTTGTTTATTCGAATTGTGATGGACCGTATATGGCACTCCCTTCCCAACAACATTCCTGCAAGTCGGCGCTCCAATTGGCAGATTTACGATTAGACAATGTCAGGGACCGTGGTGCACAATCTCTGTTCAGCGCTGGATATGTGGTTCTTTAATGCGCGTAGTTGGGGTGGATGAATGATTTAGAGCTTGTGTTTTGGTCACTGAGAAAGCTTTTGAATCACACTTGAAACAAGCTTGAAGATACTGTTTATCGCCAAGTCGCTCACTCGGGAGCTCATCCTCAGAGCGTCGGTGATAGCCCAAAACTAATTCGTACACCCTCCTCAGGCAAATTCTTGTCTGAAAAGAGCTAACCCTTGTCGCATACCATGCGGCGACATAATGCAGTTACTCACCAAGCCCCCAGGCCCTCTTTCACAATCCCCGTGTTAAATCGGTCCTTTTCTTCTTCGGGCTGGATCGAATTTGTTTCTACCTAGTGGCAACACCCCGCGAGTCTCGTGACAAACCTACAAGGAAGTTACTAGAAAGATGGACACCAGTTCCATGTCCGTATGAGCCTGACGTGCCCTATGTAAGGCCTAGCTTCTTCCCATCAAGCCAGTCGAGCCAGGGTCCGTTACCTTCCCACAGATATGTATGCTTTCGAGATACCCGTAGCCTATTCTTCAGGGAAGAGTAGGGAAATCCGGTTTCGACTGCTTGGGTCATTCTAGCTTTATCGTATATTGAGAACAAGATGTTGCCAGACATACAGCTTATTAGAATCCTCGATGGGCCATGTAGACAACCGGGTCAACCAATATGATCATTCGCTTCAGATGCTTCAGAGATTGATACGGTTTATTGGCCCTCCTGTCGATGGAAAGAACCAGGTATTTCTGCCAAGCCTCGATATTGACGAGTCTGTGGTCAAGCATCCTAACCTAAGAGGAAGGAAATAAAGTGTAACAGCAATGGAAGCTGCCAGAGCCCGACAACTCAACACAATGAATACGATGGTCAAGCATAAGAACCAAGTATCATGCGATTACGAGATTCACAACTACCTGCTGGTTCGGGAGTTTCCTGCGGCGGCTTGAGAGTTCGAGTAGTGTGACTTATACAGATAAAAGACAACCCGAGAAGATACTGGATCGAATATCTTAATATGATAAATATAAGAAACTAAAAAAAATAAGCTCCTCCTAACAAACATTCCGCCTACAAGTATCGCTGTTTTAATTTTGGTACCATACGGAACGAAGACTTGTAACAATGGGAATTTGAGGCTGCCATATCACCAACACGGCTTGAAGAGCCAGACCAGCCACAGCCCACAACCCGACCTTGGTCATTGGGCTCATTGGAAGGGACCCCGAGCCACCCACGAGATTAAAGTCGGACCAAACGGGCCAGAAGAGCTCATACCAGAACTTCCACGTAGGATCATGGTAGTTGGTGGTGTTGCGCCCCGCAGCGTCGAGGTTCCAGTTGGAGCATCCTGAGCTCCAGACCATCTGCTTCAGCTTGGATTGCACGAAATTGGCATTCTGGTATTCTGCCGCCTGCTTAACATCAATAACATCAAAACATCCGCCAACCACCGGACTAATCACCGTCTTGATAATGTACTCGGCCTGGGTTTCATTCGTGTAAATGACGGAATTGTGAGCAGGGAAGGCGTTCGGCCCGAAGATGATGCCAAAGTTGGGAAAACCTGAAACGAAGGTTGCACGGTATGCCTGGGCTCCTCGGGTATCCTCCCAATGCTCATTGAGTGTCTGGCCACTTGACCCTCGTACAGTTATGGGAGTGAGGAACTCCTGAATCTTGAAGCCTGTGCTGAGGATGACTGCGTTGACGTCGATGTGCCGGCTGTCCGTGACCAAGCCGGTCTCTGAAAATCTCCGAATCGGCTCGTCAGTAAGCTCGACGTTGGGGTTGTGTAGTGCCTCCAGGTAGCCTGGGTCAAAGATACGACGCTTGCAGCCGAGCGGGAACTTTGGGATGAGAATGTCTTGAAACTTGGCAGGGGCCATCTTGCGCATATACTTCTCAGCACCTTTGGTCGCCTCTTCGCGAGCAGCCTCAGACGAGGCAGATCCGGTCAGATATAGCGTATGGAGGTCGTCCGTTGTCTTCCAAAGCTTGAAGCGGTAGAGTCTTTGATACAGTGGCAGATAGCGGAAGCACCACTTCTGGAAGGAGGAGAACTCCCAGTTTGGCCGCTCGTTGATCCACTGCGGTGATCTTTGGAACTGGACGACCTTTGCAGCAGTCTGGGCAACATAGGGCATAAGCTGGGCTCCAGAGCAGCCATTGCCAACCACGGCAACGTTCTTATTCTTCATATCGAAGGCATGATTCCATCGAGCCGAGTGGAATATCTCTCCCTTGTAATTCTCATGACCAGGAATTGTACAGTCCTTGGGGATAGAGATGGTTCCGACCGCCGAGACCAGCATCTCGGCTTCTTGTGTAAACTCATGGCCCGTAGCAAGATCGCGAAGGCCCACGACCCAGAGCGACTTTTTGACGTTCCACTCAGCCTCCACAACCTCGACACCAAGCTCAACGTGCTGGCGCACGCCGAATTTATCGACGGTGTTGTTCAGGTATTCCAGAATCTCCGCCTGCTCGGCGAACCGCTTAGACCAATCTGGATTCGGGTTGAAAGAAAACGAGTAAAGATGGGAGTCGACATCGCATCCTACACCGGGGTAGGTATTGAGAAACCATGTTCCTCCAAGGTCTTTCTCACGTTCGAAGATGGTAAAGTTGGTGTACTTGAGGTCAGAGCGGAGCCGGCACGCAAGTGCGATACCTGCTATGCCGCACCCAATAATGATGAGCCGCTTCTCTTGATGGTGGCTAGGCATGGCCGATTCTGTTGTAACAAACGACTGTCCAAAGGGCTGTGTGTTTTACTTGGAGGTTTGGCTGGATGATTGGTGGATGTGGAAGCGATGGATTGGCCCTGAGATGAGAATCTGGATGCCCAGGTCGAAATTATAGAGGCCAGTTGCTTCGGCGATGAACCCATTTTCCCATCCATGCCTGCCAAAAAGCCCCTCGCTACTACCGTCCAGATAGCCCGGCTGCATTACACGTGGAGCGGAATACTAGTAGCCCGCGCGATGGGCATCTTGACACCTTGCTTGCTTATAGGCTTTATACTCTCAGCTCAGTGCTGGTGGTGTACATTAGCAAACACCCCACACCCCCCGGCCACAAAGGCTATATGAGTATTATTCCTTTGGGTTGTGATGCCCACTCGTCGATTCTGAGACGCCGCACGATCAATGGTCTGAACCGAAACAAATTCACGAACTAGTGGGAAATAGCTTTGAATAATACTTGCTCGTGGGGTCATGGCCATGTCTTGACCAGTCGTTTAAATAATCATCGTAGCTTCATCGGGTAGCATGCTGTGGTGCTGGCGGTTCCTCTGCTTGCCTCGTGCTTGAACAATCTTCAACATCTCAAGAACTCCCCAGAACCTTCCCGTTTCCCTACATACCTAATCGATACACTGTCTGGCGTACGTGTCGAGACCATGACTCAGCAATCACTTCCATCCCTCACGCCCGATCAGACGCTCGTGCGAGATATCAGAAAACTTGTCATCGACTGCTGCCGTCAAAATGGAGGTGGACACGGTGGCTCTGCCATTGGTATGGCCCCCCTCGGCGTGGCACTCTGGAAACATACGATGCGCTTCAATCCTGCCAATCCGCAGTGGTTCGATCGAGACCGATTTGTTCTATCAAATGGCCATGCAGCCATCTTTCTATACACGATGCTGCATGTGGCAGGGTACTCGCACATGACTCTCGGCGAGCTAAAATCATATGCAAGTCTCAAAAGTGTTGATCCTGATACTGGAACATGGAAGAGCACAATATGTCACGGGCACCCAGAGATCGAGGTACCTGGCGTTGAGGTTACCACTGGCCCTCTTGGACAAGGCATCGCCAACGCCGTTGGTCTCGCTATAGCATCTAAGCACCTGGCCGGAACATTCAACAAGCCGGGGTATGATATTATCACTTCGAGGATATACTGCACCACAGGAGATGGCTGTCTACAGGAGGGTGTTGCGGTCGAGGCCATGGCGATTGCGGGTCATATGAAGCTGGACAACTTGATTGTCTGCTATGACAACAACCAAGTCACCTGCGATGGTCCTCTGGAATGGATCGTTACCGAAGACACTAACAAGAAGATGGAGGCACTTGGTTGGCATGTCATCGACGTCTTCGATGGTGACACCAGCGTGGATAACATTGCAGGAGCCCTGTCCCTGGCTCGATCTGTAAAGGGCAAGCCCATCTTCATCAATATACGGACAACCATCGGCTTTGGCACAGCAACGGCAGGCACTGCAAAGTCGCACCACGGAACCTACAGCAATACGGATGCTGCACTATACGCGGAGCGATCCGACTCGGCCACGCATGCTCTGTCGGAGGAAGCCCAAGCGTACATGGCATCTTCCAAGCGGCGCGGGGCAAGCCTGGAGCAGGACTGGTCCAACATATTTGGGGACTATTCTGAGAGATACCCGCAAGACGCCAAGCTCCTCGAGGCGAGGATGCGAGGAGAGTATGAGTATGCCCACCTCCTCGAGGCCATGCCTATCCCTATTGAGGAGCCCGCACCGTCACGACAAATAAACGGCCTGGTATTCAACGCCCTCATGGACTCGATTCCCAATCTTGTCGCAGGAGGTGCCGACTTGTGGAATTCGAACCAGATGGGGGACCAGACAAGACGCATCCTTGATGCGAGTAATCCGAGCGGCAGGGTGATCCGTTATGGAATCCGCGAGCACGCCATGGCATCCATCTCCAACGGACTCGCCGCATACAGCCCCGGGGCAATTGTCCCTGTCACGGCAACCTTCTTCATGTTCTACCTCTACGCGGCTCCTGGAGTTCGCATGGGCGCGCTGAGCAACCTAAAGGTCATACACGTAGCGACCCACGACTCGATCGGCGAGGGTCAAAACGGCCCAACGCATCAGCCCGTCGAGGTCGATTCTCTTTATCGTGCGATGCCCAATTTGCTGTACATTCGCCCTTGTGATGGAGAAGAGGTCATCGGCGCTTGGCTCGCGGCCCTGTCCGCCAAAGAACAACCGGCCATCATCTCGGTGGCGAGAGACGCACCCGGCACAAAGGTGCCAAACACGAATCGGAACAACGTGTCCAAGGGCGCGTACGTCGTAATCGAGAATAATGCGGCAGTCGTTACCTTGGTGTCGTGCGGGTCGGAACTGCAGTTCGCCGTCGGGGCGGCTTATGAACTCACAGGCTCTGGCATCCCCACGCGGGTGGTCAGCATGCCTTGCATGCGCCTCTTCGACATGCAGGACGCCCAATACAAGAGGTCGGTCTTGTCAGAGTCTCCTCACTGCATCTCGGTCGAGGCATACATCTCCGGTATGTGGTCACGATACTGTACTGCGTCGATAGCGATGGACTCTTTTGGCTATTCGGGTGGTGGTCGTGACAACTTTGCTCGCTTCGGGATAGACACGAGGGGCATACTTGGCAAGGTCAAGGCGGAGGTCTCTACAAGCGGTGACGTAGGCCCGGTTTCCCGGAGATGGAAACTGCTGATATAAGTAGATACATGTGTTGTGACAACTTGATACGCATGTCGGTCCGTGATGGCCTGGCTTTTCACACTTTTCTCTTCCCGGTGTGACATGCCATCTGGGAGAGCATTCCGATTAATAAAACAGAATACAATGACGCCAACATGGCCTAGCTGACTACTACAAAAGGACTACTCAAATTCTTCCAGCATGCATGCCACCTGTGATCAGCATCTCTGCATCTGTCATGTAGGCGCTGCCATCTGACAGCAAGAAAACAGCAGCAGCTTTAAGATCCTTCCTATCGCCGATTCTCTTCATGGGAGGCTCGCTGTTGAATATCTCGCCAAGAAGTGGCCTCTTCTCGATCAGCTCAGCGGTCATGTCCGTCGCTATGTATCTTTGCAGACGAACCGTCAGTTGATGGGCCTTAGGGTTAGGTAAACTGGAGAAGAAACTGAAAATGTATATAATATGTGTATAAACAGGGGAAGGGTCCAAGCCAAGCACAGTTGCAAATATATACATACCCCGGGGATAAACAATTAACACGAATCTGATGACTGGCCAGCTCCACTCCGAGCTGCTTGGTCAAGGCAAGCACGCCGCCTTTGCTCATGCAGTAGTCGCTGGTGTGCTGATCTTTACTGGCCTGATGTGCTGCGATGGATGCAATCATGACGACGGAGCCGGCGCCAGCGCGGCCTGGAAGGGTTGGCTGCTTGGTCATCTGTGCCGCCGCCAGCTGCACGCTATAGTACGTGCCCAACGTGTTGATCTCGAGGCATCTCTTGACACTGGCTGGGTCACGGCTCAGAAACGGTTGATCGGGGCAGATGCCCGCAGCGGTAATGCTGGAAGAGGCGTGACGTTAATATCAGACTTTGCAAACACCGGCCCATCGACGGCGAGGGTCTACTACATATACCTACATGCCATCGACTCGCCCAAAATCCCGCACAATGTCCTCAAAAGTGTTGGACAGCCGCCCGTGATCAGTGACATCAGACCTATGGCCTCGCAAACACTCGCAAGCGTCAGTGGATGGTGTACCGTAGTCAAGAGATGCAAACGCCAGAGGGAGCGAGAGGGAAACCGACTGGTAGTACTCAACCTTGTCACAGGCAGACTGCAGCAAGGCGTAATTCGCGTGAGGCTCAGGGGCAGCATCAATGATGGCAATTTGGCCACCAGCCTCGGCAATGGCAAAAGCAAGCGCCAGACCGATGCCTCTGGCACCCCCAGTGACTACCTGCACCGTGCGCGAGAGAGACAACAAGTCCATAAAATTGGTGCTAAGATAGCCGTCTGGCACGGATGATGCGTTGACTGGTGCACTAGCCATGTTTGTTTGGTTTGATTCGGTTTACGAAGGCTGAGGAGTTGGAAATCTATCTGTGCTGGAGGAGGTCGGCAAAGATGATTTCGATCAAGGTAGGCGTTAGATGGGCTGTGCACCGACCCTGATAAAAGTCAATGTGGTGACAAGACGGTGTATGTCCGAGGCTGGCGCATAAAGCCTATGGCGGCTCGGTTGCAGAAAGAGTAACTAGGTACCTACTTCTAGCTCACACCATTAATAGCCTGCACGATGTACATACCTGTTACAGACCGACGGGCTACGAGATGATAGGTAAACGTCAAGAAGGTACTATACCTGTCTACCGCTTGACCTCTTCCAAAATAGAACAAACTCCTATCCATACTCTTTAGTAGAGTAAATACCACACTGCTCGTCTTAGGAACATGTATGGTTAGAAGCTGTTTAAGGTGGTGGGATCAAGACGCCAATTAAACTAGCAACTACCGCCTATAATGCCAGACAGAGGCTGGCCAACAATCTGACTTAGTTCTATCTTCTATTCCTCTTCTAGCAATAAAGTTCCAGTGTAGCGTTTTTGTAAGCTACCTCAAACAGGCCAAGCACCTCGCCGTCAGGAAACAAGTCGGCACGCATCTGTTCTTCCGGCACACCTCCGGTACAGCTGGAAGGGTGCGTTACATGCCACCTATCGTGATGTTCTTGATCACCTGGTACTCGGCCAGGCCGTACTTGCTCCCTTCTTTGCCCACGCCCGACTCCTTGATGCCGCCAAAAGGAGCCTCGGCGGCACTAATCTTGCCCGTGTTGACCCCGACCATGCCCGCTTCCAGTCGCCTCGATACATGCCAAATGGTTCGCATGTCACTGGAGAAGAAGTAGGCCGCCAGGCCGAATTCAGTGTCGTTGGCGATTCGGATCGCATCCTCGACTGTGTCAAACTTGAAGATTGGTGCAAGCGGCCCAAACGTCTCATCCCGAGCCACCTTCATCTCGGTCGTGACGCCTGTCAAGAGGGCGGGCTCGATGAAGAATCCGCAGTCGAGTTCTCGCGGGGACAGACCGGTAGGGGCGTGCCCGCCAAACAACAGCTTTGCGCCCCTGGACACGGCGTCATCTATATGTTCCCGCACCTTGCTGACGGCGGCCTTGTTGACCAAGGGCCCATGGGTGACGCTTGGGTCGAACCCGGAACCCACTTTGAACGTCTTCATGCGCTCCAAGAGGCTTTGCACGAACTGGTCGTGAATCTCCGCCTGGACCAAGAGACGGTTGGCACACACGCATGTTTGCCCCGAGCAGCGAAACTTGCATGCGAGGACGCCGTCAACTGCCGCCTTGACATCTGCGTCGTTGAAGATGATGTATGGCGCATTGCCCCCCAACTCCATCGATACCTTCTTCATGGTATCTGCAGCTGTGCGCGTGATTGCCTTTCCGACGGGGGTAGACCCAGTGAAGCTAATCTTCTTGACCGTCGGGTTCGTGTATAGCTCCGTGATGGCCTCGCGGTTCCGCGTCGGGACCACCTGCACTATATCGCGGGGGAGGCCGAACTCTTCGATAGCTTGCTGCAGGAGAACGTTGAGCGCCATGGTGCAGAGAGGCGTCTCGCTCGGTGGCTTGATGACCACTGTGCACCCTGCAGCAAACGCAGGCCCGAGCTTGCGCGTGATCATGGCCACTGGGAAGTTCCAGGGTGCGATGATGCCGCATACGCCGACGGGCTGCCTGATGGTGAAGTTGGTGCTGCCGGCGTGCTGGGACGGGATTATGTCACCATACGACCGGATGGCTTCCTCTGCAAACCACGAGATGAAGCTGGCGCCATATTCCACCTCGCCCGCCGCCTCCGTAAGCGTCTTGCCATTCTCCAACGTCAGCAAGGTGGCGAGGTCGCTGGCGTGAGACCGGATGAGTCCCGCGAACCGGTGCAGAAACTTGCATCGTTGATGCTCGCTTGTTTCCTTGTATTGCTGCAGGGCCGCCTGGGCGCATTCGATGGCACGCCCGAACGCCGCCGCGTCGAAGCTCGCGACATTGGCGACGACATTGTTCGTGGCTGGGTCGTGCACGGGGAAGGTCTCGGGCCCGGAGATCCACGCTCCGCCGATGAAGCCCTGCTCGCGGAACAATGGCTTGTGTGAAAGGGCGTCGTACGCCGAGGTTGGGTGGGAAAAGGCCATCTTCTGCCCAGCTACGCTGTGGTTGGCAAGGGAAACCTTGATATGCGGCCGAGGACCAGACGGGGGCAATGTCTGTTTGTCTGTCTGTCTGTCTGTCTGTCTGTCTGTTGGAATTCTCAGACAATGTTTCACTCGTCGCCTGTGCGTTGGATGGGACGATGGATGTATTTTCAATAGAGACGGATCGTTCCGAGAAACAAACTTATTGACATGATGAACGTTGGCAGGCGGCCACATCTTTCTTCTGGAACCCTCGCTAGCGGATGCCTGTTGCGGGTGAGGCTGTCATAACCTCCTTGTCCGCAAAACCGATCAAGTAAAGGCAAAGCCTATTGATGACCCTCCTGGTTTGGTGGGGCTTGAGGCATACAGGCAATATGAGCCAATGTTAATCCTCACCTGGGAGGCTCAAGCCTACCCGAATCTGGATTCTTATCAACCATGTCACTGGATGGGAAAAACTGAACCCAGTCAGAACTATTAGAGAACCAAAGAAAAATCGATCTGACCCTGAATAATGAAGTGGCCTTATTTTGCGCATGCTTCTTGGTGCCCATATCATACGTATTCAACCGTCTGGGAGTGCATTGATATAGGGTAGGTGCATAGATACGATAGCCACGTATTAGCTGGCGTCTCTCTGATTCTCTTTCATGTCTTGACAAGTTGGGATATTTAGTCGTAGCCAACTGATGGGCTTATTCAATTATCTCGGAATTTTTATCGAGCACCATTAATTCACCGCATCAGCGTGCATAGACAGGAATGTACTGTTGTTCCCCTGCTCGGACACCATAAGTTCCTCCAATTAGAGACCCGAGCTGAACAATATTTGTGCATTAACAATTGAGTGGGTAACATTCTAGCCTCTTCTCAGTAGCCTATGTGATATGGTAGGTGCCGTGTATGAACTGGCTAGGCGAAAAGCATCGTTGTAATATTGAAACATGTTCCGAGGCTGCCATGGCTTATTATCAGCGTACTGCCGCTGCGGGGATGTGGGGGTTTAGTTCGTATGAGCATCTATTCATCATTGATTCCTTCTCGCCTCTTGCGCCATCGGACTTGCTAAGTACGTTATTGACTCAAGCCAGCGTGCTAGTAGATGGCGGTGGCTCGCTCGCGTTTGCCACGTCCCCATCAACGGCGGGATCAACTCAACATGGACGGCAAGACACACGACGGTTGGCCTGTTCGCAGCGTTATTCCTGATAACCCGCCGCTGGCAGACCTGGTCGGTTCCATCCAGGAAGGACTTGAGGCCAATTTCGCGTCTGTTGCTGTGACCATAGAGCAGAGCCCCGACCTACGAGAAAAGCCGTTTTATCTGGCCTCGCCCGGCCTCTCCGGCAACACCCGTATAGCGGACGTTGGGAGCCCAAAGTTTGCGGAGCCGGCCCCAGACATGTCCAAGGAGTATGACTTGCTCTCAGTAGCGCAGACCGTTGGCATGTCAGCTCGACAGGGAGTCGTGATTGGTGCCAGCGCCGCGCCCATCCACCATCTTGGAACAAATGCCGAGTACATGCCCAACGTCTTGTACGAGGGTCTCGAGGGCGTTTCGGCCAAGAAGTTGACCAACCTGTCACGATACTCCAAGATTGATGACTCCGGAAGCGTCGTCGTCGAGCAGATTGCCAACGACGTTACGGCCTTTGCGCTGCTCGCCAACCTATTCACAGCGGACGGGTTTCCAGGCCCTCTGGTCCACGTCAGAGTCAAGGGCCGTAAGGGACAACTTGGCTTCTCCGATTCCATCCGGGATGGCTTGAAGGGTGGTTTCGGTAGCCGCCTCATCAGCATGGGCGGCGTGTTCGCCATGTCCAATGGCAGGGCAAATCTTCACACGATGGCACATTCCGTAGACCAGCCGTTCAAGGGAGAGGTCAAGCACCCTTGGCTTCGCTGGTTTAACGGCGAGGCGCCACTTGTAGGCCTGACGGTATTTCATTCGGGGGATGACCGTGGTTGCCAGTTACGTGGTGAGCATACGCATTGCTTCTCCATTGATGGAGATGGGCTTGGAGGACACTTTAATGGTGACGTCGACGCTACAAGGGAGACGGTGGAATACGAGGCATGGCTTAACACGGCCGATATTGTGTATAGAATAGATGCGCCCATGTTGTAGATGGTATTGCGAGTTTGCGCGGGAGCTCTGCTCACCACGACGCAGTCACATGTGTCTACCTACTTGTAGCAGAACCAAATCATGCATGCTCTATTGTCCACCTACCAGACCATCTCTCATGAACACCATGATCCCCCTAGAGAAGTTGGGGAATAAGAGTGTATTGATTTTCTGTTTACAATTTCTCCCCCCCCCCCCTGTTGGTTCACGAGAAGTCAAAGATGCAAATAACCCCCGCTACTATTTTTTTAAGTATACAATATAGAAACTTGAGAAACATCAAGCATGAAAGCTTGAGGGGCTGGGGAAGACCCAATGAGGAAACATAAAGAAGAGTAGCACTCCGCATTCACCAGCGTAAACATAAACAGAGAGCTCAAGCTCGGCGAGAGGCGGTGCTGGAAGGCAATGCGAGTACACAGCGGCTATAAACGGCCATATAGCCTCCCGCTTTGACGTATTTCAACAGGGAGACCGGGAGAGACCCAGCGCAAAAGGGCTTGCCGACTACATGTATGGAAGAGAGTGAGTATAACAAGGGTTGATGCCTCTCCAGAGACACAGCAACGCGAACGCGTGAAACAGACATTATTCCATACCCTCCCATCCACCCCCCCTCACTCCCTATCATCCATCGTATCAGACCCGTGCAATTCCCCAGGAAGCAGAGATGACTATCGACAAGAGCAAGACACATAAAGCCGCCCTTCTCTATGGCGCCAAATCGCTCAAACTCACTACGGTAGACACTCCCCCGCTGGGGAGCCACGAGGTGCAGGTCGCACCAAAAGCCACGGGCATCTGCGGGACAGACATGCACTACTATCAGAACGGACGCAACGGCATCTACACGATAGAGAGCCCGCTAGTCCTGGGCCACGAAGCCGCCGGAGAGGTGGTGGCGGTCGGCAGCGATGTGCACGGGCTGAAGCCTGGCGACCGAGTCGCCGTCGAGCCGCAGCTCGCGTGCTTCGTCTGTCCCAAGTGCCGGCTCGGCCAGTACAACATGTGCTCGAGCATGAGATTCCTAGGCTCAGCCAGCGCCAGGCCGCCGGCCAGTGGCTCGCTGCAGCAGCTGTACAACCACCCAGCGAGCCTGGTGTACAGGCTACCCGACTCGCTCAGCTATCTCGAGGGTGCCATGGTGGAGCCGCTCTCCGTCGCCATCCACTCGGTCAGGAAGGCGAGGCTCCAGGCCGGCCAGACGGTGCTGATCACTGGCGCCGGGGCCATCGGGCTGCTCTGCGCCAGCGTCGCCAGGATATCGGGCGCCTTGAGAATCGCCATGGTAGACGTCGACGGGACGCGGCTCGAGTTCGCCAAGGCCCAGGGACTCGCCGACGCGACCATGCTGATACCCTTTGGCGGCAATGAGGGCGAGACTTCGATTGAGTTCTCGACCAGGATGGCCAAGGAACTCTCATCGTCCGAGGCTGGCATGCGGCCGGCGGACGTGGCTTTCGAGTGCAGCGGTGTGGAGAGCTGCCTGAACCTGTGCGTCGCATCCGAATCCGGTCGATTTGGATTGCAGATATGTGGAATCAAGGCCAATCCGGTGTCATCAATGAAAAGATACTTGGAAGTGATCGTAAGTGGCCTTCTCCGAGTATGCTACCGGTATTGACAAGTATCAGCGAGTTGGTCAGATCACGCGAGGGATCTGATGAACTTGATCAACCAAAACCAGGCTTCCATGCCTCATCCAATAGTAGGAATTGGCCATAGTATGGGGGGTACTCAACTGTTAGACGCTGCTTGCCTATCAAACTTGCCTACGCCCCTACTGACTGGATACACAGCTCTTTGTTGGCTTTGAACCACCCACGCTTACTCCGATCGCTGGTTCTGCTCGACCCAGTTATCCAAGAGCGCAACGGAAGCATCTCTCCAGCAAAAGCATCTACGCCTCGTCGAGACATCTGGCCATCTAGGCAGACTGCGGCAGCAAGATTTAATGGCGGAAAGTTCTTTCAGACTTGGGATCCACGGGTGCTGGACCGCTGGATTGAGTACGGCCTCCGTCGAGGTCCGACCGAACTTTACCCACGTGGACATCTTGACAATGACGACGGCGTAACGTTAACCACCTCGAAACATCAGGAACTTTTCACATTCCTTCGGCCTACCTACCGGCACAGCCCTGGCGAGAAGTACGTTGACAAAGATCCTGTTTCAGATGAAGAGTACCCTGGATATCCATTTTACCGACCTGAACCACTTCAGGTCTTCCGTCGCCTGCCGGAAATGCGCCCTAGTGTGCTCTATATCTTCGGGGGTAGCTCAGAGCTTTCACGCTCACAGCAGCGTGAAAAGAAGATGGTACAGACGGGTGTAGGTGTTGGTGGTAGTGGTGGTGCTGTTGCCGGTCGTGTCAAGGAGGTGGTTCTTGATTGTGGCCATCTCGTAGCCATGGAGAAGGTTTCGGAGTGTGCAGATGCAATCACTGCTTTTCTGGAGAGCGAACTGGAGTTATGGAGAAAGGAAAAGCGGGAATTCGAGAGGTATTGGAACAAGAAGAGCAGGCGGGAGCAGATCACGATCGACAAGGCCTGGGCTGATAACATTGATCCGAGTATGAAGCCTTCAGGCCGTAACAAACTCTGAATTAACATCCTTCCATGAACAATCCTTCGTCTTGTCTGTCAATTGGAGTCACGTTTCAATGATGCTGGCCTGGACTCTAGTATTTAGCTTAAGGGCACAATCCTCGTACATGCCCCCCCTCGCACTAGGAAGCTAAAATTGCTCTCCGATATCAAGAGTGGACAATGGTCTTTCGGTGAATATGCGGGATAATTATCAACCCCAAGTCTGTGGATTCTGGGGATGAACTAGATATTCTCTCATCCATGAAGAAGCCACCTTTCCTTTTACAGACCGATGCACTTGAAATTGGTTGTTCATGTTGGTGGAGAGACGATAAATGCATTATGCAGTACTATCGCACTATACGTGCAGTGCATAGGGGGTAGCCTACGTCAAACGTCGAAATGGTCACGTGTAGATTGCTTCTTTCCTAACGAAAAGTATCTTCACTTGGAGTCGCCTCCGCCTATTGAGAAACGACCCAGACATGGCCTCAATCTCGACCTCTATTCATATACTTGCCCGGGAAGAATTATCCTTCAATTGGTGAGAGGGTTTTGGCTAAAGACGAATTGATTTATCTCTACATCATTACACGTGTCCATTATGAAAGTGTCAGGGATATTGGACGGATGAAAGGCTGCACTGTCAAGCGAAGTGCATAAAACTAAAGATAACGTAGGCTTCGTCTGACATCTGTCGATGAACAATCCAAAGCCTGGCACCTCTTCTGATGGGCCAGCTATGATAGTATCATTAAGATGAATAAAGTTTCAATGTGTAATGAAGTCTGGTGGTCCTCGGCCATGAGGTCATCAATCCTGCGAGTGTCAAAATATGCCTCGAGATCAATACCTTGGGCATATTATAGCGGGCAACTAGCAGTGATGTAGATGATGAAATATAAATCTCTTGACGCTTCGGATCACTGGTGTTGATCTTAGGCATTGTCATCTTGGTCCATTCGATGTTCCTGCCTTTGAGAGAAGGCACTCACACTGTGTTGTCTGGCATGATATGTCGAAGGCTGTGGATGTGTCAGTGTAAATGCTCTGGCCAAGAGGCTACTGGTACTCACTGGGTCGGTTGGTATCTGAAAAGCCTCGAGATTGGTTGAAGTGTTTGGATTGAAGATGATGCGAGATGAAGGAAGCCAGGTGAAAGAGGGTAGGTTTTATAGTCATTTGACGAGCGGCTCGTCCCGACGGCAAGTGAGTCATCGGTATGAAGGTTTGCAGACTTTTCCTTCCCCATAACTGCAGCCTTGGGCTAGCGAAGCATATATTTACCTTTCGTATTTATTCTGTTGAGATGTCGGGTGTGGGATCTTCTATTGATGTATTTTTTTACTTTATACTCAAACTGTCACCAGGTTTCTTGGGACCCCAATACCTCAGCTGCAACGCTGTCATCAACACCTAGAAGACCTACGCTGCGTAAATCACACCAATAATTCAACCTAGAGCCAAGGGCCGTTTTGAAACGATTGATTTCAACCAAGCAGGGGAATCTTGAGACGTCAACTTCATACAATTGAAGCCCAAGCAGGTGGGCCTCGGGTGTACAAACTGAAACCTTGGTCTCTGCCGGAATATAACCAACTGTTACGAGCATACCCAGCAGTTGATAAGACCTTCTTCGGACCACTTGGTCCCATCTATCAAGTGGCATGGGGTCCCCTTACTTAATCCGGTGACCAGGTATAGCATAGGGATGCTCATCGTTGCTATTATTTCACAAGCTGTGTTGATGGCATGGCAGCTGCAGATAGGTGTGGTTGATAAGACTCGTACATGACGGCTTCAACGTGTCTTTTTCCCCTCAATTAGCGCTTTAATTTCCATGTTAGCGAAGGCTTTGAATAAATTAGTACTTTTTGCTAGTCAGATTGGGGATGGTCGATATGGACCTCATCAGCCTTGAAAGTAATTGAGATAGCTATATATTTACGCTTGATTACCTACCACTGGAAAATACGCGTTGTATGTGTGTGAATTATCCGGTAGCGCGACCATAGCAAAACCACTATCAAAGGACGGAATCGCGTTCTAGTGGAAAGGGGCTTCGCCCGGGCATTAGTCAACCTGGAATGCGTGACATTGAGTCGTCGCCGCGTGATCGGAAGTTTCGGATCTTCCTTTATCAGTAAAAGTCGACAGGCTGGGGCTTTCCTGAGATAGGCCCCGATCGTATGTTATGAGTGCCTCCCCTGTCCCCAATTTGCGTAATTACAGCAAGTATAAGCCCATGGCCTGTAAATTCGTACTCCTATCGAGTACGTGCGGATGTATTAGATTATAGCTCAGCTGTGGTTACATCTTTTCATCGCACGCAGCAAGTGTGCTTAATTGTAATACACTCACTCTTTATGTGGTTTCTATAATGGTGATAGCATTGATCCCAAGTCTGCCGACAGCCGGCCTGGTATCTGAAGTGCCCCCTTCAATCTCTCATCAAGAGTTACAGTTACACCTCAAAACTGCCTACCTTCTGAGATCAATTTCGAGTTTTCCGTCATGGTTGTTCCTTTGCCTAGTAGATAATGTCTGAAAGCTGGAAGGCCATATGTAACCTGACTCTGATGAGACGAATAACATTTCCAGTAATCCACCAACTTGCTATCCAATGTTAGTTCTGCTTTTCATTTTGAGACCTGTTCTGGATAACCAAGCATAGGGATAACGCGGCAGCGTTGCATAACTGGCCCAGGGTAAATAATTTGCCCGCTTAAGGAGCTTACAGTTGCACAAGAGCTGTATTACTCTGTATGAGACAACTTACCATTAATTTGGTCGTTACTATATCGGGAATTCTAATTCTTTTTTCAGACGTCGCTGCGCTGCCTTAATCTGTTAGGCCTTTCGGTAAAATCCCGCCGCACTGCTGCGGGACGGAAGATGCAATATTTCTTATCATCATGCTTCAGAGACATCCAGTGGGATCCAAAACGGGGTAGGGGCTACGCCTAGTGGGCTGCATGGAATTGCGGCCAGATTGTTTCATACAAGTTGCCTGGAATCAGTACGGAAGTGATTCCTGCTAGTCTTTCGTGAAGATATCGGCGAGGTTAGGATTGACATGCCTCAATGTCGATAGATAGGCTGGGGACATAGATAACTGGATCTCTTAGCGCTGGATGAAAGATAACGCACTCTCCAGATCCGAAACGATTTCCATTAAGATTTTATATATTGCCAAAATATGCAAGCTTTTGCGTTTTCAGACCAGTACTGCGTGAATCAATCATTGTGAACCTAGGTGTCACTAGACGCAATCAATTTCCCCTCTCCTTAAAGGTCTCTATTTTCATCATGGCTTCGTTGCCCATCACAAAACAAGAAACGCATGTCGGCAATGGCTTAGTTTCTGACACAGAAAAGTCGGTGGCACATAAGTCTGACACCGCAGACGCGGCACTAGCCTATGTAGGCGATGAAAGTGTTGCGCAAATGACCGAGATCGATGAGAAGGCTCTGGTGAGGAAGATTGACTGGATGATTCTTCCATTGATGTAATCCCCACCCGATCTTTCACAGTATACAGTAAGCCAGAGAGATGCTGACAGGTTATTTTATTAGGTGGGCCTGCTATAATCTTCAGTATCTTGACAAGACCCTGAGTGTGTACAATCAACCTGTCGCAGCCTCGGATTTGCTAAGCTAACGGCTAGCTGGTAGTCAACTATGCAAATGTCATGGGCATTCAAGAAGACACGCAGATGGTTGGAGACCAGTTTTCGTACATGGCTTTGGTGTTCTATGTTACCTATTTAGCCTTCGAACTTCCAACTGGATATCTCATGCAGAGGCTTCCCCTTGCGAAATACCTTGGTTTCAACGTTGCAGCCTGGGGTTTGATGAGTTAGAAACACTTGACAAAGTCTTGGATCCCGGAGATACACGACTGACTTTATCAATAGCTGCCTGCACATGCGCCGCCAAGAATTTTGCTGCACTTGTCACTCTCCGTGCTTTTCTCGGCTGCTTTGAGTCCGCTGTGGCCCCCGGCCTCATGCTTGTAACTACTATGTGGTACAAGAAAAAGGAGCAACCTCTCCGTGTCGGCTTCTGGTTTGTTGGAACTGGAACTGGTAATGTCATTGGAGCCTTGACGTCTTTTGGGTTCCAACACTACGGGGGATCAGGTTTTTCATCGTGGCAAATCATGTTTTTGGTTTTTGGACTTATAACTGTGGCGGTTGGTATCGCGGTTATGGTTTTCATGCCTGATAACCCGATGTCTTCCAAGCTAACCTACGAAGAGAAGGTGTGGGCCGTCGAGCGGCTGCGCGAGAATCAAACAGGTGTCGAGAACAAGCAATTCAAGTGGTATCAGGCCATTGAGTGCTTGCGGGATCCCCAAACGTGGCTCCTGTGTCTTATTGTCATCTCTAGTACCGTACCCAACGGCGCCGTCAGCAGTTTCCAAGCGGCAATCATCAAAAGTTTCGGATACACTTCCAAAGAAACGGCGTTGCTGTCTATCCCGTCAGGCGTAGTTTCCGCCATCGCTGTCATTGGTGCAACATGGTGCGCGGGTCGCTGGAACCTACGCGGCATCTTTGTCATCGCGCTATTGGCGCCTGGCCTGCTCGGAGGGTGCCTACTTTCTTTTTTACCTAGCGACAGAAAGATTGGATTGCTAATTGGCAACTACCTAACTCTGTGCATTGGTCAAAGTCTGGGACTCATCTACTCTTGGGTAGGAGCAAATTACGCTGGGCACACCAAAAAAGTCACCATGAACGCCATCCTTCTTATGTCGTTCTGTAAGAGCTAAATTCCTACACTTTTCAGCCTAAATATATTACTAATGCGTCTCAAAGGCCTCGGAAATATTATTGGGCCACTGACCTTTAAGAAGGAGGATGCCCCTGGCTACCTCCCTGCAAAGATCACCATTGTGGTGACTGTAGCTGTCGCCATTGGGTTCACCTTGATACTCTTGGGCTATTATAAGTGGGAGAACGACAGAAGAGATAGGCGGGCGACTAGTATCACCCTTCAGGGAAACGGCGACTTCTTGGACTTGACGGATATGGAGATCCCAAACTTCAGGGTGAGTTGATGCTTCCATCCGCGTATTCCACAGAGAGGCTCTAACACTGTCTATAGTATCAGCACTAGTGCGATTGTTGGAGACGCAGGCCTACACTTGGTACGCATCTTGATCGTTTTGGTGGTCAAAATCATTGATACGACAGCGTTTGGTCCAATGCCAGCGCCCTGTAAAGTGCAAAAGGGCACACTTTTGGAACTTCATAGACCGAATAGAATTCTATAGTGTGTGATTTCATACTTCGCAACCTAATTGAAAGATATGACGTCTTTCCGCGTTGTTTTGAGAGGATCGTGAAGTCGAGTTCTTTGACTTGTTGTAGACTGCAGAACGCAGACATACTGCGCGACGCATCTTATGAAGAGTTTTAGCGCTCCATTTCTGGTCCAGTTTTGATCTCCAGCAAAGATCATTATGAACCCCTAGCTATACCAGTCGCTTGTCCATGCATTTCTACTAAGCTCCGTATTGAGAATTTAATACACACACTATAGTAATTGAAGATGCGAGTCACAAAAAAGACGTTTGTTTATTCTACATCCAGATGCGAGTCAAGTTCGAAATCTAGAAACAGTCCACCACCCGTAGCCACAGTGACCATGGAAATATTGTATGTGCGCCTGACTCTGGTTCGGAAACTTAGAAGCAAAATACTTGATCGTCCTTCTTACTAGCAGGCCTTGCTCTCTCGTAATTTAGGGAAGCTAGTATGGCTGTCATGGATGTAACCATTGCAGGCGGCCCGCACAACATGATCTTGGTCCGTGGTGCTGGCGGTGGTAGTTTGGCTTTGATCATGTCCAAGTTCACACGGCCAGAAGACCCTGCCCACATCTTGGGTGGTTGACTCAGGACGTAATGGACATTGATCCCCTGATCATCTTCAGCGATCCTATCAATCGCCTTCTTGAGGATTATGTCCTCCTCGGTTGTATTAGCAAAATCAGGTCTATCAGCGTGGTGTCTGCCCCGCCACATTCTGGCCTATTGGCATGCACGGCCTTGATAATTTGTAACATTGGGGTGATTCCAGAGCCTCCAGCAATCATGCCTATACGATCGCAATATCCGGCCTTGTACGTCATAGCCCCTTTGGGCCCTCGTACTCGAATCTCATCCCCGATCTTCATCTTGTCCAAGAAGCAGGACATTTTGCCTTCCGGATACAATTTAACAAGAACATCAAAATGCCCGCGGTCATGGTCGGTCGACATTGGCGTGTATGACCTTGAGAGGGTCTTGCCCCCGTCGTCAAAGGCCAATGCTATGTGCTGGCCAGGAGGAAGTCCCAAGACATCCGTAGGCCTAGGGAGGCCGAAGCGAAATATGGAGACATTGCGCGATATGCTTTCTCGCGAGACAAGGGGAAAGTTCTTGAAGTCATTTTTGCTAAGCACCGGATGTTCAGGCTTTGTAGTGATGGCTCGGGTCGATGTCGCCAAATTCTTCAGTGTGCTGCCCTGCCCTGGTCGAAGCGGAATGTTCGGTAATTGGGGGCGAGAGATACGGTGATTAATCCAGTAGAATGCGAACAGGACCGAATACAGCAGCGGATAAAACAATGACATTTTTGCATCTTAGTCGGTGTCGTCGAACGCGTCTGCGTGTAGTAATGCTGGTAGAAACCAACCAGAAACAGTGCGGTCTCCGAGGTAATAATAATAAGTATGGTCAAGCTACGGAGTGCTGGGGCCCGAGCAATGGATGGAGCGCACCCTTATCGGCTCCGTGGACAGCGACGGCGCCGAATCGGAACTGGAACATAGCATCCTCTGATACGGTCGCCATAATCTTTTCCGCGTCCATTCCCGGTCCATCCATCGAAAATTCCGCGAAAGATCTGCATTCGACGCATGGCTTTAAGTTCCCATATGGACTTTATTAAGCACGCCAAATTGATCAAGCCTTGGGTCTGGTGTGCCGTGGCAGTTCAAAGGACTTTTGGTTTGTAGTGGACGGACAATCAGCATAACAAATCTCGACACATCTTAGCAACGACTTCAATTTTGTTGCGAAAGAATAAGTTAGAGTGACGCTTTTATATGCAAATCTGTCCTCTTGTATGCTAGTTCATTGAGGCCATACTAAGTATTTAGCGCTAAAGTTCGATACGAAGTACTTGTTAGGCTGATGGGATCGCAAGTGCGCATACTATCGAACCCAATCGCAGAATTGCATGCAACAATAAAATATTCAAACAAAGGCAGAATTTTAATATGAAAACCTGTATCCCTGAGAGCGCAAACCTCAGGAAAGGTGGTAGCGGGCTAGCCAACAACGTTGCAATGCGAATGATCACCAAAGGCAGAACTGGTGTCAATGCCGCCAAGCAGATGCCTATGGCGGTACCTAGGAGAATTGCTTCCGGGTAGTCAAATTTCCTGGTGATCCAAGCTCTCACGTCTCCGACCAAAAGCCACTCTCCATTAATGGTTCGTGCCGCCTTTAGAGCCGGTAGTCCGTCTACGCTCCGAGAATTCCAAATGGCGAGATAGCCGTCCAAGGCTTTCTTGTTAGTTTTGTTCTCTAGCCACTGCTCAAGCATGTGTCGGTCCTGGTAGCACTTGCAAGGTGGCTTGGTGAGTTGGCCAGTCTTTTGTATCTCTTGGTCGGCATTCTCGATAGTGTGTTGCTGATGGGCCTCCTTGTCAAGCGTGGGCACTGCATAACCGCAAGATGTGAAAACCTAAGCTTGTCAGCCGGTTGGCGCACTTTTTGTCACACATACGCACCTTCCAGACGTCGAGCAGGACGACAGCTCTAACGCCTGTGATGTACTCCAAGCCCATTCGCTTGATCATGGGATGAAACTCAGGGTCATTGTATTCAATCACGCTCCCGGTGCAGTAGAAGCGCAAGATTCGCGGCTTTGGCCCAAAGCTGCAAAACATGACCGTGACACGGCCATTCTCATAAATGTGAGAGATTGTCTCAGCCCCAGAGGCTGCGAAGTCAAGATATGCGCAATGGTTCTCGTCGAGGATGGCAAAGGTTGTCGAGGGAACACCCTTGGGGGACAGGTTGACATGTCGGCCTCGCAACGGAGCCGATGCCGTACAAAACATGGGCTGCTCCAGCGCCCATTGCTGGAGATTTGGCGGGATAGAGTCGTAAGCATGAGGCATATTGTGGGATTAAGCCTGAGGCAGATCCTGTGACTAGCAAATGAGGTTTTGATGCATCAGAATCGGTGGTGTAGATTTATTTCTTCCCCTAATAACCCGTCACGGTGAATGACGAGCTTAAGCACCAGCGGATCTTTTGCTTTGTTTGCCGACCGATACCGCGCCCTGCCTCGGCCACGAGCAAACAACCACAACTTCCGACGGCGCTATTTGCGAGACCTGTCCACCTTTTCTTTGTCCGGCACCTTTGCCGCGGTGGGTAAAACATGCGTGTGCAACTTGGCAAGCCCAATATTTCACATGCACAACCAAAGGTTGACATATCCGTAAGTTTCCTACTGGAGCGTCTCTGCATACGTCTCCATCGATTAAATTAACTTTAATGCGCTGCATTTCGCTCGGTAGGTATATTTATATTTATTCTCTATGTACTCATCTCGATTGCTAGCGACAAGATGACATGCCTTCATATTGACTCCTCTGCTCGAGCCGCTGTACCACCCGCTGAAGCGACTCGACGGGGACATATATTAAGCCTAGAAGGCCAAGCAAAGCTACTGAAAATACCAAGGCGCGGTAGAGATCCTTGTTAGATGACAGGCTCATGGGGGCTATAGCAGGTCTCGGATCGGCCTTTGTGTGCTCAGGAGCCTTTTCATTGAGAACAGCAACCTGGTCGAGTCAGTAGACAGCTTCATATAGGGGGGAGGATGGTATGGCCAAGTTACCGGTGCGCCCTCTAATGTGCCAATTAACATTGTCTCTAGTTCTTTCCGAGCATCCGTGGAATGCCCAATGTCGTTGAAACCGTCTGTTCCGTCTACACCGGCCACACTGAAGAGGACCTCAGCGCCCCCACTTGTCGCCTGTAAGCCGAGTCTTTATTATTCAACATGCGGGTGGTTTGGGGAGAGAACCTACGGGTGATCCGGGGCGTATTTGGTCACATCGTAGACCTTCCCCTCAATAATGATCCAACAGTCCTCTGCAGTGTTGTGTTTGGCAATTTCGGCCAGAGATAGAATTTGGAGGGATACCATTTTCTATCAAGTCCGTTTTGAGTTGCGCGATTTGTGAAGGAGGATAAGATGTACTGCTGCGCTTTCCCAGACGCTGGGAAGCGTAGAAACGCTTACATCTACATGCGCAAGCCTTTGACGAGTCCCGTCGGCAGTGGAGAAGAATTCTGCACCGGAAAACATGCACCGAGAGACTTATCTGTTTGATAAGAGAAGCCGAGCCAAGCCAAGCCGAAATTACTAATAGGGGCCACGGAGATAAGTGCTCGATATGTTGTGCTAACAACCTTAGTCTAAGATTGGAACAGAGCATTGACTCATGCGAGCGCGGAAGATAACAGCTCGCGGTAGCCTTGAATCCAGGCCGCACCCGAGATAGGGGAGAGTGGCACTTGAACGCCTAGGCGCCGGACATCTTTCAATAACGTACGTGGATAGGTTGGACAGTGTCCTGCGAAATTGATTATGCAGCGCGTCCAGGTGGATCTAATTACATTCGCTCAGCACATACTGGCTCCCCCCTGCTCCTCCCTGCTCTGTGGTAAAAGTGACCTGGTGGTCTGGCTCACTGATTCTCAAGTCCTTGCACAAACTTGTCTAATTCCTCCCTCTTGATGGGATACATGTGTTCTTCCGCGGGATAGGTGCGGCATTTGACTTCGTCTCTATACGTTTTGATAGCACTCATAGACTCAGCCCAAACATCGCCATATTTCTTCACAAATTTCGGAAGAAAGTGGCCCGGAGGGAAATTGCCAGAAATATCGCTTTGGACAAGAACCTGGCCAGAGCATCTATTACCACTCCCAATTCCAATGGTGGGTATTAATAGCCTTTCAGTGATGAGTGCTGCAACCTCGGATGGGACTGCTTCAATAACAGTTGCGAAGCAGCCGGCGCCCTGCACCGCCAGTGCATCATCAAGGATACTCGTAGCCCCTTCCGGTGTCCTTCCTTGAATACGAAAGCCACCGAGAGCATTTTTTCGCTGAGGCGTGAGGCCGATGTGGCCCAGGACGGGTATCCCAGCCGTAGTGATCTTGCGAATTGTGTCGGCCATTTCCTTGCCACCCTCGAGCTTTATACCCTGCAAGCCGCCCATTTTAACAACGCGGATGGCAGATGCAAGAGCTTGCTCTGGAGAAATCTCGTAACTTCCCATTGGGAGGTCACCGATCTATCCAGGGATGAGAACAACTCGCCAATTGCTGTTGGGGACAACTTACGGTGAATGCAGACTTTACAGCCCTTGCAACAGATTTACAGTGGAATAGAATCTCCTCCATTGTTATTTCAGTGGTATCATCCATCCCCAGAGAAACCATGCTCAGGCTATCTCCCACCAGCACAATATCCATGCCGGCTTGGTCAGCGATTAGTGCTCCAGGAAAGTCGTATGCTGTGAGGGCAACGATCGGCTCCTCCTTCTTGTGCAATGCACGCAGCGTGCCAAGGGTAACTTTTTCCCGTGCTCCAGTCGCTAGGGCACTGAACGGCAGGTATGAACTACAGCGGACTTGCAAGGAGGTTCTGCCGCTGGACCCAAGTCCTGTGAGCACGTATCTTTTGTAACGAGTCGAAGCGACGCACGAGGCCGGATGAAAGTGGTAGGGAATTACATGGCGTAACCTTGTATTAAAAAAAGCTGAGCTCAGGCAGTGTCCGTGATTGATCATTAGAAGAAATGTTAAAGATGTTATATCAAATTCTTGGCCTTAGAGCATAAATCATCGTTTGTTCAGGTGAACATGTGAAGGATCGCGCCAAGGTCGGTATTTGTTACCTTTTATTGTGGTTTATCGTGACGATATTTACAGCGTACATCTGAGTATCTGTTTCGGGCTGTGCCTCGAAGGGGCTTTGGACCCTAGGTGGGAGGCTATAACACCATGGCGGCATGGAGACATGTTCTTTTATTTTCCCCTGTCTTTCCCTTCCCTACACGTAAATAGTTCAAAATATAGACCCTACACCTGGTATCTAGATATTTCCTAATAGCTAATAGAAGTTATATGCGAACTTTATATTATAATGCTAAGAATTTCTTTTAATAAAACGTACCGTCATCTTAATCAGGATAGTTAACTATGATCATTTTATTATAAAGCTGTTTTTATTAAACTCGTTTAATATATGTGAAGAGAGAAAAAGATGAGATTCTACTTTCTAATAGAATAATCACAACTTCCTTTATATTTAAATCCAAGCAGTAGCTTCTAATTCTATATCTGTACCTAGAGCTAACTCCTTCACTACAACGCAAGCCCGGACCTAAATCGTGGATAAGCAGTATACTTAAATGGGAGCGTTCGTTCTAGATAGTCAACTCACTGGCTTGGGATCTTGGAAATGCTTAATGTACTCCTCGTTCATTAAAGGGATATCGGCAGCATTGGTGACCCAGATAGTCACGCGCAGTACTTTTTTCATACTAGATCCAGCGGCTTCAAGAACAGCCTGCACGTTTTTAAGAGCTTGACGCTATGGATATAATTAGCACGCCAGAAGCCTTCATCGCTGAAAATAGGGACGTTGGTATAATCGGCCGCATTTCATTCACAATGGGCCGGGTATGTAACTTGGCTGGGTGATTGAGATTAGCTCGACTTACCACTCGATGTTGAATAGTGCCTTCTAGCAACTTTCCCGTTGCAGGGTCAATACCTAGCTGACCACTCGTGTACACAACATTATTGAAGACGACAGCCTGTGAATGCAGAGCGATTGCAGCATAAGGTGCCTTGCCTGTCGCAATGCGTTGCATTTCGAGACTGAAGGAGAATGCAATAATACCTAAGTGGTGTTGTCCTTAATTGGGCTTTTGCTGGCGAGCTAAGTCAAGATTTGGCGAGCCTTATTTGTAGCAGTTGTTGCGGAAGTTTGCAGCCACTAGGATTCCATGCGGATTCAGAACGTATTCCTTGCGATGCCCTGGAAGGTGGGTAAAGGCTCGGATCTTCAACATGGTTCTCGGAAGTCGTCGGAAGATTTGCTGGGGCACGAGACGAGCTTGCAGATAAGCTCGGAACCTGGCACGAGGCGGCTGCTGTTGGCCGCAGTGCCGGTCACCGAAGAGTATTTTAACCCAGCTTATTGTACCCACAACGTCTGCACTGCTCGTAGTCCAGTATCATCGAGTCACAATCGCCAATCAAACTTATGCAGCGCCAGGCAAGGATCTTATTGATTGGAGGTGGGGGGATTGGTACTATTGTCGCATTGAATCTCGAACGCGGGGCCAAAGCCAGAGTCTCAGCCGTCCTGCGATCGAATTTCGAAACTGTCACACGGTTTGGGTATACGATCCATTCTGTTGACCATGGAACATTGAGTGGTTTCAGACCAGGCGAGAGTACGGCACGCGCCCATGTATGATAACAAGATCACATACACTAACAACCGTTACCCTTATTCAATAGTTCTCAGCGCCATCCCAACAGTCTCCGACGGCGTGGAGCCATTTGACTATATAATCTGTACCATGAAAAATACCCCGGATGTTACGAAACCAAGCCTACCGGAATTGATTAGGCCGGCCGTGACGACGGGGCGCTCGACAATCGTCCTGGTACAGAACGGGCTGGGGATCCAGGATACCATGATGGAAGCGTTCCCGTCCAACGTGGTTTTATCTGGAATTAGCTTATGTGGGTCCACGGAGAGCAGCCCAGGAGTGATACATCAGATTGTCCCTGACGAGCTTCTTGTCGGTCCCTTCCCGGCAACACACCGACCGGACATGCAGCAGTACGAGGAAAGGGCTATTGCATCAGCTACTGATTTCGTGGCTAGATATAGCGCATCGGGTAAGACTTCTTGCCATTTTGACGCAAACGTGCCCATGTCACGTTGGAAGAAATTGGTATACAACGCAACAATCAACCCCATTTGTGCCCTCACTGGGCTCGACGCAGGTGAAATACGCATCTGCCCCGGCCTTTTGGATCACCTAGTCAGACCTGCAATGCGTGAAATTCTTATCCTTGCCAATGCACATGGTTATGTTCTACCAGACGAACTCATGGATGAGATGATTGAGGGCGATCCGATAGAACTACATGTGGAGCCAAGTATGCTGGTTGATAAACAAAGGGTTAGTTCCTGTGGTTAATGCATGGACCGCTATTTAAACCTGAAATTCTGACAACTACATCCCTCCAGACTCAATATCTAGAGGTGGAAACCCTTCTTGGAGCACCAATACGCGCTGGGCGATCATTGAACATTGAGACCCCGATCTTGAATATGTTGTATTATCTCTGCAAAGGCATTCAGTATAAGACGCAGAGAATGATTTCAGAAAGGGATAAAAATTAAGGAATAGCTCATTGCGTATATTTGGAAAAGATGGTTGCGAGCAAAATATCGCATGTTAAACACTGGGGCACGGCCTTCAAGCCATACGTATAATACTGCTTCATCTAGTAGCTTCATTCAGTATAGTCACCATGCAGCCCAGCGAGCAAAAGGTCAAGAGCTGCATCGTCTTGAATAGACGGCATAAGATCACTTGAATGCCTATCGTTGAATGTGCTCTGATCGCCATCGGCTCCCTCCGTGCCGTACGCCATCCAGTGCTCCACAGCCATGTGTTGTCCTTCGTGCTGCGCATTAATTGCTACATCAGTTCCATTCGCGGCGTGGTCAGTGGTAGGGTTGACCGCATCACTAGTGTCGGTCACCATGTCTCTCACGCCGCCGCCTTCAGGGCCATGCAGATCCATTTCTTTCACGGGAGAAATCATTCCATATCCGCGGCCGCGACCAGTAGCAAAGCCGCCATCTTGATGAGTTGACTCGACTTCACGATGCGCACATCCCGCATCTGCACGCCGTTCGTAAAGACTTAAGACACTATTTGCATACAGCCAATGCCTCGACAGTTCGCGCAGCACCAAGAGTAAAGAACCATGGTTTTGAAGCGATTTAGCGGCAAAGATTGGGTTGGTGGAGTCCAAGTCCGCGTTGGTCTGGACGACGGCAGTGAAAACTGCACTCACGCCGAATATCGATAGACTAGACAGCCCTCTTTGCCTACGGAGGCAATTCGATATTGAAATGATGCAGCTGACTGCGTCTCGGCAGATCTCCATGTCTTCTGTAAAACGGTTTCCCACTCCAGGAAGCTGTCGATGGAGAAGAATGAGCACGTTGTTATAAGTGAGATGCAAAGCCATCGACCAAATATCGTTTCCCTTTGCTGTGTCTAGGCGCATGTCGTCAGGAAGGGACATGGAAAAGCCAGCCAGCTGCCTTTCTGCTTTCCGCAATTGGTCGGGATGAAAAGCACTCGAGGATTTAAACACCCCCTTGGTTTTCATCAAATTGGACACCGTCCTGCAAAGCCTGGTATGGTACACGATGAAATGTCGATGAGCTTGGGGGATCCCTTCAAAATAGCTATCGCTCAAAGGCGGGACGTCAGATTCCTCTACATTTCTGCAACCGTCAGCATAAGCGTTCAAAACTTGTTTGTAACGGGAGTGTCTTACATTGCCTGGGGGCGGCCGTAAAAGAGAGAGGTCAGCACGTCGAATTGCACCAGAGTCCACCAGAGCCGCACCCACGTCCGCTTATATACAGGCAACAAGCCCGAACGGGTTGAATCGCGGTGCATGCCGATACCTAGAGCCACTCTGACTGCAAGGCCGACCCAGTGCCAAGTGTTGGCGAGAACATCTTCGACGCCGTCCGAGTGCCAGCTCAAAAGCAATGCAACCTGCACATGCATAGTCCGGTCTTGCTCGAACCGGGCATCGAAAAGCGACTTAGCTCGGCGGTAGCAGGCTTGTTTCAACTCGCGCAAATCTGGCCGGCTCGCAACGAGCACATGTGCGCCAACGAGAAGTATAGCATGCAGAAGTGTCAGGGCTGGGGGATTCTGGCGGTCTCTAGCATTGTACCGCGTCATGAAGTCGTCTTCATCTACAATCGGCCAGCCACTGTTGACTTGGCGGAAATAAGTGTCGACGAGGCTGTCTGCCAATGCTCTGCTTGGAAGTATATACACATCCTTGGGCATGCTTTGGTGATCATAGGCGGTGTCCCTACGCTCAAGCTGCCGGCTCGAGAAATGGACAACCCCATCCTGGCTGCTGGTACGAACCCGTTGTCGGACCAGGTAGTTCAAGTTGGATGACTCCGTTCCGAGGAAATACAAGCGCGAGTCGTCTCCTATGGCTCTTGCCTCGATATCATCCTGGTTGACAAAGTCGGCAAGGCTCCTAGCAGCCCGCTCGTCCTCAGGACTGGCCGGATCAAACTCTTCGCCGGGAGATGCTGAGCCTCCAGACGTGTCGACAGACCCCACAGATCTTGTGGCAGATGGGACTGAGGGAAGTGCTCTGTGCCCGTCTTCAGATGCCAGAGCTGGACAAGCGCCGCCGTCATCGAGCTGGAAAGGCGCCCTCGGCTTATCGATCGTGGGCAGCCGCGGTAGTGTGGGTGCTGGAGCAGACTCTTCCTGTGCTGAAGCTGATCGAAGCGACTTTGATCTCCCGTACATCCGGCATTCAGGCCGATTCTGCATTCGGCAATTGGAGCAGGGCGTACCAACCCTCAAGGCATCGCATCGGACTTTGCGCTGATGACAGCTCAAGCATGCACGCCCATCTGTGGCCCAAGAGTTAGCACCAGTCTCCTCGGGAGGGTTCTCCACGGGTGGAAAGCAGGCAGAGCCGACCCACTTGTTCTTCGTCTCACTACTGTCCGGCCTTGATGCTGGCGCGTCGCCTCGTTCTTTTCCATCTTACTGTTGTCTGGTGGTAGTGGGAGGTTTGCCGAGATTGCTGGGAGGATGGAGTGAAAAGCGTCGGGATTTCGGGAAACAACTTGCCCTTTGCGTCCAGGGATGGAGTTAACACAGTAATCTCCCCTGTTAGCCCCACAGTAATCCACCCGATCTCGGCATTGAACTCGATGCTTCTCCATGTCATATGAGTTGGTGTTGGTGTAATTATTATGTTGACTTACCTACTTCCGCAAGTCCGGGGCCAACGCACGGGAGTGTCCATAAGCAGATTATTTTAAGTGGCACTCACATTCACTGAGCTAGGTATATAGCGGTTTCAGCAACGTAATCCTGCACCATCATCGCGTTTGATATAGCCATTCTCCCGTGCGGAAAATCGCAAGACATATTCCCCCCCCTCAGCCAAGTGCTATGATGATGAATCTCAAGGCCGGTGGGGTGCTGATTGGCCCTGTCACAGGCATGTCCGTGAGCCACACAGACATAATACAGAATTCTCAATCTTCTCATTGTGCGGAGCCCCCGGATGGGTTGAGTCCCCTTCAATTTTCCAAGGCAAGTTGCCCCAGACCTATGTCCATTCTCCATATTCCTATCGTTTCCAATCAAAGAACTCGTTTCCAATACAGTCCTGGCAGTGGAAAAAACTACATGTCGTTTGTACCGGTTTCTACTGCGCCTTCAATGGCAACCTAGGAACTTCGGCTCCATCAGGGGCCATGACAGTGCTCGCGTCCTATTTTAGCATTTCGAGCCGATCGCAACTGGCTTTGCTTAACTCGCTATACATGTTAGGTTATGTTATTGGCCCCCTGATCTGGGGACCCTTAAGCGAGCACATTGGTCGTAAGCCAGTCATGGCCGCTACGTATCTTACCTATGTCGTCTTCTCGATAGCTTGCGCTGCAGCACCGAGTTGGCCAGCATTGCTTGTCTTTCGCGTCCTGTGTGGCTTGAGCGCTGCAGCACCGAACTTTGTCTCAAGCGGCCTCTACGCTGACATATTTGACCAGCCATCAAGCCGAGGCATTGCCATGTCACTTTTCATGTTCTTCACCTCCCTCGGACCGTTCCTTGCGCCACTACTATCCGGGACCTTCGCTGAAATGTCCTGGCGTTGGTCATTTTGGATTGCAGTCATCATCTCATTACCTGGCGTGCCGTTGGTAATTATGTTACCGGAAACGTACGCACCCGTCATCTACGCCAAGCGGACGCAGGGCCGATCGTTGTTCTTCTTCTTCTTTCCACGCCCCGCTCTAGTCCCAGAAAATCTCGCATCGTCAACTACATTCAGCGCCAGAGACACTTTTCTGAGACCATTTCATCTTTTCTTTACAATACCCAAACTCTTATTCTCGTCGCTTTATACAGCCTTGGCATACGCCATCATGTATCTTGTTTTCCAAGCATATCCTGTTATCTTCGAAGGTACGTGCACATTTTTTTGTCGAGTGTCTCGTTGCATCGGGACAATGGTGTTCTCGCATTTATCATTCTACACGATACACGCCTTGTCTCTATTCCTTTTCTAACCCGTGCCAGAATACTACGGTTTAGAGCCAAGAGTCGCTGGATTGGCATATATACCACGTGGGCGCTCTCTATGTGGAACTGTTTCAAGCGACAGTGCATGAGCTGACATTGCGGGTAGTGATAGTCGGTGCCTGCATTGCGTTTAGCATCTTTGCTGCTTATACTCGTTGGCACATGCTGGCTTCCCAGTCTGGCACACGATGGACAACTAAGGAGGCATATCGTCGTCTTCCGTTGGCCTGTCTCGCTTCACCACTGTAAGGTCGCTCCTTTGCTGCGAAGTACCTACCCGCAGCACGCTGATAGTATTATTATAACAGCATGGTTCTTGGAATGTTCTGGCTTGGATGGACGTCGGGTAAATCGCTACCACCAATCCTTCCCATGCTGTCTGGCTTGTTTTTTGGTACTGGGTATCTGCTGCTGTTTATGTCAATGCTCAACTATATTAGCGACACACTCCCTGAATTCGCCGCGTCAGCACAGGCTGTGGCGGCGACCATTCGATCAATTGGAGCCGCTTGCTTGCCCCTGGCAGCCGGTCCGATGTATGCACAGTTCGGTGTGCGCTGGGCTCCCTCATTGTTAGCATTCATTTCATTGGCCATGGGCGTGATCCCTTTCATATTTATACTCATGGACGTAAAGGTACAAAAAAGGGCTGAAAACAAGAAGACCGGTGTAGTCGATGAAGAGAGCACGGGAGAAACTCTAATTGCATAAGGAGAATTGATATGTCAGGCTATCTTGCTCTAGCGACTACCTTTCACTTTGCACCACTTATCGCTGTACGGCATGTCTATTTCGTATCAGTCAACGAAATACCCTTGCCACAGGATAGTCTCACCAGAGTACTAGATCCCCGGTGGCGCAGGTACGCCCCTTAAGTCAGATGTGTGTTATCCGAAAAGCTTAACGATTCACAATTCGGCTAGGGTTAACTAACTAGCTACTAAGACTTAATTATTGAATTATCACACCCTTCATAACATGTTCTTTTTTTAATTATTGAATCCATTGTATCGATGCACTGAGATTGCTAGAAGAACAATCTCTTAAATTGTAAATGCTCAAAACAAGCAAGTTGATGTGATGTATTGCAAATAATTTTCGAGGCTCAAACTTTATATTTCATTTGTATTCAATTACTAACTACCAGAACAAGTGCCTAGATTAAGACCTCACTTCCAACAAAGTCTCCAACATTGGCCACATCACGGAAGGCCTGGTCGATGATCTTTGCGCCTTTCAGAATGTCTGTCTTTGAAATCGTGAGCGGTGGTGAAAACCTGACTTTCCCTGCAGCAGCGCCGACAAGCAGCCCACGCCTTGCGCAGAGTGCGCCGATTTTTCTAGCAGTTACGCCTGGATGAGTCTCGTCAACAATGGCTGCGATGAAGAGCCCACGATTTTTGCCGTTCAAGGTCTTTATATGAGGTGGGTTAAGACGCTCCAACTCAGAATATAACAAGTTGCCCAACTCTCTGGAGCGAAGTGCCAAGTTTTCCTCTTCGAGTATGTCAAGAGCGACAAGCGCAGCAGCGCACCCTGGAGGTGCCGCCGCTTGCGTCGCTCCTATCTCAAAACAATGTACAAGATCTGTGACCTCATGATTACCCAAAATTATCGACATAGGATAGTGCCCCCCGGTCAGAGCCTTAGCTAAGATTACCAAGTCGGGGGTAACACCGGGCTCGTGGTAGTGGGCAAGGTCATATCCGGTACGACCGAAGCCAGATTGAATCTCATCACAGATGAACAAAATATTGTGTTTCTTGCATAGGTCAGCCACGCCTCGAAGATATCCATCAGGAGGAGAGCAAGCACTGCGAAGGTCAGAGGTCAGCCTCAAAGAAAGATTCCCATCAAATGCTCCCCTTTCGAATATGCATGCCTGCAGCTTATACGTACCCAGCCGACCCTTGCACGGGTTCAACCATGAAAGCCGCAATTTTATGCCCATCACACTCAACAGCTTCCTCGATATCTTCCAAAGAGCCGTACCTAATTAATTTCCCTGTGGAGGGAATGTACGGTCCGACGTTGGGAACATGGGTACCGTAATCTACTCGAAGCTGGTGGTCAGCTCTTAGTCTGCACACACTGAAATCAACAAATGGAAGAGAAAGGCTGCCGCATAGAGACGCTGTCTCAGGTCAAGGAAGGAGACGGACCTCGCGCAATGATATTATTGAGGGCCATCGTCGCTAGTGTAACACCATGATAGCAGCCTGTCGCAGTCACAACCCACGCTTCACCAGGAGGAATGCCTTTTTTCTGGTAACCCCATCTTCGGGCCATTTTCACAGCTGCTTCAGCGGCCTCGCCCCCTGAGAGAAGAGTGGTTACTGTCTCATAACCAAATTTCGTCGTGAGTTTCTGAGCAAGCTGTAGGTAAACGGGGTTCAACCAAGTCGTCCCCACCAAAGGGGCCTTTGCGACTTGGTTCGTAATAGCCTTGACAAGTCTAGGGTGGGCATGGCCCATGTTAGCAGCCGCGTACATGGCAACGAAGTCAATGTACGTCCTGCCATCAACATCAGTGATTGTTGCATTTTGGGCGCCGGCTATCGCAACCTATAGGAGTGAAAGATGTCAGCAACCAAATTTTCAAATGAGTCTACTGCGCACTTGAACGCGGTTATCGCACCGGAAATGTCCCGAAGCCTCCTCTTATGAGCCTCGCATGTTGATCATAGAGCATAGAAGTCTCAAAGCTAAGATCTGGGACTATCTGCCTGTCAGAGTTGGCATCATGCTTTTGAGGTATATATGAGGGTAATTTCCCCTTAGTAGCCGTAGTTTCAGTTGAACTCATCTTCGCCTCTGAACCTTGGACTTCTAACACTTTCTGTGTTTCTAGAGAGATCGCAGTCGAACCTGTTTGCAGATATCGTTTGCGCCTTTGAAGCACCATAGATTATATGACAAGATAGAGCCAGAAAAGCATGGACGGGAATCAAACATTGAAAAATAAAAACTCTTATTATAAGAGGGCGCAGGTAGTGGAATACGAATCGAGTACATATTACCGAACTAGACTCGGTAGTTTCGGAAATCGGAGTTCCATGGCACCGCTTTTGGCAGACAAAGTCTTGAAGGGCCTATCAGATAAGGGAATTGAATACCCACTGTGCTCGTTATATCTCGGACAGCTGATTGGATAGCACCGCATTTTACCGTAAGAATCTCGCGGAAGGTAATGGACTCGACGCACAGCTCAGTAGCCCTCGTATCTATACACACATCATATCTTGTAAGCCATCGTTTTCATTTTGTCCGAAGGGTCAAGTCTTATCGGGCACATATCTCCGATCTGAGGTCTGAGTAAGGATGAGGCGAAATACGGAGCAACCGTGTACCTCATTGGAGATGGCATCAACGCCGGTGTTTTAACAGATTACCGCAGGAAAAAACGCCTGCAAGCTGTGAGGCAATCCCACTAGCTTCATTACTCTTATTACTGCATGATCCCTTACATCGGGCTCGATGGCCAATACCATACAGGGGCAGCCTCTGATAAGCATCTTTTTGAAAATTGAACAGGAAACAACGTGAATGACAGCTATATCTTTGATAAAAAAAAACGATATCCTGGTCGAACAACTCTAAAGGACGCCTTGACCTCTTCTTTTCCACCTTTAAACACAACAATCACCAAATTCGCCGATATGGCAGCAAGCGTAAAGAACAATCCCGATGTTGCCTCGGACCCAACTGTCGAGGTTGGCTTTGGAGAGTCTACGGCCGTGAGCGATGGTAATACCAACACCAAGCGCGGGCTCAAATCCAGACACACCCAGCTAATTGCCATCGGTGGCTGTTTGGGAACTGGTCTTTTTGTTGGTTCAGGGGCCACCTTGGCCAAAGGAGGACCGGCATTCATCTTCATCTGCTACGTAACTGTTTCGATCCTTGTCTGGATGGTTGTTACCGCAATTCAAGAAATGGCCTCGTATTTACCCATCCCAGGAGGCACAATCGGCTCATACGCTTCACGATTCGTCTCTCGCCCTCTCGGCAATGCCATGGGCTGGCTCTATTGGTATTCATTCGGGATCCTCATTCCCTATGAACTAACGGCAGCCGGCCTAGTCATTGAATACTGGCCAAGCAACATCAATGTGGGGATCTGGCTAACAGTTATGATGGTCATCATTGTTTGTCTCAACCTTCTGCCGGTTGGCCTCTACGGGGAAACCGAGTTCTGGTTCGCCGGGACAAAGATTATCCTTATCCTCGGGCTACTTCTCCTGTCATTCATCCTTTTCCTTGGCGGCGGCCCCAGTGGCGAGCGCCTAGGTTTCCGCTACTGGCAGGATCCAGGGCCAGTCAATTATTGGCTCGTGTCAGGCCCTCCCGGCATCGCGGCGTCTTTCTTCGGTACCCTGGTCACTTCTGTCTTCCCATTCACGTTCGGTCCGGAAATGCTGGTTGTCTCGGCCGGAGAGATGCAAAATCCCCGACACAACCTTCCTCGGGCAGCAAGCAAATTCTTCTGTCGGCTGATGATTTTCTATGTGGGAGGTGTTTTGGCGATTGGAGTGACTTGTCCGTCCAACAACCCGGATATCATAGCCGGGAATGCCAATGCAAAGTCATCAGCATTTGTGGTAGCTATTGTCAACGCAGGTATTGATGGTCTGCCGTCTGTTGTGAATGCCGGGATTCTGCTCTCAGCATTGTCAGCTGGGAATGCATTCTTATATCTCACTAGTCGCTCGCTTTACTCTTTAGCAAAGAACGATGCAGCGCCCAAGATCCTCATGAAATGCAATCGATACGGTACACCGTGGGTCAGTGTTGCTATTTCTGCGCTCTTCATCCCCTTGTGCTACCTCAACATTTTTGAGAGTGGGAGTATCATTTTTGGTTAGTTTGTGAACCTGACAAACACATCCGGTATGATCAGTTGAATTTGCTGCTGTATTGCTTATCTACGCTTCCGAAAGGCGTATTTGGTGCAAGGACACCAGAAAGAGGTCCCAAATCGCCACTGGGTCCAGCCTTATGGTGCTTGGATCGTTATTGTGTCGCTTACGGCACTGTGCCTCATCAATGGCTTCGATGTATTCCTACCAAAGCGTTGGAACCTATCCTCGTTTTTTACTGCCTACGTGGGAATTTTGTTATTTGCAGTTATGTATGCGGGTGCTTGGATCTGCTGTAAGGACGGAGAACGAGGAATTATTCCTTCCCATGAGATCGACCTAGTCACAGGTGTTGAAGAAGTGATTGCAATTACCTTTTTGCCTCGACCGCCACGAGGTTTTCTTGCTAAATTGTGGCACTGGCTTCTTTAGTTGCTCTTAGTCGCTGTTCATATCGCAGATTGCTATGTTGGAACGAAAACAAATGGAGCCTATGTGTATTCCTACGCACGAACTACTGACCACGCAGAAAACTTATATACTAGTATTGCTGTGTTAGTGTGAGTGGGGGTTTTTACAGGAAAATAAATGTGTTTCAACGTATGTTAGATACACCCTATTCTGGGATAGGAAATTGACTTGATTGATGATGATAATGTTGTGTTAGGGTTTAAGCATCTCTCTGATTCTAGGCCGATGAAGTTATACTGGTCCGTCCAGGGTTCATAATATAAGATATGGAAGATGGCAGTATGTCCCACTAAAGTAAACTATGAACTTGATGTCATACCCAGCCTCTCAACACAGTTTATTGAACATCGGTGCTTTGGGGAATAACTACTTTTCTCCTTTGCAATAGATGTGAATTCCCTAGCACAAATTTCCTCACCAGGGCGGTCACTACATTTTGAGATATAGTTTAGGTTGAGCAATATCATTTGACATATAAATCTAGGAACACTCATGCTTCTAGGTATTTCTCTAGCGCGTGAACAGGAATCTCTCTGCCAAGATGGTTTGGTACCCGTTCAAACATTTCCCAGCATGTATGTTTGAGTAACTGAATCTGATCTTTGACCCATGGTTCGACCTCCTCCTTCGTCACCATCTCATGGTTTGCCCTTCGTTCTTCGATCCGAGCCAATGCAAGATCACAGCGATCGCGAAGACGGCGGACTTTCTGCAGCATGAAAGTGTCAAGAGTGTCTTCCATATTGTCAAACCTTGGGTTGACACTCTTGAGTGTTGTCGCGCTGTCATCAGCATTCGGGTCGGCATAGCTGAAGCAGGCGGTCATGGTAAGGCGCTCGGGGCAGTTTTCAGCTCGCAGCGCAGCATGTTCTGCATAGCCGCCTGCAATGATGATCGCGCCGCCAATCGCTGTGCCACGAGACTTTATTACTCGTCCGTCACCAGTCTTGACAGCGGTCTCTCCACCAACCATGGTAGAAGTATCACTGAGCATCAAGACTACAGTCACAGGCGTCATATCCTTGTGCCATTTGTCAACAGGGACATCATCATAAACAGAGCTCGGTAGCTTTTCGCTTTTCGGGAGCGGCTTCGACGGCGTTTCTCTAAGTTTGTATACACCAGCGAGACCCTCAGACCCTAGCTGGACGTTGATGTAGCCCAAGTCATTTTCTCCGAGTTGGTGACTCAATGGGCAGCCAAAAGCATCATTAACTGCGGCTTGAGTAGCTGGATGGTGCCATGTCTGAGAGATAAACTTCCCTTCCTAGTGATTTGGTCAGTATATTGGTAGTGATACCTTGTGCCACCTTTCTTGTTCTCCTTTTACGCTCTTTAAAGTGTGTGACAAGGCAATAATAAAATCTGCAAATTCTAGACAAGAGACTTACGTCTTCCAAATTCGCATGACCTCCAATAATGCAAGGGGCTCTCTCCCAAGATCTTAAAAACTTGTCCAAAAAAGATTTGCGAAAAACTTCTCTGCGGATCATCCGAATTCCTTCCGCGGTAAAGAGTTGGAAAGGTTCTACAAAACAGATATCAGGACACCCCTTGGGCACCGGAAGCCCGAGTTCAGTAAAGGAGTGTCGAGTTGCGGGTGGCTTGTAGTCGAGATGGATGGCTGGGTCAAAAGGTGAGACCGGCAAATCAAACTCTTGGACATTCTTGGGTGGGCTTATCGCGTCTGAAATAACTTGGATAGGTGACATATTTGTTGTTGTCGTGGGGTATGGAGTTGCCGAAGGTTACCTAGTAGCAAGTTGAAGTGCACTACACACTGTACTCTACCAAATCCTGGCACTGGTGCCGTGGTCTTTTGTATTGCCTAACGTAGGCTAGACCATTTGCGAGCTAGTTCAACCCGTGTCAAATCCGTGGAAGTTACTGCTCAACATTCGGCTCGGCTTTATGGGATCAGCATTGCCGAATGATAAGAAAGATATCGGCACTTTCCCTAATCAAATCCCGGCTTTGCCACCAACGCGCTTTCCTCTTCCGAGTACTATCCTACACTTGGCCCGCATAATCTTACTCCTACCGGTAGGAAGAAACAGTTGTTATGTATCTATCGGTTTTAGCTGCCTACCTTTTCATAATCGCTTACCGCGAACAAATCATAAGGCTATTTGCAATTATACATCTCGGGAGTTTGTATCGGAAATTGGGACTTGAACAATTAGCCGCTAATAATAAATAAAATCTCCTGAATGTATGCTGATTGATGAAACACATTCAGAGACAAGCCATTATACCTTCCAGGAAAATATTCTTCTCTTGTTTAATCCTACTTCCTCCTTGAAGCTCAATTAAATGCCTAAGATCTTTTTAGTTACAGGTAGTTCAAGTGGCTTCGGCCGAGAACTTGTCCAAACCGTTATTGATCAAGGAGATTATATCGTCGCGACCGCTCGTAAGCTAGGGGCTCTGGATGGGTTCAGCAATACGAGTGACCAGAATTTTCTCGCGCTGGCACTTGACATATGCAATACAGCCATGATCCAGGAAGCGTTTGCCGCAGGAGTAGCACGTTTTGGCCGAATTGATGTGGTCGTCAATAATGCTGGCTACGGACTTGTTGGACCATTCGAAACCATGTCATCCAAGCAGATTTTATCTCAAATGAGCGTCAATGTTTTCGGCACAATGGAAATGACTCGTAAAGCTATTAGCGTAATGCGAGCTCAGCAGCCACCGGGCGGTCATATCATTCAACTTTCCTCGATTAGCGCTCATCGATGCAAGGCGAACTTCAGCGTATACTGTGCTTCTAAATGGGCTTTGGAAGGATTCACAGAATCCGTGGCACAAGAGATGAATCCATCGTGGAATATCAGCTTCACCATGCTGGAGCCTGGTGGGTTCCGCACTAATTGGGCGGCCAGCAGTTTGGATTTTGGCAATCTGACGGAGATGAACCAACACTACCCCCACCTAAATGCCGGAGAAACGATGAGGAAAATGCACGGGCGACAGCTTGGGAATCCAGTTAAGTGTGCATCTCTGATTTACACTATTGCACATATGAATAATCCGCCCCTGCGACTCTTGGCGGGAAGTGATGCTGTTGAGGCTTTTGAGAATATACTACAAAACTATAAGTGTAATACAGAGTATTGGAAGGTCTTGAGTTACTCAACAGATTATAAAAAAGAATAATCTAAGAGCTCTATAATTTATACTTATAAAAGAATTAAGACCTTAAGTTATAATTATTAAGAGAATTAACTATTTAAAAATATTTTCAACTAAGCTATAAAAAATAACTCCTTTTATTATATTATTTAGAGGTGGCTCATGTAATAATCCGAAAGTTGTAGGTGTATGATCTTGATTGATTCCAGCAGTTGTCCGCTAGCAGCTAGCTACTTTATCAATGTCTTGCTTATCAGTAACCTGATAAGCAATTGTCTGCTTACGGTGCTTTCAATGCACCAAGAGGTATAACTTATAGAAACCTAGACCGTCTATCCCTACCTTAATATCTAAAAGAAAAAGAATAAAGTTTAATAACAATAGAAGTGTTACGCTTAGTCTAGCCACAACTAGGCTAGCGCCGTAGATGGGTTATTTGAAACTAGCTACAGGGTAGCTATAGTTAGATATTATAGTTGAAACCTAGGTTTATAATATCTTCACTTGTGTGTGAGATAATATAATTCTTAAGGCTTAAATTACTTCTATCTATTAGCTGTTTTTAGCCCTTTTATAGGGGGCTCTATATAGCCTCTATTTATTTCATAACATAATAAGAAGCTACTAGAGCCTAATAACTTAATATAAGAAATAAAAATTAAATATAATATTTATAATATAAAAAAAGCTTTATATAAAAAGAGAAGCTATTTCACTTCTAGTTATATAACCTTATAAGATATATAGAAAAATATATCTTTTCTAAAGAAATAAAATAGAGGTCTTTAAGCTAGGCGAAGTAGCCCTAGGAGAAATATTTACTAAGTTTTTTTACTTTTTTTCACTTTCTATTTTATAATATAAAAGTGTTATAAAACAACTTTAAAATTATAACTTTCCTCCCTCTTATAACTCTTCAGGTTCCCTTAATAAAGTGGAGCAAAATATATTCAATCTCTTAAATCAGGGCCTTAAGGCCATTCGCAATGATCTAGGGTGTAGCGCATTTAGCGTAGGACATTACTTTCTAAATCGTCCTCCATATGTATTCTAACACACCCTTATCCAACCAACTAAGACACTCGGAATCACTTCGAAGAGTAGCGTCTACCGGTGTGAGATGAGGAGTGCTGGATTGATGTGCTTGCATCTGCAGTAGCACATAATGTCTGGTGGGAGCGGCTCTAGAACGTCGCTCATTGGCAGCTACCAGGCATTAAAGAGGGGTGGTCCTTACAAGCAAGGATGTGTTACCTACCTAGCCCATGCTGTGTCATTATGTAACTTGAATTAATTGTCCGACTTGTGTTACATCAGTAAGCTTATGGCAATGGGGCGTAGAAGGTGGAGTTGAACAGCTGGCCCTATAGTAATGATTTTTCAACGTGCCACACACTAGGAAGCAAGTGATGCTAACAAATAATTTCGTGGCTGGACAAGTTATTATTTCAAGGCCAAGAACCGCATTAATCTTGGCGGATGCAGATTGGTCTATGCTTTTGTCATCCGCTCCGATATACCTTGCTACCCTGCGAAACTCTTATGATGATACTATACACAGTGATATGTTTGTGAGTTACTGTATAAGCGGCCAGATCCCACACCAGTCCATCTACTTGAGAGTACATTGATGTGATACGTCAGACCAGGTTCGGTCCATTCGGCAGTGCCGGGATATTATTTTCATGCACCATTATGCCCCTCCGTTCCGAAGAACTTACACCAGGTCCAGACCTGGCGCTTCGTATATAAAATCAATGATCACTTGATCAAATCTGAGACAATGGCTTCGGCTTGGGCTAGTTGGAAACGGACCTTTCAGCTACCCCGGGACCAAATAGGGGAGAAGGTGCTATATGGAGGAATACAACATTCAACGGGACTATTTTACGGGTCAAGGGCCTTGATGGGGTTTGATTGGGCAAGAGGTGGGTTCAACAGTGTCATGTGAACCGATGGAATTTGGAGAAATATGTATATATATCTACACCCCGCAACAAATGAACTCTGGCGATATCACAAACCAACCTCTAACATCCACACCAAGAAAGCTGCAGCACTTAAACAATCACTTTATCATTTATGCTTTACACTTCAACATTTTCTTAATTTTCGGAATAAATAAAGAGTACAAAAGCCAAGAATATACTATTTTCACTCATATCCATTAGTCCGCACTCATGTCTAGCAAGACCTTTGACTATGGTGATCTGAGAATCGCCATGACGGACTCTTATAAATGGTCCTGGGATGATCGTGGAAGCGGCGCCAGACGAGACATTTGTGTCTGGACTCCAGTCTCCCGAGGAAGTCTCCGCCCGTTGGGCCACTACGCTGATCCAAACCGATACTCTGAGATCAGTGGCAAGCGCGCATCACTTCTTATTGGACAAAACCCCAACACAAACCCATCTAAACCAGCAGTTGCCCAACCAGTTGATTATAACCAGGTCTGGACAGACAGGGGAAGTGGCGGCAAGTATAACGGAGCCTTCTGGCGCCCAGTTCCGCCCAATGGATATGTAGCCTTGGGAGACGTTTGTAAGAGTTCGTGGGACAAACCTTCCACCAGTGACATCTGGTGTGTTCGAAAAGATCTCGTTGCCAATGGGTCGTTCTCCGCCACCAGTGTATGGGACGATAAAGGCTCTGGGTCTAAGTCGGACGTCTCCGTTTGGGAGATTAAGCCTGCACCCATGGGTGTTCAAGGCTCCGCCTATCTGCCAATACAGGGAGATACTTTCCGAGCTCAGGGAAATTATTTACCTCCAGACAACGAAGCTGCGCCTGTCTTGCAGCTTCCTGTTGGGAAAGATTATCATCGATTTGAAGCCGATGCCCCATTGATGGAAGCGAACAAGCTTCCGGAGAAGGGAGAGCGATTTTATTATCAGCCGCAGTGCAGCATAACACTGCCTTTCCACTGCTTCTTCAACCCGAATAACCACGCTAGCTTAGAAAACAACCACAATCCGTTTTTGACTATCACTAAGTCCATTGCCTGGTACGCGGAATGTGTGTGGGTGAATCGCACCGACAAGACCGTTTGCCGTGAAGAGAAAATTCGATATGGTGTCAACAAGGAGAAGCGGGAGGAGATCAAAGGCAACATTGGTATTGAATTCTCGTCTACAAAGGGAGTTGTTCTCTCTGATTCTGGCTTGACACTCAACCACCAGTTCGCGGACAGCAGTTCGACATTCTTTCCTGAATATAGCGTGAGGGAATCCGCGGAAAGCTTTGAAGTTCCGCCATCTACCGCCTCGGCACTCTTCACACAGCGTATCTGGATCAAGTGTTCTCCCCCGGACAGTGATGTTATGGTAGGAGAAGCGGAATTTCTGCAGAGCACGAATTATCACTACAGGGGTTGTGCTCTATGATATGAAATACAGTCCAGTGCTTTTGGAATACACGATGATCGGTGCTAGGTGAAATGAGATCATGTGGTTAGTTCAACACCTGAACCTCGATCAGCTTCATCAAAATCCTTACCTTTTCAACAAAGACTGGATGAGGGAGGGGCGATGATCTAGTAGATTGCTATTAGGCAATAGATATTTTTAGCCTGAGCAGTAAGCCGGCCTTCTAATATGTTTCGAAACGTGAGTGCTTTAGCTGTGCAGTGCTCTGAACCTGTCTATTTACGACTAAAAACTATCAATCGTGGCCAAATTAAGCGGCCCCGATAATCTAAATTCCTAAACGTGGATGTTGCCAATGCACCTGGATAGAGTGATATATAACTAGCCCCCCGTGCATCTAAGCAAAGGGGGTTTTCAAAATGAAAATATAATCAAGTCTATAGTCGGCCGTAGAAGGCTAGTCAGGACGTTAGCGACTGCAAGAGTACGGGCAGCGAGGGATTAACGACATAGTACGAACGGTACAAGAGATGCGCCCGTGCTTCAGGCAAGTTGAAGAACAAATATTCGATGAGGATAACCCTCGTTAACTTTTCCGGGGCGATGACTTGGCGGATTGATTGACAATAGTGCTAACATGAGATAGATAATTGATATACTGAGGCTGCGAGGCTGCAGCTTAGAAAAGGAATTTGAACCAGTGACGACCGGTGGATACGGACTGGGGTGTGTTCTTGTTATCTTTCTGCCTCTAGGTAATATCAAGCTTATCTGAGGTAGTAAGAAGGGCGAAGAAGAAGGGAACGTTAAGTTAGGGGAATCTTGCAGCGCCAGCCCCCTATACTGTATACATACATGAAGTGGTGGCGAGTAGACGGGTTGGTGTGTGCTAGCTTTGCTTTGCCAGCCACTGTCCGTCCTCACTTCTTAGACTTTGTTTCGTTCAGCTCACAAGTTGGTAAGGCTGAAGGCCTAAGCCCACATTCTCCATGGACTTGTGTTGTAGTAGATGGTCTGCTGTCCGAGAATACTGCGATGTCGCTCTCCACCTACAACGAGATCCAGCCTATTATCGTGCCTGGCATAAAGCTTCGCCAAGCTCGGCACTTCGGATTCGTATTTCTCAAGATAGACGGAATTCTCTTTGCGTTGAGACACAGCAACCAAAGAACAATCTGCCGAGTCTACGGCATATATCACCTGGACCCAAGGGGCGGCGCGTCCAACATAGGTACTTTTGCGAAGCACTGACGGGCTGACGGGAGATGTTTCATCAATGATAGGACCGCATTTGCCCTCCCTTGCGCCAACACGCCTTAAACCCGATGGCTTCTGGCATGGCCATGTTGGTGGTGGTGGTGGTGGTGCTAGCAGAAGATCCCGAAGCCAACACATGAAGCCAACAGCGCTGCGCTGTGATCTAGCAATGTCGGGAGGGGTCACGAAAACAAATGTGGAATGGGATTTATGTTTCATATGTAAGCCCGCCAAAAAAAAGTACGACTTGGTGAACAAAGGATGAGACATTGTCTCGGAGTTTCGGCGTGGTTTTCTGGTCCGCGTGCTTGATTTCACCTTGATGCCGGGGAAATTATCTGATGTTTGATCACGCTGTACGGGTGGTGCTCATCCTCTGCCTCCCCGTTCTTGTGGCCTGCGCCTATCATTTGACATGACACAGACGATGGGCTGCTATATGTATATAGGTATGTACATGTTGAGCAGCAGATATACTCTTTGGAAGATTAGATAACTGCCCCTGTCACATATCTCTCTATATTGGCTAGTATTGCCTGAGATTGGTTTACTCTGTGGTAGAGGGAGGAATAGCTTAGTCCCACAGAGTGAAAGCGACGCTTACTTACTACGTCTTCTTCAGCCCCTACTTAGGTCTCCCCTTACGACACAGCCTCGCGCAGCAGGACCATTAGAGAATCTACACTCTCTCCTTTCATATCCCTAATCGAATTTTCTCGAACGATGTCATCGAGCCGCGAAAGCATCCCCAACGAGGAAGCAGCTCGCCGAGACACCGCTTCCCCGCCCTCCTCCATCCACCATCACCATCACCATCACCGTCATCACAGCCAGCAGCATGTCTCCGATACGCAAAACGACAACGGCGAGACCCGTCCTCTGCTGGCAACCGCCGCCCCTCCAGCAGACCCGGACGCGAACGCAAAGACACCAGCTGAGCCCGCTACTCTATCACAGCGCATTTCCACGACGAGAAGCGCGCTCCTCGTCTCCACCATGGCGGGAGCATGCTAAACGTAGGTACTTTTCCGTCCTCACCTGACATTGTGACAAGCAACTGACAGAGATGGCAGGGATTCACCGTCCAAGCCACCGTCATCATGCTCCCCGCCATAAGCCGCGTCTTCAACATTCCGCCTAGCCGTCAGCAGATGATCATGTTGACATACAGCGTCGCCTCGGGCTCCTCCATGCTCCTCTGGGGCCGCATCGCCGACGTTCACGGTCGATGGGGTGTCTTCCTCGCCGGTACCACGCTCTTCGCAATCTTCACACTGCTCATACCCTTTGCTCCCTCCGAGCTGTTTCTCTACATGCTCTCCGGCTTGCAAGGGTTTAGCAGCGCGGCTACCGTGCCTTCGGGCATCGGCATCTTGGCCTCGATGTTTCAGCCCGGTCCTGATAGAAATAGGGCGTATGTCGCGCTCGTTGCTAGCTCGAGCGTAGACAGCGTCTTTGGGAATATCGCTGGCGGTGCAATTGGCGGCCTACTCTCATGGCGATGGGGGTTCTGGATCCCAGCTGGTCTTGCTGCTATCATCGCACTCTCTGCATGCATCCTATGGCCCAGGAGATCCAGGTTCTCCTCATCATCGCAGACAGGAGGCAGCACCCACCACCGCGATCAGTCTGTCGACTACATTGGCGGCCTCCTCATCTCCACCAGCCTCGCCCTCCTCCAAGTCGGCCTCTCGCAGGGCAACGTCGAAGGCTGGGTCAACTTCCACGTGCCAAGCCTGATCTGTGCCTCCGTCATCCTGGGGGTTATATTTGCGACTCTGCAGTTGAGGATGGAGCGATCGCCGGATAAACACCCCCTTGTGAGGCTCTCCATGTTCAAGAACGTGAGTTTTTCGGCTGCCTTTTTGGTGGTAGCCTGCTTCTTCGGGTCCTTCAACAGCTTCCTCGTGTTTGCTTCCATGTTGTGAGTAGCCTCTGACATCACCAGTGCCCTTAACACTGCTGATACATGACCAGCTTTCAAGATATTCTGAAGCCCAGCATGCTGAAGACGACTCTTTACTTCTTGCCTGGCGGCATCATTGGCGGTAGGCTTTAGCTTTGTTTACAATCGACAAGCACAGGCTAATCAACATTCGCACATAACACAGGCCTCGTTTGCTTTCTCGTGACACCAGCGCTGTCCCTCTTCCGCGGTTTCTACATGCTTATGTTCGGCTTCATCTGTAGCATCATCTCTCCTCTCCTCTTTGCCCTCCTAATGGGATCACAAGGAGGCTCCGTCGTTTTCAACTACTGGGTACGTGGGTTCCCAGCCATGTGCCTGTGTCTTAGCGCCGAGGTCGTCTGGCCCGTTATTGGCCTCTACGTCGCTCGGGGCGTCGCCGAAGCCGACCAATCTCTCGCCGGTGCCTTGCTCCAAGCTGCGAATCACATCGGTCGAGGTCTCGGTATGGCGCTGGCAGCAGCCGCTCAGGTCATTGTCTCTCGATCATCACACTCTCTCCTGCTTGGTATCCAAGCGGCGCAGTGGACCAATGTCGGCATGGCTACTCTAAGCCTACTTTGCACACTCATCTTCTTCCGGGGTCTGGACACGTCGTAGACAATGCTCATGTCGCGAATGGGGCGGATGTCTTTGCCAGCCTGTGCTGCGTTCTATCCTGACAACTTTGCTACTCTACTTTGGCGCATTAGTGAATGCCCGCTTCATATTGTCATCTCCTTCTCAAGCTATTGCTACAGAATTAGCGAACCTTGCCTAAACTATTTTAATTGAATTGAAATATCAAAACCTAAGCGGTCTACTCTAGCATCTGTGCCCTATTTCTCTTGGTTACGGAATTACACCGAGGACAGCAGTCGATCTGGTCAGTCTCCAATCCATGTACCTAGACAACACCCGTAAAGTTCTTCACCAGGCACACACTATCAAGCGAACCGAAGCCCGCCGCAACACCTCCCTCGTCACTATCACAACTCTTCGTCCTCAGTAGCCATCCCGCCTCCTGATTCTCCACTATCTCCATCTTATTATCAGCCTTCTTCCGCCAAAGCACCGTCCCAAACACGCCCAGCTCAGACACCACCTTGCTTGTCTCCGCCTTGCCGTCCTTGAGAATCACATTCATCTGCGCGGGCGGCTTGATTAGCTCCGTCAACACGTATGCAGGCCATTCACATGCGGCCGTCGTCATCAAGTGCCGCGGTATCGCCTCTCCGTAGATGTTGTCCCCCCCCGCCTCGCGCTGCGGCTTGAGGACAAAGTGCTTGGCTTTATCTTTATCCAGGGCTATCTCGCGGCCAAGTAGACCATCAAGGCTCGCGTCCATGGGGTACATTCTGGCGAACGTAGCTCGCACACGCTGTCGCTCGACAGGATTGGGCAGGAAGCGCGCTAGATGCGTAGAGTCGGGAGTGGCGAGGACTTGTTGGATCTTCTTGAGACCCGCGAGATGGGCGAGGATGGATGGGCACTTGATGGCGCGCGACTTCTCGAGTAGTGTTCTCACTTTCCACGCCATGCAGCTGTTGTTGTCGTACTCATCCGGGGACTGGCCCGCGCGGAAGTACACCACCGTCACTTCTTCGCGGGGTTTATTCCTTCTCGCAAGGTTACTAGGTAGATCCAAGACAAGCCGATTCTCGTTGTCGAGAGCAGCGTACTTGTCGACGCCGTCAAAAGTCAGTCGGACCGTCTTGACTTGGGCAATGGAGAAAAGCGCCGACTCGATGTGCCTCTGATCATATACGTTCTGCTCGCCTTCTTGAACGACTAAGAGAATGCACCTGTCGCGACCTTGCTTCGCTAGGCCGTACTCGGCATGGGCTATGGCAAGCCCGGCGGCAATTTGCTTGGTTGAATTGTTTTGAGGCAGTCTCTCGTCGTCGTGGATTATGTTGACGACGTCTTCTAGGTACAGCTTGGTTAAGTAGAGGTACCGATGAAGCGACGCGACGCGAGGAGACATGCCACCAAAGGCTGGGGAGTTGAGGTTGATCTCTATCTGCTTGATAGATGTCTGCAGTTCGGTTGATTTACTATTCAAGGATGGAATTTGAGTTTGATGAAGCATGTAATCGGAGCGAAAAATGCCCAATTCGAGGTCCTGTTCCCCGTTTGTAGTCAGCTACTGTTTTTGACCGTCGCAATCAGTTGAGTTGAAACGCACCTGAGCGCAGCCAGTCTTTTTTGCAGTTTCATGGACTTTCCATAGTTTGGCAATGAATGGATCTATACGAGCCAGTCTAACACGCCAATTATTAGGTCAACACTCCTCGACTTTGTTCAAAGGTTATTTCTTGGTGTAGGGGGCCCTACTCTCTCACCACGGAGCCCAGCCACTTCTCATCGCTGGCGATGGCGGCGTACAGCTTATTGGAAACACTGCTCATGAAACTGACTCGGGTACAGTGTGAGCGGCAGCAGCTCTGCTCGGCCTTCTTCGGAGTCAAGGACTCCGCGGACGATACCATGCGCCATGCTCCATTCTTTGACCGTGGGTATGAGATATTCCATCTCTGACTGAACCCCTGAGGGTGTCATGGTAGCTTCCAGTGGTCGGCCAAGCTTGAGGTGGAGGGGCAGCGCAGCTACGGGAACCGCAAGAGAGAAGAGGATGAGCATTTATGATTTAGGCAACTGGTAAGTGTTGTATTTTCTCCAGGCCCCGTGCCCATCCCGAGGTCAGTTATCGTATCCCCCGAGCAGTCGTTTCACTGGTGGGGAACGCGAAGCAGGGATCTAAGCCGGTACAAGATATACAGCTACATCACGTCTAAGAGTACCTACCTAGGTAGTTATTATTCGCACCTCAACACCCCGTGCTGGTGACGAGTGTGACGCTCGCTTTATCAGAGGGGCTGGCTTTTATGCATGTCTACCCGTCTCGGAACCTACAGGTGACCTCTCCACCACTCTACAATAGGTAGCCACAACTATCTGCATCATGCTGAAATTCCATGCAAAAATCATGCCCACGCCTTCAGGGTGGCAAGTACAGTGTTCACATGAAGACGGACAACTATTAACTGTCATCGGATAGTTGGATTGAGCTCATCATAGGATTGCATGTTTAGATAATTAAGCTACCTGTGTGTGTACATGGCCTCGGAATATGCCCTCACTCATAGAAGACCAGGCATCGCACCTCAATGCTCTGCCGAGGAAGCGCGTTCTCCGGTGCATCCCCATCACGAAACGCACTATGCGGCGTTCTCACCGCCAATCCCTCCACACCGCGCGGCTCGCCGTGTCCAAAGGAGTCATAGCACTTGATCAGGAGCGCCTCCTCAGGCGTCATGTCCTTCTGAAAGTAGAACCTGTGGCTCTCGTTGGGCGCCACTTGGAAGTGCTCACCGCGAGGCTCGTACCCGTCCACAGAGTCGTTCGTCTCAGGATCAGGCAGCTTCTCCTTGCCACGATCGTCCTCGTCCTCGGCAGCGCCCCCAGCACGCTTGGGGTAGAGGAGGTCGACGGCGACATAATCATCTCTGTCGGTCGTCTTCCAGTCCACTACGGCGAGGGGGACATCGACGGCAGCGTACTCGATGGGCCGCCAGACGTTGATGATGGCGTAGCGTCCCCCGCCACTGCCCAGCAACTCTTCAGCTTCGAGGGGTAGATGCCGACGGACGCGCGCAGCAGCCGCAGCAGCTGTCTGGTCGACGTGGACCTGCTGCACGGGCTGACGAGGGGAATTGGCCTGGCGACGGCGGACAGTGTGGTCAAAGATTTCCACCTTCTTGAGGCGCTCGGGTATGTGCTTGCGGATCAGCGCCTCGACCTCGCCGTAGTAGCCCCCGCGAACGGCTTCATCACTCGCGAAGAGCTTCTCAATGGCGGGCGAGTGTATGATGGCGAAGCCGTTGGCGTTGAGTGAAAAGTCAGTCTCACGGCCACGGAGGCTAGAGACGGTGCGCTGGTGGGGGCGGTCGATGTAGGATTTGCCAGGGCCATCGACCTTGGACCACGGCTTGCCCTCATAGGAGCTGGTGTCGATGTGCTGGAAGGTGGCTGTCGTCATCTTGACGGTGTCCAGTGGGCAAACAAAGCAACTATGGTGGTAGAGTGCAATTTGGGATGGGAGTGTCAAGGTGGTTCGGCCCAGCACCATCCCAATCCCCCCTGAGTTGTCATTATAGCAGAGTGGCAAAGGGGGCACGCATGGACAAGCAGAAGCGCGACCGCATTGTGGGATATTTGTCGTGATACCATTACAAATCGTTCAACGGAGCAAGTTTCTATCCGGGGTTATGTTCGGAGACGTCCTGCATCGAGTGCGTCTATGATTGGTACGGCAATCACACAGGTCACATCCGGACTTGTAGTAGTACTTTTCATGCCCAATCCACGTTTGATTCCAAGCATTAGCTATGTCTTGGCCTGAGAGTACGACTTTGCTGCTTAATACCGTCCAGTTTTCGGGTGTAGTTGGATTCAAGAGTCTCGCCATTGTCGACTCCGAGGTACAGCTCTCCCGTGTTGTACCAGTTGTCCGTCGTATATCCAGGGATATCAACTTAGCCCCTTGGCGATATTAACGCGTCGCTAAGCTCATTGTTCCGCTACTGATTTGTGTTTCATTTCGCGATAATAAGATACCGGTGACACTTTGTTGAGTCCTGTATGTCTCGGATACCTTGCGTACAACACCGAAAGCATGAATCTTCGCTCAACACATTCATCGTTCAAATCTCTATCATTATCCTATCATTTTCGTAATCCAAGCCACTAATCACACCAGCAAAATACGGGGTTCACTTTATTCTATACCTTCCCATAGCGTACCCGAAACCACTACTTACTGCCGTTCTCACTCCCGAAACCATTTGTGTAATGGCCGTCGCTCCAACCACCATCCTTTCCATTTTTGTAAGTACCATCGCCGCAATGACAAGTGTGCCCGTTCGTGTAGGGGCCTCTCAACCCGACCTTTGTCTCACCGCGCCCAAGAAAACTCCCCATCCGATAAGGATGGTACAGCGCGTGCATCTTGTGCCGCTTTCCCTCAAGTCCAACCGCCAGAGCATCGGCAATAGCAGGCGATTGTGCAAAGCCTCCCGTGTTGTGTCCTCCCGTAACAACCAGTCTACCGCCCGCCGCAGTTGGTAACATCTCGAAGAGGCCCAAGCCCGTCGACGTCCATGACCTCACACAATACTTCATGCTAGCCAACATGCTCGTACGACCCTCTTCTGCTTCGGTTTGAGCAGCGTACGACTGCGGAAAGAACCTCTTGGCCGTGTCCACCAGCCCATCATATATCCTTTGCAAAAGTTCTCGGTCCACGTTAAACGGATCTGCACCTGTAGCCGTACCCAGAGCCAATGATCAGGATCGGCTTCCCATCATCGTCCGTCGCCACCGTGACATTGGCGTCCTCCGTGACGTGTGCCTTCCGTGCCAGCTTGAGTGAGTGCTCGAGTCGAGGCTCCAGGTTGGGCAGTCGGATCCTGGCACCTAGGACCCCGTGAATCTGCCCTTCGCAGCGCATCCCTTGGAGCAGACTCTGGCCGTAGGCGCCAGGTGATAGAACATAGTTGTCCACTCGGGCGGCCTCGTGCTCGCAGATGAGGCCCTGGACAGTACTTGATGCCTGGTCGAAGAGAATTCGGACCACACACTTGTTCCACTCGAACACGGCTCCCTTGGCCGTCATGCGGTGTATCAGTTGGGCCGCAAACTTATGCGCGTTCACCGTAAACCCATGAACGATAATGCCTCCCGCAACGACTCTCACATTGCCTGAGTCGTCCAAAGCACCAGCAGCGTCGGCAAGGGCAGGCTCGTACTCGGCCACATCTTCGGGTGAGAGCACTCGGATGGTTGCACCAATCCCATCCTGGCGCTCAATAGCGCCACGAAGATGCTCCTCGTCCGAATATATCCGCAAGATGTCGTGTCTTGTCTCGCAGCTCGCAAACAGCTCTGGCTCCCACTGCTGCCAATCGTCCCAGATGGTCTTGCTATCCCGCGTCAGCGAGAAGATGTCCTCGTTGTACCGGCTAGCCAGCCACGGCGGGAGCGCCTCGTACTCGGCGATCCACGCCTCCTCGTCAGCCGACTGCGAGTGCGGCATGCAGACCCGCCACCCCCCTTAGGGCGATACGTCGCTGTTGAAGACGCCGTTCATCGTCGCAGAAATTGTTCGATCGTTGTAGTTGTCCATCTCCGAGAGAGTGAACATGCGTGCGTCGTCGCCCCCGTGGCTGCATCCGAGAGACATCCAGGAGGCGTCTGATGATGGTTTCGGTCCAGCATCCACGATGTGCAGCTTCCAGCCTTTGTCCATCAGGCGTGACGCCGTCACAAGGTTGACCAGACCGGCACCGACCATGAGCACCTCACGCTTGCATAGCGTTGACAGTTGCGGCGATGGACTGGTCAGAGCCACAAGGCGGTCCAGGGACAGCTTCTCCAGAAACGCGAGGGCGCACAGGAAGCCGCTTAGTTGGTCCGAGGCGAGAACTTTGAAAACCGCAAAATCATCGTCGAGCCAACTCGTGGTCGTCAGTGGCAGCTGCTGTGCTGTCTGTCCCGGGTCAGGGGCGATGATACTAATCCGTACAACGTATCTGACTCGTGACCGCCTCCATGGAGCACCGACAAACTTGTCAAGCTCCGAATCTGTGCTGGGTATGATGGCATTCGAGCCTAACCTCCCTACGGAGTCGAGAATGGCGGGCAGGCTGCGTAGTCCAAGATCCGGCCTGTACACGATGTTGTTTGACATGACGGCCATCAGGACATCGTCAGGCAAGGAATCAACAATGGTGATTCTCATTACGTGTACTTGCCGCGCAAGCGGACTAGTGGAAGTCTGGAGAAAGGGCTGGTGAAACGTTTGTATTGTCTTTTTCTTGTTGGTCGTCAACTGCTTTGAATGGAGTACTCGCTACCTCTTTTATGTTGTATGCTTCGTTCGGGTCGCTCTCACTTTGTGTTCACCATGCCAAGTCCACCAACGATAAGGGCTACCATGTCAATGCAAATTATCCAATACCATTTGTTCTTCATGCGGAGAGAGCTGGCTGTCTGGCTTCGTATAACCAATCCATGGCGCCTTCAGGGCGAGACATCGTGTCTCTTGCCCTGCATAAGCGTGCCGAAAGCACTGGCTCTCGGGAAAAGTGGTGAAGCTTTTCGGAGGAGTGTGCCACTCGGAATGTACAGCTCCTTGGCCGGACCAGGCACAGGGTTTGGCCATCCATGTCGACCCTCAGCGGTAAACGAGAGGCCTCTGTCAACAGACAAGCCGCCTCTGTCCACGGCCACGATACCTCTGTCAATGGACATGGCACCTCTGCCACCAACAATGTAGAGGAGGTCTCAGTCGTCATCGTAGGAGCTGGTCAGCGCGGCCTCTCCACCCTGGAGCGCCTGTGCAGCTTCTATCCCACCTACACAAACGCCCCTCGTCTACGAGTCCACGTCGTCGACCCTGGGCATCCGGGCCAAGGTTCTCACCGCGAAGCCCAGCCCTCTCACCTCCTCACGAACACGTCCACAGCCTAGATCACCATCTTTGTTGACTCTTCCGTCCAAGACTCGGGTCCGGCGAGAACCGGCCCGAGTTACGGAGAGTGGCTCTCGCAGTCAGGGTACCGCTGGAAAGACGGCGGTATCGTACGCAATGATAACGGCGACCCGATCCATCCCGATACGTACACGTCGAGAGCACTGCTGGGATGTTATCTTCGGTGGTCCTTTGAACACATCCGTGCGGAGGCGCCAGAGGGTGTCATCATCAAGAACCATGGTAGTGAAGCTATCGACATACAGCGTCGAGGCGAGGGCAATGGCTTCGTCATCAGCCTCGAGGGAGAGCGTCCCATAGAGGCCGATTACGTCTTCGTCACGACTGGCCACGCCAGCGGCAGCACATCGAAAGCAAACGAGCGCACTCTGGCCAATTTCCAAGCCCTGCGAAGCCGCAACCCACATCTCGGGTTCATCCCTTCGGCAGCCGCCTTCGGAGACCTCGAAGCCATCGAATCCACAGCTAAGGTCCTCATCTACGGAACCGGTCTCTCCGCGGCTGATGCCCTGTCAGTGCTGACCGCAGGAAGAGGCGGTCGCTTCGAGGCAAATGGAGACCGCCGACTTCGGTATGTCATTAGTGGGCGAGAGCCCAACATCACGCTTTACTCCAGACAAGGTCTCCCATCAGGCGCCAAAGGCGTCAATCAGAGAGCTCTAGGGGAGGATTACGAACCCAAGTACTTCACATCCGGCTTCATCGCCGCCAAGCGCCGCGAGCGCGATGGTGGCCAGCTCAATTGGAAGGAGGACATCCACCCATGCCTCATCCGTGAAGTTTAGCACTGCTGGCTCACCGCCTCAGAGCAGCGTCCAATTTCGATCATCCCTCCTCCCTTCCATCTGCACCACCGCGAGTCCGTCTCCGACATTGTCCACAACATGCTCTACCCCTAGGATGCCGTCAAGATCCGCTCCCGCGAGCAACACCTCGCCTTCTTACGAAGCCACATTGCCGCCGACGTCGACGCCGCCTTTGTCAGTAACGTGTCCCACCCAGCGAAGGGCGTCGCCGAGATGCCGCGACAGCAGCTCGGGGCATGCTAGAACATGTCACGCAGAACGCAGGAAGGAGGCATTGTTGATAGACTTATGAGAGAATTAATTATATTAAAGGTTAAGTTATAAGTCTATGGAAGGAGATTATATAGCGAATCTATAGATACGATGTTCTAAGGACACTGAATAGTGTAGTGGGGATGGAATTCAAACTCAATAAATGCTTACACCATTTTAAGTCCAAGCCCAATCGTCCTCCCATATCCCCTTATAAACTATAGTCCAACACTTCACCATGTGGTGACACGCATACCGTCTCGTTCCCTCTACTTCCTCTACATTCTTCGCTGACTAGAGCATCCGATGGCATAAAGTCTGCTCGTCGTTATACGTCTTCAGGCCAACCGCCAGGTGTTCTGGGTTATGACACCACTTATGCCCGCACAGGTGCATCACTGTCCATAGCTTATCTTCTTACTTGCTCGTGGACACGGCGCGGAGGAGGTCAATGGTGAGATTTAGGACGGGTGCTGTCGCCGCCCTGTGAGCTGCGATGATATAATAGTTATAGATCTTAACGTCCTTGCCAACTAGGCCGAGGCGCGAGCCAGCTATCCGCGGTGCGTCGTTATTTAATCCAGCCTCCCTGAGCTTCAGCGTCATAGGTTATCCCTTAATAGATGTCCAGAGCCCCCAGCAGTAACCAAAGGGTGTAGGTTGAGCGAACGCAAGGTCGTTGTCAGTCAGCGGCCGGATAATGCTAGGACCAGTGTTATTCTTCGAGTTTAGTGCGGTTCCTGTGCACAGCTCGTTAAACACCTGAGACCACCTATCCGGTGTCGCTCTAAACACCTTGAGCTGGTGAACGGCTGGTAGTGGTTGAGGTACGGCTGGTAGTGCGATGTTACGCCCTGGTCATAGGCCGCCCCGCGCCTATGTCACGTGACATGCTCAAGTGCCAAGAATGGTGCTCAGACCTGAGCACCAAACGATCACAACTGAGCGTGCTACGCTCAGTACTGATCACTGCACATGAACACTGAGCACCCTAGTATATATACACATTCATTTCTTAGATAGAAACACTCTCTTAGACAGTTATCAATACAATCGTCTACGCATCTATTGCTACTAGCCCCACAATACTCGCACATTGACAGTGACTCGCATTGCACAGCTTACGACAACCTGATCGCGCCACTCAGAACAACACTCTGATTGGTTCACCCCCGACCTACCCTAGACCCCGTCCAGTGTAAGTCATCCAACCGTCACATGCGAGCGACTCGTTATTTGCGAGGGAGCATCTGGGAGTCATCGTGAGAGCGAGCGACTGTCCGAATCTTCAACGCTCGATAATCTAAGCAAAGAACGGGTTCTGAGATATATCCATTATGTATCACTGAGCCGTCCAGCCGCTGTCCACCGCTATTTCCTATCCCAGAGGTTATTTCACTTACTTAAGGAAGTTATCGCTTATGTAAATAAAAGCTAACTATATTACTAAGCGAGGTTAAATAGGTTAATAATAGTTTAATAAGCTAGAATTCTATATTTACTTTAAGTTAACCCTCTTAAAAGAAACTTAAATATATCTCTTACTTATATTATACTATATTACTTAATACTTATTAAAATTAAATATAGACATTTTATATATTATTATAAGAACTATAGTTATAAAAAAGATTAAGACTTAAGTTTTTATTTATTATATTATAGAGAAAGCTTAGCTCCTAAGGAATTAAAGTAAAATAAAAACTCCTTTGCTTGCCGCCACCACGGAGGCTGAGGCAGGCCGATGGAGTGATGAGATGGTGCATTAAGGCGAGGAGTATCTTTTGTGTGTTTTGGCGCAGCGTGCGGTCTGTGTTGGGCTTGTTTTGCTGCTTTTTCGATTTTCCGATATTCTCGACTAGAAAATGGAAAGGTGGTACGTAGCACACCTAGACACACCCACCATGAGTAAGCACCCGACCAGTTACAGGGCACCCACACCACTGGAAAACTCCACCACAGCGTGCATACACCACTGAAACTCAACCACAGCGTGCACCACTCCACTAAGGATCGCACCACAGCACATCCACCCCACTAAATTACCAACCACAGTGCATCCACCCCACTAGCCACAACACCACAGCACGCACCAACCCACCAAAACATCAACCACAGTGCATCCACCCCACTAAGTCATCAACCACAGCACGTCCACACCACCACAAATCCAACTACAGTGCATGCAGCCAACTGAAATATCAACCACAGCACGTCCACACCACCA